ACTCTTAAGATTAAATTACTATAATATAATTAATAGGATTATAAAATCTTTATTATTAAAGGAGAAGAATTAGCCTTTTATAAACTATATAACCTTATAAAACTTTAACTATAAATACTCTATAAATATATTAATAATATAATAATAAAAGGCTATATATAATTATTAACTTTATTTATAAAATACTTTATAATATTTATATTAAAGAAAAATAAGAAATTATAACTTATTATAGATTATTATTAATTTAATAAAATTACTTATAAGAATAAAATACCTTTACTATTAATTATAGAATTAAGGGATTAATTATAAAGTAAATAGTAATTTATTATATTAAATCTTAAAGGAGCTTATAATTAATATAAATTAAAAAAGGAAATAAATAGAAAATAGTATTTAAAATAAAGTTTAGCCTTTATAAATACTTTATTATACCTTTTAAATTAATAAATATACTTATAATATTCTAGTAAATAATTAATTAAGTACTCTAGAAGTATTTTAATATCTTTATAATTATTTACCTTAATAATATCTTAATCTTCTTAAATAACTATAAAATATATTAGGAATATATATATAAAATCTTAAAGAAGTTAAAAGATATTAATCTTTTAATAAAATTAGAGAAAAGTTAATTTTTATTATAGAAGTTAACTTCTTAGAATATACTATTTAATTTAATAAAATATAAATAAAAAAGGGAAAAATTACTATAATTACTAAATAAAAAGAACTTATAAATATTAAAAAAGTATAAGCCTTTCTTAAGTTTACTAATTATTATTAATAATTTATTAAAGATTATAGAAAGATTACCTTACCCTTATATAATCTTATAAAAAAAAATATATATATTTAAATAAATTAATAAATAATAAAATATATTTATTAATATTAAAAAGAGTATAATCTTTAAACTTATATTATAAATATTTAACTTTATAAGAGAAGTAAAGCTTAAAACTAATACTTTAGACTTTATAATTAATATATAAGTTAATTAAAGAGATAATAATAAAGTCTTATATCTTATAGCCTTTTACTTAAAGAAACTATATAGTATAAAACTTAAATACTCTATTTATAATAAAGAATTTATAGTTATTATATATATATTTAAAGAATTTAAATATTATTACTTAAGAATAATATATAAGGTTAAAGTATATATAGATTATAAGAATATTTAGTACTTTACTATAACTTAATAATTAAATAAAAGATAAATATATTATATTAAGTATTTATTTTAATTTAACTATAAGATTATATACTAAAAAGAATTAGAAAATAAAAGAGCTAATACTTTTAATTATAAACTAAAATATAAAGAGATAATATTAAAAACTAATAAATAATTATTCTTAATAAATAATAAAGGATACTTAATATAAGAATCCCTTAAAGTTATACTTAAGGAAGTAATATATATTAAAATCTAAATAGAGATTATTCTTAGCTTAAAGAAATTATAATAAGAGGTAAGGATAATACTTATTAAAGAAATCTATAAGTATTTACTCTTAGGATATTAAGGAGTTAAGAAAATATTTAATAAAATTAAATAATATTATAATTATCTTAGTAGTAAGTAAGAGAGCTATGTAGTTATACGGCAGCTGCTGAAAAAAAAAGGGAAATTCCCAAACACCAAGAATTAAACAACTTAACACTATACCTAGCATTATAACATATTATATAATTATCTTAGTTTATAAAAAGAAGTATAAACTATAATTTTAGAATATAATATTTATATATAAATTAAGTTAATATAATATAAACTATATAAAGAACTTAAATTAATCTTAATATTAAAATAACTATAGTAATTAATATCTTTTAATTATATTATTAAACTATTATTATTTAAGGAACTTATAATTAAAATAAAATATAATAATATCTTAATAATTATTAATAAACTTATAAAGTATAGATATTTTATACTATATAAAGAAGTAAGCTTTATAAAAGACCTTATATATTAAATCCTATAATATATAATTATAAACTATAAAGCAGCGATTGCGGACGGATTGTCGATGTGGACTTGAGCTGTGCGGTTCCGTCAGGCCGGGGATGGCGGCCTTCAAATAGATGGAAAGCAGCATTTTAAGGTTCATGAAAGGAGTCACGCCGACGAAAGACTCGTATTCGAGACACAAGCCATTGTTGGTGTTGAACCTTATGTACGGCCGGGCGCAAGCCTCGCAGCCGGGCAAAAAGGCTGAAGTTTAATGTGTTGTGATGCTGGGTATAGTGTCAAGTTGTTCAATTCTTAGTGTTTGGGAATTTCCCTTTTTTTTCAGCAGCTGCCGCATAACTGCATAGCTCTCTCACTTACTATAAACTATAAATTATTTAATAAAATAATATTAAATAAAGAAATAATATTTACCTTTAAATTCTAGTAATTACTTATAGTATAAATAGATATAAAATATAAGCTTTTAATAGCTTATTATTTATAAAGTAATAAATAAATAGAATATTTAAACTAAATATTAAAATAATATTTATAAGTATATATTAACTATAAATAAAATAATTAAATATAATTATTATTTATAGTATAAATTATATATAATAATATAATATAAGAATTAACTTAATTATTATTAATATATATAAACTATAATTATAAATTAGAGTTTTAAAATAAACTAAAACTTAATAAATTTATAGTATTTATTATTATACTTATAAAGGAAATATTATATTTATTATATATAGAAATATAAATTAAATTAAAATTTATATAATAAAGAATAAAGAGATATTATAATAAAATAAAATTAAAGAGATTAATCTTAAAGGAGGGAGATAAAGTCTATTTACTTTAAAAAAATATTATAATAATAAAGCTAAATAATAAATTAAACTATAAAAAACTTAAACTATTTAAAATTATAAAGAAAAAATTAAATATTAACTATAAACTCTTATTACTAAATATAATATATATTTATTTAGTTTTTATATATTATTACTTAAAAAAGTATTAGAAAATATATTAAACTAAAATTACTTAATTAAAGTTTATAAAGAAGAATTTAAATTAGAAAAAATCCTAAAGAAAGAAATTAAAAATAAATAAATATTTTATTTAATAAAATAGAAAGATTATAATAAAAGTAATAATATATAGGAACTTATTAAATATTTAAAGAATTATTAATACTTAATATATTAATTCTATTAAAAGAAGAAGAAGGATTAATAACTTTACTTTAAGTAATATTATTAAAGAGATCCTCTATAGAAAGATTAAAGATAAAGCTAGAAAAATTAACTATTTATATAATATATAATATTTAAACTTAAAATACTAACTTAACTTCCTAAGCTTATACTTACTCTAGCTCCTCTTAATAATTTTTCTTTTTTACTTCTTTTTATTCCTTCTCTTTTAATTCCTTTATATTATTTAAACCCTTTTTTAATATCTTTATACCCTTCTTATAAAGCTACTTTTATATCTTTTATAAATATAAAATATATATAAATACTATTATTAACTTTACCTCTACCTTTAACTCTTTATCCTCTAAATAAAATAGCTCTTTATTAATTTTCTTAATTATAATAAGTTAATAAATATAAAGGGAAACTAGAAGGAGAAGTATATACTTAATAATATTAAGGAATAAGTATTATTATATAAGTAATTAGTATATATATATATAGTATAATAATTTAAATTTAAAATAATAAAATAATTTATATCCTTTTTTATATACTAAATATAAAGTATAACTTTAAACCTATAAGTAAGAATATATTTAGATTTCTAAGTATATTTATATATTAAGTTAGATTTCTTTTATTTTAAAATATAGCTAAATATCTTATTAATATATATATAATATAAATAAATATAAAGTTAAGTATATATTAAAATAGAAAGATATAATAAAGCTAGCTTTAAGGATAAGATTAATAAAAAGGAGGTATTATATTATAAATAAAGGCCTTTATTAAGCTATAGGAAGTTATATATAAAGTAGATAAATAGCTTTATTTTAAGAGCTAATAATATTAATTTATTACTTAAGTAGAGTAATAGTTTAATAATAAGATAGTAATAACCTTACTATATATATATATTTATTTCTTAAATAGAAATACTCTTTTAAATAGTTATTAATATAATTATTATTATCTTTATTAAAACTAGCTCCTTAGTACTTATATATTAGCTATAACTTATATAGTACTAAGATAACTTAATTATATTACTTAGAATAATACTCTAATTAGTTTAACCTTAACTTACCTTAGACCTTATCTAGTATAAGTTAACTAATTATTATATTATTATTATTATTATTATTATTATTATTATTATTATTATTATTATTATTATTATTATTATTATTATTATTATTATTATTATTATTATTATTATTATTATTATTATTATTATTATTATTATTATTATTATTATTATTATTATTATTATTATTATTATTATATAGAAAAGTAATTATAATTAATAATAAGTATCTCCTTTTAAAGCTATAGCTAATTTATATATTAACTAGCTTATATTAAAGTTTTTAATAAATATTAATATTTATACTTAAGCTAAATATATAAATATTTAAGTTTTTATAATATTAAAGGTTTAAGTATAAGCTATAAATTATATTTTAAAAACTATATATAATAATTATATATATAGCTTAAACTTAAGACTAAATAACTAAGATAATATATATTACTCTTATAAAAGTATATAGTTTATTATTAATATTTATTAAGAGTAATAAAAGCTTTAGCTTAAAGTTAAAAGTAAAGGGTAATATACTAATTATAATAATATATAGAAAGAGGGCTAAAAGGCTATAAGGTATATAAAATTTCTTCTATTATAATCTTATAGTAGGGCACTAATAGCTCTAACTAAAAAAGTAAGATAATAGGAGAGAGTTTAGACCAGCTCTACTTAGAGGTGGCATAGTCTAGAATGTCCTTGTTAATAAACCTGATCATCTAGTGATCTGCCCCCAAACAACGTACTCCAAGCCCATGACAGTCTGAACAAACATGAAAATCACCCTTATTGCAGACTCCGCAATGATAATATCCGTGTTGAATAAACAAAGTGCAAGCATCGCATCGACGGTTGCATCGTCGTCCAACCTCACTCAATATATATGTAATAGGATTGGCGAAATCGTTCTCATCGAATGATGTCTCGGTGTTCCAAGCACGTTGGAGGAGTTGCACGATGGCGAAATTTCTGCTTCGTTCAGCGTACCACAGCGGAGTCCGCCCCGAATGATCTGGAGAATCTGGATCTACACGCCCTGTACCCAGGAGCCGCGCAGTTACTTGTGTGCGATTATGCCGCGCTGCTAATGATACTGGTGTTGAACCAAAAGAATCCTTTCCATCGATTTCGACCCTTTCATCTGAGATCAAAGACTTTACTATTGTATCATGGCCAGCCCAGGCAGCATGTGAGAGCGGTGTTCGGCCGCAATTGTCTCTCGACTCAACGTTAACACCATGTGTTGCTAGGAGCAGATTGAACATAGCCACTTTCCCCCTCCTAGCAGCTACTGAGAGTGGTGTCTGGCCATTAAAATCTTTCGAGTTTAACTCGGCGCCCTTATCTATTAACAGCCTGGCGACCGCCTCCTGTCCGTTGAGAGTAGCCGATGAGAGTGGTGTCTGGCCCTCAGAATCTTTCGAGTCCAAGTCGGCACCTTTATCTATTAACAACTTGGCGACCGCCTCATATCCATAGGAAGCAGCCAATGAGAGTGGAATTTCGCCGTTATGATCTTTAGAGTCCAAGTCGACGCTCTTATCTATTAATAGCTTGGCGACCGCCTCATGCCCGCTGGAAATAGCCAAAAAGAGTGGTGTTCGAAAACTGCGGTCTTTGAAGTTCAAGTCGGCGCCAATATCTATTAACAGCTTGGCGACCGCCTCATGCCCCTCCAAAATAGCCAATGAGAGTGCTGTTCGGCCATTGCGATCTTTGAAGTCTAAGTCGGCGCCCATATCTATCAACAGCTTGGCGGCCGCCTCATGCCCCTTGTAACTAGCCAACGAGAGTGGTGTTCGGCCACTGCGATCTTTAGAGTCCAAGTTGGCACCCTCATCTATTAACAGCTTGGCGACAGCCTCGTGTCCATCGAAAACAGCCCAAAAGAGTGGTGTTCGGTGGTAGATATCATCTTTCAAGTTCAAGTCAGCGTCTTTCTTTAACAATAACCTAACAATCAGATGATGGCCATAGTATGCGGCTACCATGAGAGGTGAAAACTGCGGGATCCTGCTATCATGCTTACGACCCCAATAGATATTGAACCATGCCAAGTAGCCTTTTGCACTTAGATCACAAATCTTTAAAACATTAGGTATTATAGCGGCGTCCTCGGCAATGCCAGCATGGCGGAAGTGAGTGCCCCAATTACGTGCTGAGTAAACAAAGAAGGGGAGCTTATCCATGGACTTGACTGTTTCGTTGTTTTCATCTGTCGCCGGAATGACTTTGGAGTCGGCCAGTGCTAGACATAGGACACAGAGTTCTGCAAGAACGGCTTGCGCGTTTTTGATGGTGACTGAGTGCTCCCATTTTTGAGTCGGAAATGGGATGACAGGCGGTGTTGAATTTGAATTTGCGATCAGAAACTCGCGAGCTGTTTGATGAAGGAAATAAACATGACCTTGTGAGATCAAGATAAATAATCCGCACCAGGATCTGATGCGCGTTTTGAATTCATCCTCGTTCTCTAAGTCAATATCTTGTATTGATTTTGTTTCGCAGTCGATATTTGTCGCCATGTTCAGTTCCTTGAGTGTAAGTGGCCGACTTGCCGCTAAGACAATACTTAGGACTTTGCGAACCATTTGGTGTTCCTCTCTATTGGATGTATTGAGAATCTGCTCATATGCCTCGTTTACACTCCTCGGAAGGTTGCTAATAGCAGAGTCAACCCCCTTCTGTGTCTTCTTAAAGCTTCCTTTCTTTAAATGATCGAACACAAGGTACACCCAGAGATAGGTACGATGGCTAGTCAAATGTAATCTTTTCTCCAGGTGATTCTTGATCTCGGAGGAGATACTGTCTGGCAACTGATTGACTCGGTGTGTGATAACGCGATTTACCTCCTGGCTAATGGTTTCTGAATTCTCCTCTCCCGGTATGTGGATATTTGGGAAAACACGCAACAAAGTGCAGAATCGAGACACTAATTGGTCATAAGGGCGACATGTAAGAAGGTATCTCAATTTGCCAGTATCTGAATCTTTGCTTTGAAACTGGGTCTCTATATTCCGTACTAGAGTCTCAAACTCGGTGTGTGCACACTCGTCTAAGGCGTCAAGCACAATGATCACAGATCCCGCCTGAGGATCTCGGACAGAACTTCGTAAAATCTTCCAAAGTGATTCGGTAGAGTCAATTAAGCTTTGTCCGTCTTTATCGTATTGCGGAATTGCTTGTTTGATTAGAGCCGGATTTTGAGAGAACAACTGGTGAAGTATCGCGCAAAGCATCTGCCGAGCCGTATTCTGATCTCCATCTTTGAAGAAGAAATAACAGACGGTTGCCGATCGTGGTAAGCCATGGTCAATTAAATATCTGGCCAACACGGATTTTCCACAGCCAGGGTCGGCTGTGACAAGGAGGGGCCCAGAGTTCCGGTTCATCCATCCTTGGAAATGCTCATGTTCAAGAAACCATAGGCATGTGCCTTCAACTCTTTCCTCAACTCGGTTTTTGTACCACTCATACGTGATATCCCTATCACTAGCTGTAAGGCGGAATTGCTGGTGGCATTTTTGTTCATGTTGTGTGAGCATTTGCTTGGCTAAATCCTTTTGGGCTTGTACCTGCTGCCTTGTGATTTCTAGCTGTTCTGTTGCGACATCATAGAGGCCTAAAAACACAAAATTAATACCCATATATGGTAAAACTGGAAGAGCCGAGATTACCGGACAGAACATTGCTCAGCTTCGTTTCAGCTTGAACCCTACTTGGAGCAACTCGGCCGAGGAGATCCTTTACATATGCTGCGGCCACCATAGCAGCGTAGCCTTGCCACTCTTTGTTTTTGTGAGAGTCGGAATAATCACATATGCCGCGAATAACCAAGCAAGGAAATTGGCTCATCAATCCAGCCGCTTCCATCTCAAAACATAGGACACCTTCCTCTGTAGCAAGCTTGTCCCGAACCAAGGCGTCTTTCATCAACTGGTTAGCTGAGGCGATTAACCCGTGATGGATCGCTGGGTTATCTTCGTCCTTGGTTCTCTGGCGTCGTACAACTAGATTTCCCGGGCCATCGCAAGTTGCGAGGCAATTTGTTTCGTTATCCTTAGGGTGGATGGTCCCAGCCTTGTAGAGTCTGTCGCTGTTTGGATCTGGCCGTCCATAGGTCTTCCGCAGTCTTGGCTTCTTCTCAAGTATGTTGCTAATATCTCGTTCAAGATTGTGACCGTCACTTTCATACTGACCGCTAATCACTGTGACTGCTGTGAGTAGAACGGCCGGCGGGTGGTTCAGAAACCCTGTCGTTTTAAAGCTCTGATCCTGAATGGTTTTCCCAAAGTCGTATTGGAACACGCCGCCTTTTCCCTGCCAAGGAGCGCTGACTACAACATCGCCTAGACGAATGTCGTGTTTTGTGCTTGGCGCGCCGCCCCCAATGCCAACCATGAGGCCGATCCTAATATTGGGGAAGGTATGTATCATGTCTTTTATGACCCCGGTGGCGGAGGATATGCCGTACTGGCCATCAGGCAGCACAGCGATCACAACATTGTGTTCTCTCATTTTGCCAAGTGTATATGCATTGTTATCATATGATGACACAGTTCGTGGCCCTTCATGTTCTTCGTCAAGAAACTGTCGTGCTGCAACATATTCTGTTCTTATCGCACAAATCCAGCCGATCGTGTAGTCCGCTGGCTGAGGCATGCCTGCGTCTGAGATGGTCTGTGAAATCGAGTGCGTTCAGGGGGTTTTCTAGAATGATCTTATGCCCTCCACTTCTCCAATATGTTAGATCTATCTGAGGTTCAAGGGTGGCCGTATGGAGTGGAAAATACTAAGGTAACGTTGGGTATCCGCAGACAGTGAAAATTTGCTCATATTGTTACTCGATGCTCAGCCCCTCATTTTCGCGGCGTCTCACTTGCATTGAATGTGCATGTTGTAGCGAATCCGAGAAGAGATGACACACCCTTCAAATGCTGTGCCGTTGTACGTACAATCTGCAACTTACGCTCCTTCTTCGCAGTGCCCAGAGGTAAGAAAGCAGATATGATATCACCTATGTCAAACAAAATCGTCGCAGCCCAAATTCTTGGATTAAATTGCACTGACTAACCATCAATAGGGGCAAAGGAGCTTGTACTACACTGGGCTTATGTCTACTACTGATGAGAGTTCGAGTACAAAGTAAAAACAGCAGCGAAAGATGCCAGACCCGACATCTTAACACAATGACTAATGGGCTTATGTCTTGGCTTTCCAAAAGAGAAATAATCACCCGATCATCACAGCTGAGGTCGGCCTGTTAGGGCAACGATGGTCCAGATCAATGAGCTGAATGCAGCTAAATAGACCATCCCGCCTTGGCGAATGAGATGCAGTCAATTAGAACATACAAGGGTAAAACCTAGACCGTAGTTCCATGGTACGGAAGGCGTAACTGGAGCGTACTGGCCTAACGGTTTTGCTGCATGGGACTACTGTATGCACATGTACGTGGAAACTGCTAGTTCCTCATCAGCCCCCTGTTCTGTTCAGCTGATTGCAGACGAAGCGCTCATCCATCGTCGAATATAATAATAATAAAATAGCCAGCGAAAGCGAGCTTTGTTAATCGAATTTCGGGTACTCCACATCAACTCGAGCCTCTTTGCCTGCCAGAATGCAATCATCAATCCCCTACGATCCCAGCCTGGTTCTTGGCAGCGTCCTCAGCAATGCCGCCCTCCAGCTGGTCAACGAAATTTCGCGAGCTGAGGCGCCTGTCAACGCCGCCCGTGAAGAGCTAGACGCTCTGGTGGCATCTCGAAAAAGTCTCGACAAGACCAAATCCGAGCTCAACAATCTCGGCATCGATACATTCCCCCTTGATGATGAGATCAACAACTTGAATTCCAAGATCGCGAGCGTCGCCACGGACTATGCCAGGATCAAGCTCGAGGTTGAGGCAGCCGTAAGAAACCTTCGTTCAAAAATCCACGGCATCGGCAGTGGCGCGGGAGTTGAAAGCCCGATCGATCGTCTAAAGGCACAGCCTATATCGGTTCCTTTGGCTGCCGAATCCCTCAAAGTGGACGTTCAGTACTTCTCTCTAGATACCAATGAGCAGAACTCAAATTCATTTGCTAGCAGTATTTCTTCGTTGGTGTCGGACGCGACCAGCTGGCTGGGGGCCAAGCTCTCGGCTGAAATAAGCCAGGCTGCTGAGGCTCAGGTCCTCGACCAGGTTAAAAGACACAGTGTAGTTGGCACGTTGATTCTGTCCGCCTCGTGTACACACAGAAATGGAGTGATGCTCGAGCCATTGACGATTGACCCTGATAAGGGCATCAAGGCTTGGAATCGCCTGTTTCCTGATGACAGAATTGACGTTACCGGGCCAAGGGAGATGGCTGAGTTGGCCCGCACGGCAGATGGAAACGAGTCTAGCAACAAGTTCGGCCTCGTGTCTGGGATGAGTCTTGGGTCAAGCTTCATCGGCATGGTTCACGTCTTGAGCTCGACCAACAGTGACGCTGAAACCCCCGCGGTGAAGAGTCATGTCACCTTCCTCACCACGGGCACGATCTCGGGGGTGACCCTCAACGAGTCAGCATCAGATAAGCCAGTATTGGAGACTATTCTGCCTGCCTTCCAGCGAGTGCAATTGAACGATCTAGATGATCGTGCCTTGGATCCAACGCAGCTTGGGCAGGGTCTGGTGGATTCGGCGCTGACAGAGGTCAATAGCAGTATCAGCAAGCTTGTCGACACCAATTTTATGACAGCAGCCCTTAATGACTACCTGCGGAAGGCTTCCAGTGGTAGCTCCGGTGTGCCATTGAGCTATCACCTGAAAGAGATCACCAAAGGCGACATCGCTGAGGCATGGGTGGCCAAATACCATCCCGAGACTCCAGTATCTTAATTTATGACGGAGACAAAATATGATGCGTATGCGAGATCGATTGATTGCCTCTAATATTGATAGTTGTTGTTCTGAGGAGAAGGCGTGGATGTGTGAGCGTCGAGGGTCCACGCAAGATCTCGGAGTAGAGGTTGGGCCAACAATTGGGTTCGTTTTAAAGATATTTTTTTGGTCATTTCCTGTAGAAAATAAATCAGCATGCATCAAAATTGAACCATCTACTCTCGATAAGCGACTTGGCCTCGCAACAAGCATAAGCATCACGACCTTTCAAACCAACCAGATAAGGTCAAACCAAACCCAAAAGCTTCTCAATCAATTTTGGTATGCGTTTGACTGGGTATGTCTAGTTTTGACGGCTTATTTTATTTTATTTTATTTTCCCTGATTTTAGGAGATTTCTGGCTGAATCTCTCGAGTGCCGCTGTGATACGCCTGATGAGCCAACATGCAGCACCCACCCGGCCGCGCCTTCCTTGAATGATGGTCTCCTCTCCTTTGCCTCAGGCAGCAACTGTGATAGCCAATTTGATATTCAATTGCAGGAGCTTCGCCTTTCTTCTCATGTTGCGACGAGCCATCGCCCCAGACCTGACCAAGCAGTCATCTCCCGTACACCCAGCATTACATGGGCCATCATCGCATTTGAGACACGAGAAACCGCAGCTAAACATACAATCAACACAAAAGCCGCATCCTCCTCAGCGTCCGAGTATGCCGGCAGCGTCACGGACGTCTGGGGCAGCTGCTTAACACAATTAAGCTTGTCTTCAATTCCCATTAGAACCGGCAATTGGTCATTCAATGGCCTGGCAGCGACATCGGTCCAGCTGAATCATTGCCTTATCTCTTGGCAGGGCCCCGGAGGCCAGACCACGGGGCAGAATAAAAATGGAAGCAACCCCGTTTTGCCTCTTCCCCCAGCTTCATGTTTTCTCGCTCGATAACCTCAGCAGGGATAGACTCGGTCGCTTGTGAACGAGTAAGCTTCAATGCGAGGGCCGAGACCAGCTTCTCCCCCGCCCAGGACCTCGTGAGAAATGACAAGAGCTTGGAAATGATGGAGAATCTCGAGACGTCCCCAAAAATCGCGAGCTCTCAGGCCACGCGCTGGCCCTTGGGATGGGTTTTCATTACGAGAGAGGGCTTTTCCATTACGAGAGGAATACGCCACGGTCGGACACCTGCCGCCGGGACGACGGATACGGCTTCGCCAATATTGCCTCGCGATTTTATGGGTTTCGTTCAGGTCCCCTAATCCAGGGACCAGTGCTTGTCTCCAGCGTCACGGGAAATCTGATCATGCGAGGGGACTATGCCCGCGAAGGGGCCGAACGGTGATGATCGAGACAAAGCAGAAGAGTTGAGGCCCGAAATCAGTCATTGCAGCTCCACCGCGAGTGGTCTGAGCCTGGTGACATTGACGGCGTCTCTATTGGCGGGCGACGAGGCAAATAAATGACGCGCGCCCCTGACTATTTCGAGAGGCAGCCCGGGCCAGGGGTGGTGGATATAGCAGGCTCGATCAGGCAACAAGATGGCAACGGCAATGGAAATACGCGGCGACAAGCTCGGCAGACATCAAGATCCGGTGTGGGAGCATCCCGCCCGGCACCTGATGCTTGACCACAGCTCTGCTTCTGACCAAGCAAGAGACAGGATTCTGACCAAGGAAGAGACACGCGGCACTGATTGCGCGATCCTGCATGCAAGGAGAATACAAGCTGGCGGGAATAGGCAACCGACACCTCGACTCAGATGCTTACGGGCAAAAGGGGTTGGATGATGACATTTGATTGTCTTGAGAGGGAAAATTGGGGAAGATCAACACTCGACTCAGTCCACTGCATGATGGCGAACGGAAAAGACGGAAGGAAGATTTCTAGAAGGTCTACAATCATGCGCAATGGCTCCATGGTGGTCCATTCGGTGGATCGTCATTTGTCAGAGAAACTTGGGGGGTGCTTGTTAGTCGTGCACACTCTCCACTGCCAATCAGCATCTTCTGCGGGCATTTACAACCTTCTCCACCTCCTCTGGAAGGCAAAAAATTTCCTCTCTGGCCCCCCCAACGAACGACTAGCCTTGCGCTTGTGCGGCGCCACAGCCCTCCTGTCAATGGCCCGTCACTTTGCCTTGTCGAGGCAAGGCGTGCGGCTCTGCCTATTCCCGCCGGCTGCCGGCTTGGCGGGAACCTCCAAGGGTGAAGATTGACGTCGTTTCCCGGCCGTGATTGCCGGGCGTGGGTGGTGTCGTCCCGAACGCAGATGTGTCTCACTCAGCCTCTGTGTCTTGCTCGAACGCAGCTCTCGCGATGAGACACCGCAATTATAAGCAGCTCATTTAGAGTCTGTGGGACTCTGCTGGGCTGGACTCTCCACGATCCACTGCTTGCATTGTCTTCTCTCCATCGCGACTGGGCGAGTCGGTGTTTGAAGCTCCCAGACCCCTGGCTAGTCAGGCCGCCTCGGGAAACACTTGACACATCGAAAGGTCCTTGGGCTCCGCTTGGATTGGCACCGGTGGCTCTAAGCAAGGTGCTGATGACGTCCGTGGGCAATTGCGTAGGTAATTGTCTCCTAACAGAATCCACCCTATTACCCTCACGAAACCTCCCATGGCCGCCTCGTGCTTGATGCTCGCGAGATCCAGACAATGCCCGTCGACTCCCCAAAATCCCCAGAGATTTACCAACAAGCACTTTGCGGGGGACTTCGTCTGGGGTTTGACTTTGACGAGATCTGGGTTTCTCCAGCCTTGGTCGAAAGTCTATTGAGCTCCGTGTCCGAGGGCGGAGGTTTGTTCGTGCAGCAGGATGTCGAACCTTGCTGCAGCCACCAACGAATAGAAATAACCCAGAAGCAAAATGAGACTTTGTTATCTCGAGAGGAGATCCCTGAGACAAGCCGCCCGTCGTCCCATGACCCACCCCCAGGAAGTCGGTATCGGCTCCGGGCACAGCTCTTGGGGCGTAAGTGGTATTATGTTATTGCTTCTCGAGAGTTTTCCAGTGCTGGAGATAACACATCTTCCGCGTTCGGTCTTCCCTCCTCCCCCCACCGGCGCACCAAGCCCATATAATGCGTTCCATTCCCCCCATCTGACTCGGGCTATTCCTTCAGTCTTCTTTGTCTTTAGATTCCCGCTAGACTAGTAGACGGAGCTCTCTCTCCTTTGATTAGGGTTTTCATAAATATAGACGGACTCCCGCGTACTGCTCCCAGTCTCACATCCAACTCACTCAGCAGCCTCTCCCACGCACCTCCCTCTCTCTCTCTCTTCACAGAAACAATACTTCCCATACTGGGTCATACCTCGGTCGTACTTCCAACATGGCTGATATTGTACCAGCCGCGGATGCCACCAAGAGTGCGCCCAACCACCACAACGAGAAGATGGACATCTCCAGTGGGGACAACTCCATGATGGGAGACCACTCGGTGGACAAGGCTGAGGGCACCACCACCGACCTGGAGGAGCAGGGCGCCGCTCACTTCCACCGTCTCGGATGGAAGCGCCTCACAGTCGTCCTCATCGTCGAGGCCATCGCTCTCGGCAGTCTGAGTCTCCCCGGCTGCTTCGCCACCCTCGGTATGGTCGCTGGTGTCATCACCTGCGTCGGTCTCGGTCTCATCGCCATCTACACTAGCCATGTCGTCGGCCAGGTCAAGATCAAGTTCCCCAAGGTCACCCACTACGCTGATGTCGGCACCCTCCTCTGGGGCCGCACCGGTTACGAGATCATCGGCTTCATGTTCTCCATGCAGCTCATCTTCCTCGTCAGCTCGCACACTCTGACCGGTACCATCGCCTTTGGAAATATTACTGAGAATGCCACCTGCTCCATCGTCTTCGCTGTCGTCTCCGCCATCATCCTTCTCCTACTGGCTATCCCCCCCTCGTTCGCCGAGGTCGCCATTCTCGGATACATCGACTTCGTCTCCATCATCCTGGCTATCGGTGTGACCATGATCGCCACTGGCATCACGGCTGGTGACCAGACCGGCGGAATGTCCGCCGTCAACTGGTCCGCCTGGCCCAAGGAGGACATCACCTTTGCCGACGGCATGATCGCCGTCACCAACATCGTCTTCGCCTACAGCTTCGCCATCTGCCAGTTCTCCTTCATGGACGAGATGCACACCCCCACGGACTACGTCAAATCCATCTGGGCTCTGGGTATAATCGAGATCATCATCTACACCCTCACCGGCGCCATCATCTACTCCTTCATCGGCCAGGACGTCAAATCCCCCGCCCTCCTCTCCGCCGGCTCCCTCATGTCCAAGGTGGCCTTTGGCATCGCCCTCCCCGTCATCTACATCTCCGGCTCTATCAACACTACTGTCGTCGGCCGCTACCTCCACGGGCGCTACTACAAGGACTCGGTCATCCGCTTCATCAACACCAAGGCCGGCTGGGTCTCGTGGCTCACCCTCATCACCGCCATCACCGTCTTGGCCTTCCTCATCGCCGAGGTGATTCCCTTCTTCAGCGACCTGCTCTCCATCTCCTCCTCGCTGTTCATCTCCGGCTTCACCCTCTACTTCCCCTCCATCATGTGGTTCGTCCTCATCCGCGAAGGCAGCATCTGGGAGCGCAAGAACATTCTTCTCACTGTCGCCAACGCCATCATCTTCGTCATCGGCATGATTGTGCTAGTCGGAGGCACCTACGCTAGCATCGTCGACATTGTAAGTTTTTTTTTTACTTCCCGCCCCCCCACCAGACTAGCAAACCTTGCTCTCGGCATTTCCTTCGGTACTAACATGACGCTACAGAAAAAGAATTTCGATGAGGGCACCGTCCGCGGCGTCTTCACCTGCAGCCCAATTGGTTAAGAGTCGGGACTGGCTCCCGCCGCGGCCGATCCGGGCAGACTCTTCTCGTTTTCGCTGGCGTTTCCGTATTGGCGCTCTGATTGGCGTTTCGCGATTTCTGAAATTTTTTTCATGTTTTACCTCGTTTTCAAATCTGTGTCTGAGCGAGCCCAACCCCCTTGCTTTACTCGAAAGGCTGCATTGCATGGTTCGGAGCACTGTTAACTGCGCTTTGGGAGTGGAATTTTTTTCAACTGGAGTAGCTCGTTCCTGTAATCTACTTAGCGATATGAAATTCTCATTGACGCAATTTATGATTTGAATTCGGCTGGTTGCTATTTGCGGTGTGTGTGTCTCATTCCTTTCGGTGCCATTGCTCCGGAACGGGAGTGGCAGAAGGGAGAGATGGGTCTGGAGCGCGTTTAGGTTTGGCTACTGCCGAGTGCATGGTGCTTTTAGATTTCCGTGCTTGGTGGGCCTGGAGGTGCCGGATGCGGTCTTTGTGTTGATTGGCATGTCGAACTTATGCGAGTTTCCCGTATCCCCAAATGTCATGTTAGGCTTGGCCAGGTCTGCAGCAATCGCTTCGCAACACGAGGGAGAAGGGTTTGTCCATCCTACCCTGCCTCCTTCCTAGTAATATTAAATGAGAGAGCCATATGGATTATGCGACAGCTGCTGAAAAAAACAAGGTGGCAATACCCGAACTACCAAAAATCCACAAATTGATGCTATTCCCAGCATCACAACACGTTTGCTGCCCAGATACGTGATGAACATAGACAGAAATCTGCCAAAATCAGGGGGGGACACTATAAACACCGAATGGGCCAAATATGCATGTTGGAACTTAATTTAATTGATTGATTCAGTAAGCTTTCAGGCTTGAGTTTGATTTGGTTGGTTTGAAGAGCCGGGCTCATTCGAAGCCCTCCGGACAGGATCAGGTGTATCCTCACATCATTGTATGTTTAGTAAATATGCTGAGGCGAGCTGCGATGACTCTCGCTATCCCGATACAAGACGCCAGGGTTTATTAAGATGAAAACCCCCCAAAGGTCATCTTAAGAGCTCAATAGAGGGTTCGCGCCCCAACAGTCGCAGCTGCAGTTACGTCGCCGCCGTGACGCAACCTTTGGTCAGATGAAGATAAATGTCAGGAGGTGTAGATAAAGCTGGAGCGATAGTCGGGATGGTGAAGGCTTCTGTTCAGCCCTTGGGTTCTTGGAAAACTGTTGAAAACTGAAAGAGTTGCCCACGTCAAATACACAGCGAACCAATTGTCCTCAAGACAACAGTTCAGCATAACATTCGAATGTACATGGCAGGCAGAAGTAAGCCGACAGATCTTCACCAGATAGGTTCAGCACATTACAAGCGAGATAGAGGAACGGAGGCTGTATCTGTTTCCTCTTGGGACCATTGACATAGCTCCGGTCATACTGGATGATGTGGTATTCTGTTGATCTATCCACCCAGTATTGGTGACTGATTCCAAATGCATCTACGTCTTCTAGTTGACTTGAAATCTCCTGTTAGTTCACAAAAAAAAACCATGTGACCGACCATTCCATGAGAAGGTTCCAGGAGCCTAATTTCGTCGCCCATGCTTACCCCGGAGGCATAGTGGAACTGAGCAGTATTGAAATAATCTGCCAGTGTAAAGCCGGAATAATGAAAAGAAAGGAACTCAGTGACATGACAGCCAGGCAACTTGATGGAACTGGACTGTCTCTCCTCGGGCTCGTCAGTCTTCTTCATTCACGTAAAGCAAAGAAAAGGAACAAGTCGCTGACATCGAAGTTCCTTGGCCCATCAGTGCCATAGGAGATTTTTTGGAACTCAAAGACATTGGAAATGGAGTTCAAGAACACCGGAACCACTGGCTGGAACTCGATGGCATGGCTTCCAAGACTCAGTGTAATGGAACCTCTCCGAGTGCAAGACTGCCATCCTTTGTTCTTCTTTTTCCTTTTCTCTCCTCTTCCCTTTCCCACCCAACCCCATCCTTCTTATCATTCTTCCCTCGTAGTTTCTGTACTTTCTTGCCCAGAGCCATCTCGCCGTCAAAGCCGACCGAAGCTTGATCTAGGTTGCCGACGAGGCGTCAACCATCAAATAGTTTCGGGGGCTGCAATCGTATTTGGAATATCGGAATGGAAAGTCTCTTTTTGTTCGGCATCGGAAGGAATCGAAAGGTTGCGGCCATTCTTGTAGCATGGGCAAGCTCGCAGGCCCTGAACGATGGTGATGCTTCTTCAGCTCGATCGCCGACCTTGATGAAGACTTCCTGTGCTGCACCAAGCGGCTTCTAATCGACGGAATCAACTTCACTTATTAGCGTTTTGCAAGATAGGCTCTCCGATTTGATAAACTTTGGGCTTCGCTCGACGCCTGCTTGAGATGATTCGAGGTATATCCGACAATGCTGGAAACATGCTTCAGTTGGAAAAGGGCAGTTCTCGGATGACGATCGAGGTATGTCTAAATCAGCAGTTGGGTGTTGTTTTCTTAACCGGTGAAGAGAGTGTATGCAGTGTGGGAAGCCCCAACGAAAGATGAGGGCGGAATGATGTAGGTAGTAGATCACCAGCATTGGACAAAGGCCGGCTCGAGGTTGCTGCCTAAACATCTACCAGCCCCGACTTCCCTTAGCGAGGAGGCCTGTTACCTGAGCCAGGAGAGTAGTGCAGTTACTGCTAAACCACGGGCAAGACACCTACCTGCCGCCTTGTGTTAGTACTAGCTACCGGACGGTGAGTGATCGAGTCTCGACGTAAGATCAACACAACAAACTTAACAGTAAAGACGGTGTCTAGAGAGACATGACCATCAACTGAGTTATGATATCCTTGTTGTTCAGTTATTACTGTCGGCCAACACGCACTGCTAGGGCACATCCCGCATGACAGAGGCGTGCAGACCTCTTACTCGGGAGTGATACCTCAGGCACTGATCCCTGATACTGGGCAGCAGGCAGGCACTGCCTGGAGTATGATACCAGTAGCTGCTTCTGTGAACATACGAGTATGACGTAAACGATTCGATAGGCTTCCATTGGGAACTGGGAAGGAGCCTTCTCTTACCCTTCGCAATGTTGACAAGGCCTTTACCTGCCCTTCTTCCTCTTCTTCTTCCTCTTCTTCATCTTCTTCCTCTCTTCCTCTTCTTCCTCCTCTTCCTCCTCTTCTTCCTCGGGCATTTGCTCCCTGGGCTCGTAGTGTACGCCCCCACCAAGCGTCGAGTTGCAGGCTTTTCAAAAGACGAAAGATGCCCTGCATCGGTTCAAAGACATGATCACCAAGCACCAAGCGCCTGAGAAATACGAAGATACGTCAGAGAAAGAGAATAAAGTTTAACAGCAATGGAAGCTGCCAGAGCCCGACAACTCAACACAATGAATGCGCTGGCGGGATACCTCCATCCAAAACAGTGCCCAGCGATTTCGCCAGATCTTGAATCAATCGGATATTTAGGGAGACATTCCAACATTCACGATCCAACTTTTCAAAAGACGAAAGATGCCCTGCGTCAATTCAAAGATACGTAAGAGAAAGAGAATAAAGTTTAACAGCAATGGAAGCTGCCAGAGCCCGATAACTCAACACAATGAATATCCAACACTCACAATCCAACTTTTCAAAAGACGAAAGATGCCCTGCGTCAGTTCAAAGATACGTCAGAGAAAGAGAATAAAGTTCAACAGCAATGGAAGCTACCAGAGCCCAACAATTCAACACAATGAATGGGCGCAGGATAAGATACTTTTTTTTCAGGACTCGAGCCTGAGATTAAGAAGAATGGTGAGATATCTTTGGCCATCGACTGTACATACTAGTTGGAGCTGACTTTGGACAGATGCCTAATGACCAGGAAGAAGTAATACCCCCAATGACTTCCTTTGCACCGGTCCCATGCATCCCCGTACTAACCGATCGTGCTATAAGCATTAGAGGAAAGAGCTGGAGGTATGACTGGATGAAATCCTATCTTGTGTCTCTTGGCATATACTAACTCCCCGCCGCAGGATGCATGGGCGGCCAAAAAGTGAGCCATCTCCCATCGTACTCCTGATCATCTTGCTGATGGGGTGTTAGCAAGCCAAAGAGCGCCGAGAAGTAAGCCAGACACCCTAAGTTCTCTATGCTTTATCATGTTGGCCATATGCTGACGCAACTAGATCGCGCTTGAGAAGATCATTGTACGTAATGCCTCTTGCAATGGCCAGATATAACAAGTCGCAGCTAACATCAGTTCTTTCCACATCAAGCTTTAGGACCTGAAGGTAGAAGCAAGCGATGTCGGAAAGAACCAGTAATTTATTCTTACTGACCGTTCTCGGATAGAAGGTGAGCTTCTTCGTATCATTGTTTAGTGTCGTGCGGATCATTGCTAACTTTGTGGACCAGGGTGGCTACGTTTGCCAACACTCGGCGATAAGAAAGAGATGGTCATGCATAACGGCCCAGGGATTTAATCACCTAATAAGCCCCATCTAGAGCCCAATCGCCGATACGAGGCTCGCCATTGCAGCCAAGAAGATAGGGGGTCAACCACAGCACACATGCACCACTGAAATGTCAACAACATGAGGCGGTGGGTGGTGGTGAAGAAGGAGAGGACGATGAGAACGAGGCGGCGGTTGTGGTGAAGAAGGAGAAGACGACGAGAATGAGGCGGTAGGTGGTGGTGGTGGTGGTGATGAAGAAGGAGAAGACGATGAGAATGAGGTGGTGGTAGTGGTGGTGGTGGTGGTGGTGGTAGTGATGAAGAAGGAGATGATGAAGAGAGCGAGGCGATGGGTGGTGGTGGTGGTGGTGGTGATGGTGAGAGAAGTTGGGTTTGGGCTCGCCGGGCTCGCCGGGCTCGCTCGGCGAGCCCAGACAAAGGTAAAAATCAGCGTCGGGCTGCTCTCATCCAGTCCATAGGGCCCGGAGAAGATGATGACTTGGACGAATTACTGTACGTAAGAGAAAGAGAATAAAGTTCAACAGCAATGGAAGCTGTCAGAGCCCGACAACTCAACACAATGAATAAGGACGAGTTACTGTACTGTGAGAGAGTTCGAGTATCAAGTAAAAAACAGCAATGGAAGAGGGCGGACCCGATATCTCAACACAATGACTGAGGATGAATTACAAACTTCCCCGGAGCGAATAGCCCCGGGAGCATCCATAAACAGCGAGGAACAGTAGAAAGGGGCGAGCGGCAGAATCAAAGACAGTAAGAGCAGACTTATGGTGGGAAGAGAAAACAGAGGCGGGAGAAGGACTCTACGGTGACAACGAGACGGTAAAGAGGGGAGGGGGAGGACAAGCAGAAGGAGAAGGGAGCTATGGAGGAGAAGGATCAAGTAAGACTTAGCAGCTCTCTCAATCTCAAGGCTTTCTTGGGAGTTTCAACCTACAATTAAGTACACCGTGATTTTTTGTCTCCCCTTCGACGATTCGCATTCCAGTCGAGCCCTCGACAGACCTCGAGCGCTACTAGCCACCGAAATCACTCAACCCCGATAGTTCAGGCCAGTCCTCATCATCAATTTCCATCCACTATCAGCTCCAAACGGTACAGCATTCAGTTACACATCTCCTGCAGTCGGCAATACCAATAGCCTTCTTTGCCTTGGGGGAAATGAGGTGCCGGAGCGCGTATTCGTTGTTGTGATGGCACAGCCGATCATCAATAAGAACAAAAGTGATCGTAAAGCTTTTGCCGAGATACATCGGCTTTCAAGGCTAAATTCAATATCAGGAAACAACATGTAAGAGGATACAGCAATATTCACGGACCCACCACCTGCAAGTTGATTATTATACGACTTGGGTGCTATCCAAGATCGGCCTCTGCGAAACTGTAGAAGGGAGCGTCGTTCATTTCGGTCATCCGATATTCGCGATTATTAAGTCGTCTTCTCTCCAGATAGTGTGACACGGGCTATACAAATTGGAATGCAGGCCACAGTCTCCAACAAGGGCAACTTGGCCGAGTGGTCTGAGGCGCTAGAACCAAGATTTCAATCTTCTACGTAGCAATACGTGGTGCATTCTAGTTCAGAGATGAATCGCGCAGCGGTCAATTCTTTTTTTTTTTTTTTCCACTGGCGGGCCTTCACCCCGTGGTATGAACGGGGCTAAACACGTTTTTATTTTATTCTCCCATACGTTTACTCCCTTTTGCTTCGCTGACCAACGGAGAAACAACCTCCCCTCTCTCCTCCAACACACCCGAACGGTGGGATCAACTGAGTCCCCCTGTCCCTGGAAAGCCCGAACACTCCTTTTTCGCCGTTAGAGTATTTGTAAAATAGCTAGCTAGACGCCCGTTGCCTAGAACAGGCTCTAGCCGGCATTGAACAGTAATCAATCAATCAATCAGGCGATGGGGTCATGTGCCATCACAGCAGAACGGCACTGCCATCGTCCGCATCCGAGTCGATATGGCGGGATAGGGACAGTCGAGAGAAAATATTACACAGACAAGAAGCAAGAGCAGAAGAAAGTACGTCGAGTTACTGAGCTTTTTCCTACGAGTAAATACACGTTTTCTTCCTTCCCTCCCTCCCCCTGAAGCTTTTGTACAATCAATCCTTCGCATCAACTGGGTTCTCTCCCCCCCACCCAATTTATTTGCTGCAGAAGACTTCAGTATCATTGATCTCGGGGCGGTGTGCAGTCATTTCACTTACCAGCAAAATCCCATGAAGCAGGAACAGGTCTTGCTGCTACCACTGCAGGGGCGTCCGGTGTTTATCGAGCATTGGCGTGTCTCCAATCCGTTTGCGTCGATTTCGACGGGACTGGCCAGAGCCAGGCCTGCAAAGGTGGCGAGGAGAAAGTATGAGAACTGCATTTTGGAGCCCGGTGAGTGTGTCTTTGAAATGTTGGAGAGGGTGCGCTAGCTTGTTGAACACTTGAAACGATTGGAGCTGAAGATGCAGATGATGCAATTGAGATAGACGACCGGATACTGGAGGCTTTTATATCATATTTTGGTAACAGACCTGGCTGAAATCATGCAGATGCCCATGGCCTCCATGAATCCCTCACAGGTCTTCGTCAGATCCTTGTGGCAAGTCCTACGTTACGTCTCCCCAGGAACTTTGGTCATGAAACCCTGTGCCTGATACCTGGAAATTCAACATTATCCTTCTTTTCGGGTAAATCGGATTCCTACTGGCATTAGAACCTAACCAAAGGCGCGGCGGAGTTTTCAGTGCGGCACGGATTCCGTTGCAGATCAAAGCTCGGACGTTGGTGTCTTGTTAGCTTCGACTTCATTTTTATCTTCACCTTCCCAATATAGAGGCACATCTGTAAGAGATATAGTATTGTAATGAGGCCTTGAATCCTGAATCTGGCGATTCCGCAATCATGTCAGATTCCTCGGATCGGTAACATTCTTCCCCAAGGATGTTCCAAGCATACGAGAAATGTTCAATAAACCCAGTACATTTGTCTCTGAAACACCTGCGGAGGGTAATACTCTTCTTTGTTATAAAAAATTCATTCATGGGTTTACATTCGAACACTCAGTCGTTGAAAGAGAGGCCTGCGCGCTGGCGGGATGCACTGCCACTGCCAACAATTTGCCAACCGGTTATTCGTTTCGATGCCTTGGCGCTGCGTCCGGCACAGATCCTTGCTCGCTTGCCACAAGAAAGCTATAATCCAATTAGGAAACTAATATGATTGAAGTCTGGGGTTTTAATAATACCTTTCATCCCACCGGGAGTGGAGGACGGCCTGTCTCAAAAACCCACTAGCAATCATGCCTCATTCATGGCTATTGCTTCCCATGTGCAATCAAGCCTCTTAACGGGAACTTTCTGCCCCTCTTAAAGCATAACATTACGTTTCCTCAGACTGGGCTGATCCTCGAGCCGGTGCTAATAACCTGGGCCAGATCCTAGCATGGTGTCTGCATTAGCTACATCGTAGGCGAATGTGTTGTTAAAGATTTTTGAATTTCTTCTCTCCAGCCTAGGAAAATAACTTATCTTAAGATGACAGCTTTTTTGTTTGCTTTTTCTAGTCATTAAAATCATCACAAGTCAAATGCTGATACAGTAATGGCGGAGTTTCCTGGGCGGCCGACGCCGACGGGGGCGGATCTCTTTCTCCCTGTACCGATGATCCTGAGGAATTATGGACTTGCTTATAGAAGAAACCCAGCTGTTTCTATTAAATTGCTAATATGTGGCTAGATGAGTGCCTTTGTGTCAAGCAGGCAGCTGTTATACAGTGCCTACTCTGAATAGAGTACCACAGCGTCACCATTCTGCAAGCGATTACCTACGCCGCGTCCTTGTCTTGGCTGATTTCAAAACAGTTGCTCGGTTCATCACCACAGATCCACAAGCGGAAAGAGACTCAAGTGCTTTAATACTGTTTTCGTTTCAAAAAGATGACCCTCAATGTGGCCCACCAGAAGAATGCAATTCGGTAGGAAGACAGAGGCAAAGATTGCGAGCCCATCCCTTCAGGAGTTGATGCAAAGGTCAATGATGCGATTTGTAACGGGATATCATGGATCTCACAGCGAAATCAGGAGATCTAGGGGCTATTGGTATTGCTGTTTCATTCTTCAGCGTTTGTAATCATTTCTAATGATAGTCAATTTATTACCTGCTATTATAATGCTATTCACTTGCGATGGTGTGATAATGGGGCAATATCACAACAGCTTCAGCCCTAAGCACCACCTTTGGGATCAATTACGTTTGTTGATGGAGATGCTAACGGCGAGACAAAGTGTTAACGCACCCAGCCCTTGTCAAAAACTATGAAGACAGAATTCTCAAACCGATGGCAAGTAGTGCCGACATCAGACCCAGATTTGAAAAAAATTTAACCAAACAAGCCATGCCGCTGCGAGGATATTGCTGAGTGGTGAGCGCGCGAGGAGAGGCTACCGCAATAGAACGGATTATACGGAGTATTACAACCAGATACCCCAACATCGAAGGATTTGGGAAAGACTAGAGTGAGTATGCAATTATCCGTCGGATGCCCCTCAACTATAAGGATTGGCAAAAGGAGGGTGCACTCGTCAGCATCTTCACCTCTGTTATTTTCCACGCTCAACCGTCTTCGGCCTCATCATTTGCCATTGCATCTCACCACCATCTCTTGCTAACCACCTTTCGTTCAGACATGCAAACCAAATGCATCATGTCTTTTGACTCCCCATTCAAGGGCTGCAGGAGCTGGTCCGACGCTGCCAACTCCATGGCCTACCCCCGCTATTACCACGATCATCATTCTGGTCCTCGGTCTGCTCCTTCCTCATGTTTTCTTGAGAGGCTCCTCGAGGAGACGATCACGTGAAACGCTGCCTGCCCCAACATGTTATCTTATCCAACTTACAGATCCACGCGTTTTTCAGAAGGAAGAGCTTCTACGCAAGTTGGGCTACCCCAGCACAAGACAACATGCCGCCAACCTCGCATTCACTCTCATACGCTCCTTCGATCAATATAACACCGCAACTAAAGATCTCATGAGCTTGGAATTCCCTATTGACACCAACCTCGTCGAGATTCCGCCCTTATCCGAGACGGACGATGCCACAATAGAGTGAGAAACATCAGGTATGGCAAAACAGGCCAGACTAACTCCTGTCTACATCGTTCAGTTCACGGCCGTGGCAGGCAATCGGCGGCTTCAGAAGCAAAGATAGCAGCATGGTCTAGGTGCGAGATTTCCTCCCCGAAGACGTCCCGAATACTCGGATCCTCGTCTACGGACACGAGCCAGCCATTACGGACAAGGACAAAAGGATTTCCTTCACCGCCCTAGCCAAGCGCTTATTAGAGCCATGCAAAGCCTTTCGCGAAGCGACGCAGGTACTATTCTAATTGTTCCTAGCAATCACGGTACCGGTTCTAAAAATTTAAAGGCAACCCGCCAGCGGACAATATTCATTGGCCACAGCTTGGGGAGACTTGTGACTAAAAAGGTAGGCCAAGGTCTCCCATTCTACTCTCCTCAGGATCATCCACTAATCAGACCACAGGCCTTGACCATTGTATTCGACGGAAGCAAAGACCCGCAAAATAACGACTTATTCATGTCCTCATACGGCTTGGTGTTCTCGGAGTCCCCAAACATGGTGTAAGGCTCGAGAAGCTCAAGGGAATTGCTTCCGGTCAGATAAACCCACAGCTCATACATGATTTAGAGCTTGACTCGGACCCAGAGCCAACGCCATATCTTCAAAGCCTCCAAGATACGTTTATCAGTTGTCACAGAAAGCAGGATCCGCCAATGGGGATCGTATCCTGCTACGAGGAAGGAAATACTGTTACAATCATTGCTCGTCTATCCATGTTCCACTCTAAGGCTGGGAGATAGCACGTTGACAGTAACGTATATCAGATGGACAATCAGGGAAAATTATCTTGAGGGAGCAGTCCTTGATTCATGGTGACGCCAGAGTCAGCATGCCGAGTTGGTTTCCAGCTTAGTGCCCACGACAAACAGCCTCTATCCTTCGACCATTTCAGCTTGGTCAAGTTCTCTGATCAAGCAGATCCAAGTCAAGGATGGGCCTAATGTTGTTTCTAAACGTTTCCAGGCCCAATTTAATGTATAAAGGACGATATCTAATCCCGATATAAAGCCAATCGACTTGTTCAGAGCTTTCGGAAGATGAAAAGCGACACTAGGATAACCTGAACGAGCCTAGCTACCGCGCCTTCATCGAGAACGAAGAACCAAATCGGTTTCGGGGCCGCAGAGGGGACAAAAGCTTCCAATCGGCATACCTCGCTTCGAAAGAGAGATGTTGGAAAAGTTTCTTCACTCAGTCCCTCATATTGCCGTCTTTCTCGACTCTGGGTGCCTGGCGAGGGCTGTCAGAGGCAAGACTTTGCCGAACATATCGGATACATTTAACGACGACGACTTGCTTTTGGCTGAGAGGGTGGGAGCGGCAGATTCATTTCACGAGCTGCTACAGGAAGACACCTCACTGAGACTTAGTGTCACCAAGGGAAAATCCAGATTAGACCTGAAGTGTTGATAGAAACCGCTGCCGCCCAGGGTGGAGGCAGTGCATTGGAAATGTTCCCAAGGGAGAGATGTGGTGAGATCCCGATTACACCTGGGGTGGTTCTAGCAGCAGCCCGATACCAGGATGGAAGCAGCACCAAGTGGAAGTCAGATCAACGATGTTCTTAAACTGATAACACCGAGCGCAGGGATAAATGGTAAGAGATTGAATCCAGAATTTGTATTGCCTTGAAATTTTCTGCTAACTTACCTACTGTTTTTAATATTTTATTGAAACGTATTGTTGGTAGGTAGACTTCCCGAAGTGAAGCGTTCCATGCCGACGGATTTCGTTATCGATAAGCGACAGACACAAAAAAATTAATGCCCCGCGATGACCAGAATCTCAACTCAAGACGTCATTTGCTTCCCTCTTTACCATCAATCTGAAAGAAAGTTCAGCCCTTCGTTCCGGGTGGCCGTTTTAAATTGAAATACTACATTTCCCCGACTCTTTCTAACTCGCGACCGGGGTTTTCAAGCCCATCCCTCACAGCCACCATGGCTGCCCCCGCTGACACAGTCGATGCCCCTCTCGAGGTCCAACACCCGAGTCCAGCACCACCATCCGAGTCACCAGCCCCTGCCGAGCCGTCGACTACCAAGCCCATCCACAGCCTCGTCCTCGACACAGGCCCTCTCATCAAGAATGACCCTCCCGCCGATGTGCTGCGAGCCCGCGCGGAGCAACTCTACATCCTCCCCTCCGTCCTCCCCGAAATCCGCGATGCTGCCACCCGCACCCGCGTAGAGACCACTCTGATGCCCTTTGTCACCGTGCGCGCGCCCAGACCTGCCAGCATCAAGATCATAACCGACTTTGCTCGCCGCACTGGCGATCTCGAGGTCCTGAGTCGCCCTGATATCCAGGTCCTCGCCCTCGCCTACGAGCTCGAGTGCGAACGCAATGGGGGAGACTGGAGGCTGAGGAGTACTCCGGGACAAAAGACCCTGAATGGGAAGCCGCCATCAAAAGAGGGGGAGACACCAGCACAGCCAGCCGAGAGTCAAGAGACACAAGATCAGCCATCGGCCGAATCCCAAACCAACCAGGCACCAGAGACCTCTTTAGAACAGACGGTGGAGCAACTGAGCATTGAGGAATCTGGCGAGAAGAAGAGCGACGATACCCCAGCGGCAGACACAACCATTAAGACAGAAGAGACGCAGCCGGCAAACGAAGACAAGGTCGAAGATGTTGTGGTCGTCGAGGTCGAGGACGATGCCGAGGACTCGGACGACCTCAAAGACGAGAACGACGAGGACGAGGACGATGGCGGCTGGATCACCCCGTCCAACGTCAAGAAGCACAAGGCCAAGGACACCAACACGTCCACCTCCTCCGGCGCGGCGGCCAAAACCCTCCAGGCCGCCGTCCTCACCTCCGACTACGCCATGCAGAACGTCGCCCTCCGCATGAACCTCAACCTCGTCTCCCCGGCCCTCACCCGCATCTCCCACCTGCGCACCTGGGTCCTCCGCTGCCACGGCTGCTTCCAGATCACCCGCGCCATGGACCGCCGCTTCTGCCCCTCGTGCGGCCAGCCCACCCTCCTGCGCGCCGCCTGCACCGTCGACGACCGCACCGGCGCCCTGACCGTCCACCTCAAGAGGAACTTCCAGTGGAACAACCGCGGCAACGTCTACAGCGTGCCCAAGCCCGTCCACGGCTCCGCCAATGGCCGCGCCCCCAAGACCAAGGGCACCCACGGCGGCAAGAACGGCTGGGGCCGCGACCTCATCCTGTCCGAGGACCAGAAGGAGTACACCCGCGCCCACGACGAGCAGCGCAGACAGCGCAAGAAGGACATCATGGACGACGACTTCCTGCCCGGGCTCATCAGCGGCGACAGGGGCGCCGCGGGCGGCAAGATTCGCGTCGGCGCCGGGAGGAACATCAACGGCAGGAAGAAGAGGTAGATAGATACCCCAGTAAATGGAACGTGACGATGATCCTCTTTTTTTTGTTACGGTAGGGACAACGGGATAGAACAAAAGTATATATGAACGTTAATGAATTCTTTTTTTAATAATGAGATGAAAGAAAAGCTGCTTTCTGAGTGTAGAACTTTTCCTCCCCCTGATCGGTGTATGCCAGTAATCAAGAAATACCCAACGCCGAGTTACTGTAGCAAAGTCGTTTCGCCCTTGTAGAAAAAACAAAACCTCCCCCTACTCTTCCCAAATCTAGTTCAGCGGCATTCCCCTTGCTGCCAAATTCACTCTCTCCATATCCTCGCCTCCGCGCTCCTCCTCTCGATATCGGTTTGTGTCAATTATAGCTCCTCAGCCTCTGCAGAAAAAAAAATGTCAGTACACAGTTTCTAGACCTCTGTTCCGGGGAGAGTCAGACGTACTCTGCTGGGTGAGAAGGAGACCGAAACGTCTCTTCATGGTCACACGCTGGCGCGACCACTTGTCATCGGGGGAGAAGCGGGCGGGGTGGGCAGACTTGGTGACCTGGCCGTGGGCGACCTTCTTGAGGGTGTAGAGGCGCTTGCCTTCGGTGTCGAGGGTGTACATCAAATGCATGGTGGGCGAGGATTTGCTGTTGCGCTGGTGGTTTCGAATGTTTCGGGTGGCTCTTTTTTCTTTGGGATACCGTCAATTGGGTGGGTTTAAGGGGTCGTGATGGGCTTTTCCGGTATTGACTGGCGTCTGGGACTGGAGATGGTCGACTTGGTGGTTTGGAGCATCAGAAAATTTCCAACCTGGTCACGTGTGTGTGGAGCTTGCTATCGATAAGCCATTGGGAAATCTTAGTGGCCCATATTTACCCGAGGGTGGTCCAGGTGCGGAAAGTTACCTCATGATTGACCTAACCTAGACACAAGATCCAGGCACCTTGTTGATGGCGTTCCTCGATTCAATTAACCTTTGGGGGAAAAGTAAAGATAGCGAACAGTGGGGGCGCGCAAGCTTAATGTTGTCAAAGCTTTTGGTTGGCGGTATTAATCTGCATTGCGCAACAGGGCCGTTGACTCTGTTGGGCGATGCGTAAGAGGTGGCTGGGCTGCGCTTACACATCGCTGCTCCTTCGGTGGATGTCGTACTTCTTCATAGGTACATGAAGATGTAGTAGACACTGGGCCACGGTTTATATCACATCTTCAAGGGCTAGTTCACGCTGACATGTGTTTGAGAAAGACTAAACATAGATTGTTCATTGCAAATGAGAGTCATCAAAGTAAGTAGCTAATAAATATGCCATGAGCCAAACAGTGTAATGGCAAGACCAGAGAGCCGTGTGGGCTTGTGTGAAATGAATAACCAAGAAGCATAACAATATGCCAAAAAAAAACATTCAATCAATCAAACGAGGAGCATATCTCCATCAAAATAACAAGTGACAATCTGCATCATCCGCCTATTATCCAAGACAAAGACAAAAGAGAGAGAGCGCCAGTGGGAGATTTTACTCGTCCTCGCCGACACGGGCTCCCTTCGTTCCAGTCCACCCGTCGCGTTCATAGAAGCGGAAGACCAAATCGTACTCCTCAAAGTCATGGACGATTCGGTCAACGCGACGGAATCCCCGGACAGGGTCCACAAGCTTCTGCTTGAGCGGACCGTTGCCATCGCCCATGCCATATGGGTTGGCGCTCTTGCCCTTCCCTTCAAACAGGGTCACGCTGAATCGGCCGGGCTTGAAGATGTTGACAACATTCTCAATGATCTCCGCCGTGGAGCGGCCAGAGGCTCCAGCGGGCACATTGGTCTCAAACGAGGCAAAAGAGCACTCCGGTTCAGGTGTGACGTGCACCGTGAAGTAGTGACCGGCATCCTTCTCATCCTTTCCGCCCTCAGAAGGATGGGCTGCCGGGATCACACCATTGGCGGAGAAGCCGCAAGGGCCAAAGAGGTAGGCATCAACACGAGCATCAGGGTAGGTGCTGGTTGGGTAGACGTCGGAGAGGCCGCAGTTCTCCGAGACAACAGTGCCTAGCGCATGGCCCTCGGTGGTGAGAGCTTCGATGGGATCCAGCTTCTGAGGCTCACCATCCAGCTCCATTTCCTCCCCATTTCCAAAAACATCCAGTTCGTCAAGGGCACCAAGGCTGCCAACTGCCTTGTCCCGAGCCTGCTTCGCCTCGGCAGCCAACTTATCGCTCGCGACCGCACTCGCGTGCGAAAGATAAAACTGCTTGGCATTCTCGGGATCGAGGTCCGTCATGAGGATCTCGAGCGTCTCATCGCTGTGCTCATCATACATTCCAGCTCCGACCAAAGCCGTGCCGGCCGGGATCTTGACATGGCGGCCAGCTACGGGCTCCAAGGCCTCGGATTCAGGGGTCCGAGGGGGAGTCAGGGCTTGGTTGGGGGAGGTGATGTAGAGATACCAATGATCGCCATTCATCTTTCCCACCATGTAGGCGCTGCCTCCATCAAACGTGTCATCGAGAAACTTGACCTCTTGCTTCCAGCTGCGGTGGGGGCCATGCTGCTTGTCCGGGAACAAGAAGTTCTTGCGGCTGTAAAAGACCCGGTAAGGGGTGGCAGCAGCATGGATATCCTTGACCGAGGCCGCATTGTGGAATGGGAACCCGGCCTCGGTGGCAGCAATGTGAAGCATGCGGCGGAGACCCAGGAGCAAAGTGGTTGTGCCACAGGTCTTGAGAATCAGCTTGTGGGGGAAGACGAAGAAGCTGGACTCGGAGAGGAGGTAGGCATCAACAGGATCAGACTTGAGAACAGAAAGGATCTTGCAGTTGACCATGTCCAACATTGTGACCCAAGTATCGGCGTGAACGGTCTTCAGACCGTCGGGACGAGCGCCAGGCGGGAGCGCCGTGGCGCTTGGGGCGAACCACACCTCGAGGAGCTTCTCAGGGCCTAGGTATCATACAATTAGTATCGTGGGAGCAGAAATCAAGTGATATCAGGACTGCCGCTGGAGCTGGAGCAGCACACGTACCTTCGAAGGCATTAGAAGAGTCGAGATCGGCCGCGACATCATGATTAATAGTCAAATGAGGTGTCGCATCCGATGGCGAGAAGGTGTAGTTGTTGGGAACCGACTGGCTGATCATACTCGTAGCGGTGCGTGGAGTCGTCGACTTCAATTGGGTGGCTACAGAGACGGATGGGCGATCACGAGAGATCGTATAATGGAATCAGGAGGCGGATTGCGTTTCTTTGCCCGTATGGCAGAGTCCGCGGAGCACTAGCTGCCACTCAAACAGACCTTGCGGCGTCCGTTTGAGAGAGTAGGCCCACAGGAGGGTAGGGCTCGTAAATGCTGGCGGAAGCCAGCTGCAATCAGTTATATGATGGAGTCGGTCTAACGTCTCTGTAGAGGGACGTTATGGAGGCTGGAGACGAAGCTTGACGAAGCTACCAAAGCGAGGTTGGATGTTGGCAAAGAGAACCGGATATCTGGGGGCGGAATGGCGGGCGAAGCTGCTGGAAGCTGCTGTAATGTTGCGGTATCTGGTGGTGGTGCTTAAATATCCCGAAGGGGTGCTATCGAGGCCTGGATGGACGTTAGCAAGAGAGGGGCTGCTTGGTAGAGCTGGAAGCACGCGAGCATAACCTACTTGGAAGGGCGAGAGAAGAGGAACCGAAGGAGGTCTGTCGAGGGCATAGAAGGCCAGAGGAGGTGAAACAAGAGTCAGGCGGGCAAGACGGTCGCGGGATGGTTCACGGCCGTCTCAAGAGGAGTGCTGGGTTATCCAGAGGACTAGTAATGTAATTTTGACATTTATGAAAAAGGGACAGAATCAAAGCAGCGGATCGAAACACAACTAAGCTGTCGAGAGGAGAAACAAGCTTTGGTGGTCGTGTGAGTTGATGCCTTGTTGGGACTGTGGCTTGGATCGCGGGAGGCAGAACCTGAAGCTTCTGATTGTCTGGAGGAAATAGGGGGCTGGCGGCGAGCTGACGTAGGATGGGCGTTTGTTGTTTGTGATTGCTTCCGAATGCAAAGTCGGTGAGAGATTAATGAGGAGGAGGAAGTGAAAGGTGATGGATCGGATCGAGACGAGAAAGCTGCAGTACGTCGAGCGAAGTACCTCAAGGTCACGCACAAAACCGAGCTGGCAGATTGGCCAGCGAGCGTCATGCTGCTGCCAATAGCGGGGGTCGGCAAAAAAAAAATTAGGAAAAATTCTGGCGCACGGGCGGGGCCCCTTCCTCCAGCGTCATAGGTGCCCACTAAGGTACACTGCTGCTGATGGATGTGCCTGTAGCTGTAGCTGCCGCATAGCGCCGTCTGAATTCGCTGCAGCGGTTGGTCCGAAAACTGGGGCCTCCCGGGGCGGTGGCCCTGGCACATACATGAGCTTTTTCATTGGGTTGATCTCAGGCAGTCTACGAGCCAGCCCAACCATTCGGAACAGAGGCGAGGGTAAGAATCATTCCATTCTGGCCACGACCCTCGCCTGCGGTGCATCCTGCGGTTCTGGCGCCCAGTCCCGGGAGCCGGCCAGTGCCTACATCAAGGACCTCCCGACAGCACTCCGCTGCATGAGCAAGACAAGGTTCGGTACGTAAAGTCCATACCAACCAAAACCTTGGATTATGTGGATATCCTAGACACCTCACCGATGTAGCACCACCTCAGCCATTGACAATCGAGACGTAAATCGCGGGCACAAACCAAGCTCTTGCGACATCCGCTGCACAACGACGGGACACCAATATGCCGCGCGTAACCCTGATATGCAAACGAGAATCCGATCAGACTAAAACAGCCAAAATACGGTGCAGTAAAACATTCATGGCGCAAGCATTTACCCAATTGGCCCAACGCGTGCCAGCAGAAAGCTTCATACCCTCCTTGTCACTGCAAACAATCATCACCAAACTGTGTATTCGGGCCTACCCTGTACCTGCGTAGCCATTAGTTTGCTTCTCTTGTTTCCTGCAACATCAATTCCCAGGAATAACACCCGTCGCAGCAAACAATGTTGCTCCATTGACCCAAACCAGGCCCGCTGCAGGACGGCCGTCCGGGTTGTGCCATTGCGGTCATACCCTGGTCCCTGTTCCACACGCAGCATGGAAGATCCCTCGCGGAAGCTTCCCCCAGTCGGGTTTTTTCCCCTCTGTCATGATACATAACGCAGGACAATTCTGGAATTCCGATTGCCAGATTATCTAATTTCCATCTTGCCCTGCGATGGCGTCTTCGCATTTGTGCAGGGATGGTCTTTCTAGCGAATAATAAGTATCTATCGCATAAGTACGTTCGTCTTGATCATCATGTTACGTGACATGTAGACTTGGCTCTTCAATTATTTTGATTTTGTACTTTGTGCTCTGTTGCAGCCCAGGCCCGCTGCTACCATCCCTCCTCTACACAGAATTTACAGGGTGTGACCCTGCGGTCTAAAATCTGGGCAGGTCATCACAGGTCTCTGGCTGAGTGCCAGGAAAGGAAGTGATTGCTTTGGATGAACCGTGGGCGGGAGAGTTGTCGGCAGCGCAGGCTCGCTCTATGGTTGGCAACCCTCAATGCGCCCAGACAGGTGTAGGAATATCTCATCCCATTGTACTGAATTGGGAAGTATTGTAGCCCTGATTAGAAGGGAAGAGAGCCGTCGAAACGCAGCCGATCGTGGGTCATGATCATGGGGTCGTGATCGCAGAAAGTTGAGGTTGATCTTTATCCCAATAGATTATCGTATCTCACCTCCCATCCCCTGCCTGAACGGCCTGCACCACCTGTTCAGTGATGCCCTGGAAAAGATGGAACAGCAAGCAATCCTTGTACTTTTCGGCCAGCGTGCCGTCTTTACTGCCCGGTTGCCCGCCGTTGGAAATGTCCCGGCCGTTCACGACCGTTCCCTCCGGGTACGTCGGCCGGATCCCTTCCTCAATTAGCGCAACAAACTGCGCATCAATCGGCACCGACCCAAGGAACGGCACCCGGAACTCCTCGGCCATCTTCTTGCCGCCTCCGGACTGGAAGATGTCGGTGCACTCCGAGCAGTGCGGGCAGACGAAACCGCTCATATTCTCCACGACACCGAGCACGCGCAGCCCCGTCTTGGTGCAAAAGTTGAGCTCCTTGCGCACATCCGCCGTCGCAACGGCCTGCGGCGTCGTCACCACCACGGCGCCGGCCACCTGGCCCGGGAGCGCATCCCGCTGCAGCGTCTCGGCCAAAGATATGTGCTCGTCGCTGGTGCCCGGCGGGGTGTCGATGAGGAGGTAGTCTGTCGGGGCCCACAGGGCATCGCTCAGGAACTGTCGGATCATGGCTGTCTTCTTGGGCCCGCGCCACACCACGGCGTCACCCCGCTTCGGGAGCAGGAAGCCCAGGCTCATGGCGTGGAGGCTTCCGACCCCCTTCTCCTCGTCTGCCTCGTGCACGAGGACGGGGGCCCAGCCGCCGGGCACTTGCGTCACTTTGGAGGCTTCGATGGAGAGCATTCGTGGGATCGAGGGGCCTGTCAGGTCGACGTCGAGGATGCCCACCGAGTGGCCAGCTAGGGAGAGGGAGAGGGCGAGCTGGGTGGTAACGGACGATTTGCCGACGCCGCCCTTGCCGGAGAGAACCTAGGATTTGCCCCTGAGTTAGAGAAGACGTGCGTGCGGTCCAGGGGAGAGCGTACATACCAGCACAATGTGCTTGACATTCTGGAGACCCATGATGGCAATCCGCTGTCAATGGCGAGAGCGACGTAGTCTAGCACTGATCAAAGCAGATAGTAATATATCTATGCTATGCTTGCAGAATTACAGGCTGTCAAGAGGGACTCCGGGAATGGGGGTTGGTGGTGGTCGAGAGTTGACCAAGGGCGACTCTTTGGTGATTATCAAGCAACATTTCGGCTGGTGATGGGCTGGCCTGGGTCGAAGATTGTAGAAGCGAATGACATGAGTCGGATTGCAAGGCTGGTGGATGTCATAACCCCCACCACGGCTCTGCCCCGCTGAAATTAGCGATCAACCCCTCCCCCAGTGTTGCGCCTTTTTCAGAAGCATCTTGTCTACCCTACACTACCCCCCTGAGATAGAATAATGAGGCAGTCACGAACCTGCAAGACAGTTATCTATTGGTTTTGAGCTTGTTCGCTTTCTCTGTGTCGCTGCAGTCTTGCCGTTTCTACAGAAATCGGTCCTCTCTCCTCCCTTCAAGGCAGATCCCTCGTCGCGTTGCCATCCCCACATTGATGCCAGATCTAAAGCTCCAGAAGATGAAGATGGAGCCAGCCACTCCTGCTGCTCGTCTTCATGCTCAACCTCGCCCTCATCCACCGGACCAGCTTCGATCTTGATCTCTCGCCGTTAGTGCTGGTAGCCTCCGACGTCAAACCGACCTCGGACTCCGGCACTGTGGATTCGGTAGCTTGGGGCAACTCACCCCTCTTCCCTATGTTGAAACGTCGAGAATTGCGGAAAGGGGCTACACCATCCTACAGCAGATCAGGACTGCTAGTGAGGTCATGCCTGCTAATCACTGCAGTGTGTAGGCAAGCGGTGCCGCCACATGCTGGCCGTATATCTCGACCCTTCCTTCGAAGACTCTATACTGACAACTCAAAGGCGCATTAGCACTCCACCTTGTCGTTGTAGTGCCAATGCGCCATTCAGACATACCCGTTGAATCCTCCTACCCGGCGAACATCGGGGCCACCAATCGGTCTTCCACAGAGAACCTGGATGCCGCCAGGCATTTCAGATGGCGAATCAGGAAAATGAGCTTGTCCAAGTCCCGTCTTAACGCTGCGATCCTTTAGTGGCTATCGAAGAGCTCTTCCACGAGGAAGCAAGAGAGGGGGCTGAGCCTTTGATAATCATCGCCATCCCTTTATTGCCCCGTTAAATTCGTTCTGAAGCATCAGATGCCGGGAGTCAGACAGTCATGTGGATTGATGTGGGGAGAAAAACAAGGCTTCGGCACGTTCCACTCAGCATCAAGGGGCATCGGACCAAGCAGAGGTGTGTCCCGCATCAGCTGAATGACTGGGATGCTCATGTGACAGTGCAGAGCATATTCATGCTTTTATTGCCCTAAGTTTCACAATAGATCTATCCGAGCGAAAAAGTGTGCCAGCACGGAGACAGGCCACGTTTCAACCAGGTTCCGTGTTATCAGCGAGAGGAGACGGCGTTTGTGATCCAGCACAGCAAAACCATCCCGTTCCTCATCAAAGGAACGAAACAGTCTGCTTAATTTTAATTACTATTCAAACTAGAGGGCTAAAAAGGATATCATGCCCACGTATGCAAACCCACGGACCGATCCGTTCCCCAATTGATGCCGCCTCGGTATATGACCCCGCCATCGAGGTTCCCAAGACGCCCCCCCAAAACCAACCACCAAGAAGCTTCCCGAGCTCCTTATTTTTTGATAGCACGACACTCGCCTACCGGTGCCTAAGCGGCCCGCCGGAATGCCTAGATCGGATCGCCGTCCGTAGGCCCTCCTAAAACGCCGAGTGTCATATGGATGAGGAGCGACCATTCCCGTTAAGCTCCCATGGAAAATGAAAACCAAGCCGAAAGACAGATAAAAAAAGCAAAAAAATTCAAGACAAATGAAATAAAGAGAGGAACGAGGGGAGATAATAAAGGAAAATAATGAAAATAGAGATCGTGAAGCAAAAGTGAGTGTGGAGGAGTGTCCTCCCTAGGCCTTGCCCTTGTTCTGGCCCTTGGCGATGGTGTCCTTCTCGGACTCGCTGATGAACCTGATGGAGTCCTTGTGGTATGCGACGATGGGGCGATCGTCGTTGCAGAAGCCCAGGAGCTCCGCGTTCCTTGGTAGCATGTCCTTGCCGAAGCGGTTGGAGAACCGGACAATGGGACCGCCCTCGACCGTGAAGCCGATGAACTCGCCGTGGACGGCGTCGTCTTCGTCTGCGTCTTCCGGTGCTTGGATGGTGTTGCTGTGAGGAGCTTGCATTAGTCTACCGCTTGGACCAGATGGGATATTTGGGAGTGAATGACTTACGCCTGGCTCATTGGTGGGCCTTGGTTGATATCGTCATCGTCATCTGAGTTCTTCGCGCGGTACTTCTTGATTCTCGACTTGGTGCAGTCATGGAAGAGATGCAGAAACCCGGCGATGACGAGGACTGGGGTTCCCAGGGCGAGTGCCCACGGTCTGATGATCGAGTTAGACATGGAGTTGAGCACAAGTGACGGTCAGGGCTACTTACGGGTGCTTCCGGTCGTTGAGGGCGTGGGCGAGGGCCAGGATGATGCCGACCATGGCGATCAGAGACCCGACCTGGATCATGGTCCATGTAGACCAGTAGAGCGACATGAGGTCCTCACCATCGCAGAACTGGAGTGCCAGGAGCGAGTATGCCTCCATGATGACGATTGTGGTCGACACAGCAACACATCCGAGGCAGAGAAATATGTAGAGCCGCAGGCTCTTTGACCGTTTTCGTTTCTCATCGCTGAACTGTTCTATGGCCTTTTGTCCTCTACAACAAAGGAAGGAAAGGATGTTAGCAAGTGTACGACGTATGGTTCGGTGGCCACGGGGGACAAATGTACCTTGTGAATGTCCATGAGGCGAGGAAGAGAACGACGAGGTTGCTCATGAACAAGGTCCAGTAGATGATCTTGAACTGCCATCTCACCATGTGCGAGGCAAACTGGGCGTATTTCTGGCAGAGCTCTGGATCCTTGACGAAGGAAGACATCTTGATGGCTGAAGAGACAATAGCAAGGCTCGTTGAGGTCAAGACAGGATGAAACAGGGATTCTGATTAAACAGGCCCTTCCAGAACGTTTGGCTGTGAGGAGGTGAAGATACCTAGAAAGGAGGTCCTGGTTCCATCGAGGAATGGGCAGGATAGATGTATTAATTATGTCTCTGGCAGGCCGGCTGGCACTTGTTCAAGCAGAGACGGGAGGAGTTACATGGGCCCTTGAGTGATGGACGTGGCCCCCTTGTCTTGGAAACTTACTTGCGTCTGATGCCCAACGCAGTCAGTGCTTCACAAACCATCGCTGCACATCTCCACCACGATGGGCAAACCTCACGCCGTGGTACCAGGCAAAGGGGGTGTATCCAAGGGGGCAAACACCCGGATCTGGTTCAAGGTGGAACATGGACACGCAATCGACTGGAAGATATGCGGCCTGGGGCTAGTGACCACCGGGATGCCGTAGATCACCGCCTCCAGTCAAGATGGTCGGATATCTTGGTGAAATGCCAAGACATATCACAACATTCTGGTATGTATGAATGGACAACTAGTGGTGTAATGCTGACATTCGGCCTTTGGCAGTGCTGGTTCCGCCCCTCCATGACCCTCTCCCCCAAGATGACGAGTCTTGGCTAGCGGAGAATCTACCCATCATGCAATAATGTGGTCGTCAGGATCTTGCACCTAAGGAGCAGAGGTCGGTATGTTCGCCCGTCCCTCTGTGGGGTGTAGCTTGAGAATAGGGGCGTGAACTGAGCATGCAAACTCTTCCGACCATTATAACGACCAGGCATTTGGCTATAGTTGTGCAATCTTCTGGAAACGGGACTGAATGAAACACGGACATCAGATTGGGCATCGACATCATCTCTTTCTGGCCTTATCTGGGCTTAGAGGGCTTAGAATCCATGTCTCGTTCTGGTTCCACCCGACCAGGTTATCGCCCTTCGCCGGGAGGAAACAAGGTGAAAAAGCAAACCCAAGAGCTTGGTCCCGCCTGTCGCCAATCTCCCTTGGCTGCCATCTACCGGGGGCCTGCGACTCGACTCCAGGGGTGGAAGCGCCGGATTCTGACAGCCGCCGGCCAAGGGCCATCCCATGGGCGACGGACCGGCGCCGCGTAATAGTCGACATATAATTAGGTTATATAGATAGAGCGGAGCCAGCATAGTGCTAATGGATGGGCGGATTCCTGAGTTGGTTTTCAACTTGCCCCTATTCGCTGGATCTGCCCCAGACGACCTACGGCACGCCTCAGATCTAAGACCCCACAGCTAGATTTGACCTCGAGCGCTGATCAGGTATGAATGGAGGAATTTTCCTCGGGGGTTCGCGGTGGGCGTGCGAACCTTGGCTCCTCACCATCACCGACCAAACGTCATTCCTGCTGAACGGCCGCCAGCGCTCGTTGGGTTATGCATATTAATGAGCTTGAAAGCTTCTTGGGTGTGAGAGGCGGAGGCAAATGTAGTGCGACTAGCATGTAGGTGACCGCAGCCCATCACGCACTAATTGGCTGGCTATCCAGCATCACCCATGTGGTGGTGCCAAGTTAGCCTCTGGGAAATCTCACTTGTGTCTTTGCTTTGGGGCTGTGCGGTGAAGGGCTGCTGCTGCAATCTCTCAAGGCAATGTCGACATGGGTGCGGCGTGGTCGTCGGGACCAGGGAGGGAGGGCAGAGACGCACGCAGCCGCGGTGCCGCTGGGGGTCTACCCGCCTGGGCGTGTCAAGCTCGTGGCCTGCCCGACGGTCTGTAGTCCTGACTCGGTCGGCTGGAATCCCCGTAAGCCTCAGACGCAGGGCTCCGGGAGCTATGGAACCACGGCCTGGTCGACACGGACCCCCTCTGGCCTGAGAATGTGGGCCTATGGCGTTGGTTAGTGCGACCATCACAAGCCATGGACCCAAAAAATATGGTTATCTGAGATGAGTCACCCCCCTTGCGGCACTCGAAACTCCATCGTGGGAGAGTTGGGAGAAGGCATTGGAGCAGAGTTTGGGCAGCACGCACCGGCCCCCCCTGTCGTGCTGCCAAGCGGATCGATCAGTCATCACCCACCAGAGAAATTGACGGCCCACCCGCCCAATCTCGTGTTGCTTTTTGTGAAGGGCTGCCTCTGGAAATAGCCACATCGCAGCCAATGGTGCTGTTTGCTGGCGGCAACGTCTGATAGCTGCTCAGACGTGTGAGTCAGGTGACCCAGGCGAAAGTGATATGAGGCTCAAGGGGGACCCCTACCTTAGCCCAGCAAGTACCGGAAGTTTGTTGCCAGCCGGCGTCTTGGCGGCCGCCGGGGCCCGAACAGCACCGTGTGTCGAGATATCGGGGCGTTGTCTGGCCAGAGTTTGCTGTTACAAGTTGCTGGCCCTGTCCGCCCACGGCTCCCGAAGGCAGGCCTGCTGTTTCGTCATAGGAATCCAAGCAGCGTCTTGGCATTGCGGTTTCCTGCACATAAGAATGCAACATGCTCGATAACACCGACGAGCACGCACTGATGATATGCTAGCAGGGGTACGCGGAGGATGGACGCTGTGGTACGCTTAGCGCAGGCTGCGTTGTGCAGGTCGCCATCCGCGATCCATCCGCCCGCCGTTGTTGCGTGCTGAGTGAGATGAGGCCCTTGGTGTTTCACCTCGACGGCAGAACCGGATGAACGAATCGTTGGGCACAATTACGATATCCTCTTCTTCTCTCGAGCTACCCTCTCCTCCCAACGGTGCCGTTTTGCAGGTGCTTAACCGCCATTCACATTCGAGTGTCGCCTGCATATCTAGACGCTTCACCACCACCCCACAGGCGGGATTGAAGGGACTCGGTTTGCCAATAACGTTTGCCATGCCGTGACAGCAAGACGATAATGGAGCCCTGTGTGCGTCCAATAGTATGCTAAGCCAATGTCTCAAATCAACGACATAAGACCGAGACTCGAGATAAGCTTAGTGTGGTAACGGAAATGATGATTCGCCAATCTCATTAGCCTACGCAATGATGGCGGCCTTGTCAACATTTCACTGCCACAAAGCTTGCATTAGTGAGCTTAGCAGTGTTGCACAGCCGTGGGCTACTGCCAGAGTGTAACAAGATCACCGCGACTATTGCCGTCAATCAGTTTGGGTTATGTGGGTTTGTGGGTTAGTGAACTTACGTATGGAGACTGGACGGGGGAGCTTGTTATCAGTGCAAACTAAGTTGACGTCGTCCCCAACTTTCGTCAACAGGCAGAAATGCAAAGCGAGGCTACTGCCACTTGCCCCGACGATCGGCACGCATAGCTCTGTGGGGGTTTCTTGGCCAACCTCCAGCGAGCGGAGTGCCCAATGGAATGAAACGAGGCCTCCGGCAGTCGTGTCGACGGTCGTCAGCCTTCGGCACCTGCTCGAAGGGGGGCCTCCAGAGAAGGAGCTTTGCCAAGCAAGATCTTACCGTAGCGGGGAGATTGGGTGAGTGATCACCTGCACAGAAGTGGCGACTGACCGGAGGATGGACAAATGATGGTGACATTTGGCTCTTGGCTCTATCTCGAGCGACCCCGGCGCAGGTTACCATCGGCGATTAAGGTGTACGGGCATGAGTTCACCAATCACGGCGCCAGAACGTGGTATCTCGGCATCGCCATGGAGGAGGACTTTGACATCGTGCTTGCGAGTCCAGGACACTCACCGCTAACTCCGGCACAAAGACATGTCTCAGGACAGCTCCAGTATCAGCCAGGCCTCGGTCTCTTGGACATTGTTGATAAGATCTGATCCCTGCTGGACATTGTGATGAGCAGAGCCAACAATGGCTGTGCAATCATGTGATGTCATGGCCTGGTACTTCTGGCAGAGGATGAGGTGCTGATAAGCCAGATGATGAGCTCTAGGCATGTTTCATCGGACAACCCCCGCATTGCCTCGAGACAAAAAAAACCTTGGAACGCGCAAGATACCATGTAGAGATGGTATGAATTAAGTTGCAGAGGGGTACGACGCCGGCGTCCTGCAGTGACCACTCTTAATGGATATCATAGGAGACTGCGCCTTGTGCTAGGTGAGACATTGGTCTTGGAGGGCCATGATGGATTGATCTGTAGCAGGCTGAATCGAGAAGCCTGAAGGGGGTGGTGATAGAAGACGCCGTGCCGTGGAGCTGCACAAGACTCGCCACCCGGTCCAGACCAGAACCGCAGAACCTGACGATCGTGAGCTTGGCGGTTTGTTGCATGAGACGAGCTGCAGCTCGACGAACTTGTGTGATATCAGATACGCGTGGCACCTCGATTAGGGACTTGAGGGCATCGACATCGGGAAGAAACGGAACAGAGCAGCGGGATGTGGATGGAGATGGATGCATCAGCTGTGGGAAAGACGTTGTTCTCTCAAAAATGTGAGGGGGAAACTTGGCGGTCGGGTCATCATGGAGATGCCAGCGTGCAAGCTGCCGTGTGTGGCTTGCATCGGCTGCCTCCGTGATGCTGTAACGGGAGGAATTCAGTTATCTATTTGCTTGGCATTGTGAAGCCAAGCCTCCACGGACGGGCGCACGTTGCCCGATGGAAGTCGTAGAACCGATGAATGAAGAGGGGAAGTGAAGGGTGTCACGACTGTGTTTCCTTCCCTCAGTCTCTTGACGGGGATGTTGAGGGCACATCACATGCACTGAGTACGTACCTGCGAGAGTAAGACGGGCACTTTACGTTTGAAAGGTCAATTCTGACTGCTATTCGTGTTGAGAGCTGTTGAATATTTGAGGGTAGGTTTTGGGAATTTACGATGCAATGTCTCGAATTTTTGAATCACTTTTTAACGATAGACATGATCTATCTTGTTCGTGGGCTTAAGCTCTGTATTAGATGCCCTGACTTCTACTAAGACTCAGTGTTCCAGCGACTGACCACTGTGGGATAGGCTAAAACGGGTGAGGGGCAGGTACGACCAGAACCTTGAAGTTGAACCCCAGACGGGAAAAGGTTGTTCCGAGCCGTACATTCCAATTCTGACCTCCGGCGAAAATGTCCAGATTTGCCCCACCGGATTTCTTGATCCAGAGCAAACGACCAACAAGCAGCCAGATGATGGTGTGTGTGGCCCCTCTCTAGAGACCGCCGCACGAAACGAACCAAGTGTCCCGCCACCACCTGCATCCGACAACAACACCCCTTTTGATACCCGGACAAGCACGCCGTTTCCCGCAGCAGGAAACGTACCATCAACATGGTGCTTCAAGATCTCGGACGGCGCATCAACACCGCCGTCTCTAACCTGACCCGTGAGCAGAACCTAGACGAAAAGGTAAGGGAGGCCCCAGTGGACATGAGCATGCGACACGACATCAGACCAGACCGAGGGTACAATTTGTCAATGGACGGAGGCTAATGCGGACCTCCCTTTCTATTATAGGCTTTCGATGGCATGCTCAAGGAGATTTGCGCCGCCCTCCTCGAGGCCGACGTCAACGTCAAGTTGGTCGGCCAGCTGCGAAAATCCATCAAGACGACCGTCAACTTCAAAGAACTGCCCCCGGCCGTCAACAAGAAGCGCCTGATTCAGAAATCCGTCTTTGACGAGCTCGTAAAGCTCGTCGACCCCCACTCGGAGCCCTTCAAGCCCAAGAAGGGCCGATCCAATGTCATCATGTTCGTCGGTCTTCAAGGTGCCGGTAAGACGACGACCTGCACCAAGCTCGCCCGGCACTACCAGACCCGCGGGCTGCGCGCGTGCCTCGTGTGTGCCGATACCTTCCGAGCCGGTGCGTTTGACCAGCTGAAGCAGAATGCGACCAAGGCCAAGATCCCATACTACGGTTCTCTTACGGAGACGGATCCCGCGGTGGTGGCACGGGCCGGTGTGGAGCAGTTCAAGAAGGAGAAGTTTGACGTGATCATCGTCGATACCTCGGGTCGACACAGGCAAGAGTCGGCGCTGTTCCAGGAGATGATGGACATCCAGACGGCCATCAAGCCGGACGAGACCATCATGGTTCTGGACGCCTCGATCGGTCAGCAGGCCGAGTCACAGGCCAAGGCCTTCAAGGAGGCTGCTGATTTCGGAGCCATCATCATCACCAAGACGGACGGCCACGCCCACGGTGGTGGTGCCATTTCTGCCGTAGCAGCAACCCACACACCCATTGTCTTCATCGGTACCGGAGAGCACATGCTGGACCTTGAACGGTTCGCACCTCAGCAGTTTGTGCAGAAGCTGCTGGGCATGGGAGACATGGCTGGCCTGGTAGAGCACGTCCAGAGCCTGAATCTGAACCAGAAGGACACCATCAAGCACATCCAGGAAGGCATCTTCACGGTCCGGGATCTGCGCGATCAGCTGTCCAACATCATGAAGATGGGCCCCCTGTCCAAGATGGCGGGCATGATTCCGGGCATGAGCAACATGATGCAGGGCATGGACGACGACGAGGGCAGCGCCAAGCTGAAGCGCATGATCTACATCTGCGACTCGATGACGGACAAGGAGCTCGACTCGGACGGCAAGATCCTCATCGACCAGCCCACCAGGATGACGCGCATCGCCCGCGGATCCGGCACCTCTGTGCGCGAGGTGGAGGACCTGCTCACCCAGCAGCGGATGATGGCCGGCATGGCCAAGAAGATGGGAGGCAACATGAAGAACATGCAGAGGGCGCAGCAGGCCATGTCCGGCGGCAACAAGGCACAGCAGCTGGCGGCCATGCAGAAGCGTCTGCAAAGCATGGGCGGCGCCGGTGGAGCCGGTGGCGGTGGCATGCCCGACATGGGCAGCCTCATGAAGATGCTCGGCGGAGGCGGAGGCATGCCTGGCGGTATGGACATGCAGGCCATGATGCGCCAGATGGGCATGGGAGGCGGCGGCATGCCTGGGATGCCAGGGATGCCACCCAACGGTGGTCGGGGCCGAAGGTAATAGCATATCTCGGCACGGCAGCATGAGGGGGTGAAGGATGAGTTCAACAAGCGAGGGATGGTTTTCCTGTCCATTAGCAATGGGCTACGCATGGTCTTGAGAAGGTTGCGAGCATAGAATGTGCGTGGGGACTTGGCGTTCTGGATTTCAATACTTTAATGCACGAACGGAATGTAGGCTGATGAATTGACGGGTTTCTGGGACCGGAATCACATATGCATGCGGATTCACTCATATCTGAGAAAGAAAGAAAGAAAAATGAAATTGTGTAGGCGTTTACGCTAATTAATGCGCTCTAATGTCTCTATTGATATCGTACAAGTCAGGGTCCGTCCCAACTGGCTCTTCGTGCTCACGTCTGATTAACCGATCCCGTCTCGCGGAGATGGGAAGAGAATATTTGTTCATGTCCCGTTATTTCGTAACCCCTGTTCTGTGCCCATCCATCCCCATGTGGTTGTTCCTAGATCAGGCCTCGTCTTCTCCTCGCGGATCTTGACATGATCAAGGGGTAGGGGTACTGGTCGGGAATATGACGGGACCGTCTCTGAATGGGTACTCGCCCGGCTTGATGGTTGGTGTGACGAGGGCCGTCGTCGTGGCCGTCTCTGGCACTTGGGTCGATGTGAGGGTGGCCTCGAGATGGAGGAGCTTGTCGATGAGGTCGAGCATGGATGATTCAAAGGCGATTGGGGCGGCCTCGCATGTCTGGGCGCCTATCGCTAGGGCTGCAGCGGCGGCAGAGAGGAAGGATCCGAGCTTCATTTTTGAAGATATTGCTGGGCTGCTGATCTGGAGGATGGCAGCTGTGTGATGTTCTCTGTAGCAGAGGAGATATGTGTGGTAAAGAGTGTAAAGAGGACCAGCCTTGGAGAAGATGTTAATTGTCAAACGGACAGCGGGAGCAGACCAGAGGCACGAGATATATAAAGCTGTACTACGTATGGAAATCTCTGCTGATGTCTTTGGTGACAAGCACACCCTTGGCATGATATGATTCACTTTACAGCGACTTACTGGCTGACAATGAACGGGTTGTTGGCCAACAAGGACGGACAGAGCTTGTAAGGAGTTACACGGCAGGTCCACGGATTCACGCACACATCCCCAAGTGTGGACAAAGGGCCGTTCCGTGGCCGAAACGACTGGCCATTGTGACGGCTGGCCGCGATGCTGGTGCAGCACCAAGTGTCTGGTGTGTGGCAGATGATTGGTGGTCGAGGGTCGTTTTGACTCTGTGCGTTTCAGATCCCTGCGATGCGAAACGGCAGCGATGCGTCAGGAATAAGTCCAGCAATCAATCAAGGGTCTGCTGTAAACTGCCGGTGTCGGCTCCAGTCATCTTTCCATTGAATTAACTGTCTCTGCATATGATTATCTGTACATATTTAAATTCAGAGTGGAGAGTCGACGCTTGTTTGCTTTCGGCCTGGATTCTAGCATCTTCCGGCGGAAAGTCAGTCCCCTTTTGTATTTTTGTGTGTCCTCGGCTGCCCTCAGCTCATGGATTTATCTCGCTTTCTCGGACTGTCGCATTTCGTCGGTCGAATCATTGTTAGTAATAGGCCTCAATTGCTCTCCTCACTTACACATATCGGAGCTTTTTTCTCTCTCTTTTTTCAATTTGTGTGACTCACTCCCCATAATTACCACATAGATAATAGCAGGTACAGAGGGTTAAAATAAAATAAAGGCAAGAGCCTCGTTCGCTCCGGCCCGTTTGGAAAATTCCGTTTGCTTTGCCCCATCCAATTGCAATTGACTGACTGAAGACGGAACTGACGTCGAGACAACTCTCCCTTCTTCATCCACCCCAACTGCTTCAACAGCATTCTCCCATCCATCAATTGCTCTCCTTGTCCTCAATCTCAACTCGACAGCTCTCTACTCGTCTCGATCTACTCATCTCGATCTCTACCCGTCACAATGGCTCCCACCAACGACCACATCCTCACCCTCTCGTGCCCGGACCGCCCGGGCATCGTCCACGCCGTCACCGGCCTCTTCGCCAGCCAGGGCCACAACATCGCCGACCTGCAGCAGTTCTCCGACACCACCTCGAACCGCTTCTTCATGCGCGTCCACTTCGCCCAGAGCCCCTCGGCCCCCGCCGCCGACTCGGTCGACCACCTGCAGCCGCTCTTCGCCGCCCTCGCCGCCGAGTACGCCATGGACTTCCGCATCCAGCCCTTCGCCCAGAAGACGCGCGTGCTGCTCATGGTCTCCAAGATCGGCCACTGCCTCAACGACCTCCTCTACCGTATGAAGGCCGGCCAGCTCGCCATCGAGGTGCCCCTCATCGTCTCCAACCACCCGGACTTCGAGCCCCTCGCCGCCAGCTACGGCATCCCCTTCTTCCACCTCCCCGTCAACGCCGCCACCAAGCCCCAGCAGGAGGCCCGCATCCTCGAGCTCGTCCGCGAGCACAGCGTCGAGCTCGTCGTCCTCGCCCGCTACATGCAGATCCTCTCCCCCGTCCTCTGCGACGCCCTCCCCGGCCGCATCATCAACATCCACCACTCCTTCCTGCCCTCCTTCAAGGGTGCCAGGCCCTACCACCAGGCCTACGACCGCGGCGTCAAGATCATCGGCGCCACCGCCCACTTCGCCACCGTCGACCTCGACGAGGGGCCCATCATCGAGCAGCAGGTCTCCCGCGTCAACCACGGCATGGACCCCAAGGACCTCACCGTCGCCGGCTCCAACACCGAGTGCCTGACCCTCGCCACCGCCGTCAAGTGGTACTCGGAGCGCCGTGTCTTCCTCAACGGCATCAAGACCGTTGTCTTCTCCTAGGCTGCATCGTGTAGATGGGCCGAGGTAAAATGAGAAAAGATAAAAATGGGAAAAGGATTTTCAAAAATGTACACCCATGTACTGAACAGGCATGTCAGGAGAATTGTGCATGGCCATGTAGGTCACGTGGGCATCTACTTGCTAGATTATGGATATCAGAGCGTGAAAGAATAAAAAAACTTTAAAATATTGAGTATATCCCATGCGAGATGGCATCATGAATGTGATTCTATCCACGGAAGTCAATTGATGGAGGTCAATTGACGCGGAATGTTCTCATACTGAACGTCAGAGCCGACCCCATATAATGAAGATCTGGACAAGATTCGAGACCGGGATGCCTGAACCCACATCGAAGGAGACTATCTGGGAGAGCGGAGTAGGTCATTTGATTTTAACTGTGCTTTCATCGCAATTAAGTTCATAAATATCAAGACTTTTCGGGCGGTGATAGCCGATGGCTTAGCCAGGCTGGAGAGCCGTCCCTCATCACCAGACCAGACTGCCCACCATAAAACCCGGCCAATACCATCTAGATATGCCAATTGACGGCCCATTCTTTGTATAGACGGCGCCGAGGGGGTCCCCCATGGTTGTTTGCGAACAGCAAGCGGCGGGGACTTGTATCAAACCCTGAGGGCCATGCTGACCACCACCCGTCTCACACCAACCACCACCCACCGCATCACCACCAGCTTCATCCTTTTTTATATTACCACTAGTGGAAGCACACAAACCCCCAACGCCCAATCCCAGCCCATCTAAACCACAGTCTTCAGCTCGCCCCTCTCGCCCCTCTCCACCTCCTCAACCCTCCCCCTGATAGTCGCCCAGATCGCCTCCGCAACACCCTCAACGCTCTCCCCCGCATCCAGCACGAGAACCTCCCTCTCCCCGCTCCCGTCCCCCAGCTCCCTGGTCCCCAGCTCCCGGAACAGCTCCCTCACCCGCCTCTGCATGCTCCCCCTCTCGTACTTCTCCTCCCCCCACCCGCCCCTCCTCTCCGCCTCCCCCGGCGCCAGGTCCAGGAACACCACCATGTCCGGCCGCGGCAGCCCGACCTCGGGCGCCCGCGCCCACTCCATGCCCAGCGCCGGGTTGCCCTTGGCCGCCGAGTAGACGACCCCGGAGTGGAAGTACCTGTCCGCGATGACGTTGACGCCCCTGGCCAGGAGGGCCTTGATCCTGCCCCTGTTCGTATTCTTGTAAGTTCATGTACACCTATATTTAGTTTGTAGAAGGGGGAACTCACGCCGCCTCCCATCTATTCGCGCTGAACAGGAGATGGATGGCGTGGTCGTCCATCTCGACGTTGCTGCGGAGGTATCCGTCAATCATCTGACCAATGAGTGTTGTACGATCTGTCTCTTCGTCAGCATCAATCTGCCACACCCAAACATACAAGAAAATCAAAGAGATGAAGGGAGGGGGGGTGAAGTAACGCACCCGGGAACCGCACCGTCTTGACGGGCTTGTTCAGCTCCACGAACCGCTGCTCCAACAGCTTGACCTGCGTCGTCTTGCCGCTGCGGTCCAGCCCCTCCAGCACGATGAAGGCGCCCCTCCTCTGGGTCGCAGCCCCCGCTGGCTCCTGCTTGGTGGTGAGGAGCTCGTGTATCGCGACCATGGTGGAGAAAGGATGAATAGAGTGGGTGTGTGTGTGTTAAAAAAAAAGGCAAACTGAAGAAGAGTAATTGGGAAAAGGGCTCAGGCAAGGAATTCAGTGGGAGACACAATCTGTCGGGAGTCGAGTGAGAAGGGAGAGGGGTTCAGGCCAGTTATACGGATGGCACACACACAGACACGGCAGATGCGACATGCAATTGAGTGTTCGAGGCCTCAGCTCAATGGATGGGATGCGGTCAGCACAAGTGCCGGTTATTCGCACCGTGCAGGCCTGCCAATGCCACCGCCTGCAAGTCTGACCGGACTGTGCGCCGCACTGCCCTGGCGTCACCTCCGGCGGCCACAATCACCGTTTCCTCATGCAGCAATTCGCAATCGTACAGGTGAGACTGACGCCTCGGTCCTCCAATTGGCCCGTCCATGTCATGGCGCTGGTGGGCTTCATGTAGGATGATGCGCCGCTCTGCACGTCGCTGCTTAGGTGGCCGAGAAAAAGCAACTAACATGCACGTGTGAAGCCAAAATCAATCAGGTCAAATCATATCATTTGCTATCCGAGTCGGGTCAATACCCCGATCCAAAGAGCGCCAAAGGACTAATTCCAGGCGCCAGTTCCAATTCCGTTCCCTTTCCTGCTTAATAAAACAATATAAACACCAGTTCGCAAAAAAACACAAGGCAGAGCAGGTCATGCCAGACAAAAATAGACCAGAAACCAATCTCTTTCGGCTCGAGCCCGTACAAGATCTTGCCACAAGAGAATACCCGTATCCACCATTACACATCATCATTATCCATGCCATCCATTTACCGTCGTCCAGATATCAAGAGCCCCCTTACTGGGTGGGTGTGGAAGGGGCGGTGTCGTCCTTGGCACTGCCACTCTCCCACAGCTCAAAGCTCTCACCAGTGCCGTCGATGGGCTGCAGAACGGCAGCCTTGGAGGAACCTGGCTCGCTGGGCTTGGTCATGAGGGCGTCAATGCTCTCCTCGATCTGGATGGGGGCTTCTAATGAGGGGGCATTCTGGATAGGACGGGCGGTGATCTCAGGGGAAAAGACAAAGCTCTTGGGAGCGCGGGCGGGCATTTGCTCCTCGGTATCAGTCTCAGCCTCCTCGTCGGCGGGGACAAGGATGACAGACGACTCGTCGCAGCCCTCGGCGAAGAAGTCGGCGGTGTTGAGAGCTCCAAGAGCAACTCTTTCCTTCTCGACAACCATCTCGTCAGCTCTGGGAGCAGGGCGAGCTGCTCGCCGTCCTGAAGTTTGAGAGACGTCATCAACAGGGGGGACATTCTCCTTGTCCTCACGGCTCTCGCGGCGGGCCTTCAATTCGGACTCCTCATCCGAAGAAATGTCTAGAACGCAAGTGCTGTGCTGGAGCATGTTGGTCATCTCCTGCTCTTCGGTGTCCTCATGGATATCAAAGAACCAGCTGGCCTTCATGTCAGGATCCAGAGGGTTCGAGGCACGCTTGGGTGCGGCAGGACGAGCTGCATAGCTGGGGATGGTGCCCTTGAGGGCGGCATCAAGAGAGAAAGGAGCAGCACCAGCGGAACGGAATGAGGGAGGGTCGACACGCGAGTATGGGCCAGCCGTGCGGCGTCTGTTGGAGAGGAGACCGGAGCGCTTGCCTCTGGTCGGAGATCGTCCGGCGGGGGCAGTGAGTGGGGAGGGCTTGGAGATGCCGGTGCTGATCTTGGTTGGGCTCTTGACGGTTCGTCGAGAAGCTGAGGTCGAGTTCGACAGGGGTAGGGCAGAGATGGGAGAGGCAGTGGGCTTGACAGCAGGCTTCGTGTTCAGGATGAAGTTGGCGGGCTTGAAGACGACGTCCTTGGTCGAACCAGACTGGCCCTTGAGGGGCTTGACGCGCTTGGCAAACATGAGGGGGTCAACATTCTCGGCATCATCGTTCAGGTCGAGCAGCTCGGCCTTTCGCTTGCCAGCTGAGGGAGATGGGAGAGCTGCGATGCTGTTAGTTAAGTTCAATTGAAATGCATGGCCATCTCGACGATGCCGTCCACCGCCATTGACACCAACATCAAGCTGGGTCATAGCGCCGACACGTCTTCCAACTGTTCCACCGCCCACCGTCGTGTTGCGTAGAAGAGGAGACGAGGTTATACAGAACACTCGAGTATTGAGTAACGTACCATTTTGTCTGTTCTTCAGGTTGGTTAGGCTCTGTAGACGAGATCCATCAAGTGGTGCAAAGGGTTGACGCGTGATGGTGGCCATTTTTTCGAGTGGGTATACGTTGGGTGGGTTGTAAGATGGAGGAAAGAGAAAGGGAGAGCTGTCCTAGGAAGCTCTCGTCGAATGTCCCAGGTGGGAATTGAAGGTGTGCGTCCGTGTGGCGGAAGGGTCAGATGGTCGGCAGGTGGTAGGGACGGAAGCCCACTATCATCTATTGTTGTTGCTGTTGATGCTCTCTTTGTCAACAACACCGCGTCTGTAATGTGTTGTTTTGATGGAGAGCTGTTCAATACGATTGAAGTCGAGATGAAAGAGTGAGTGAGTGAGAGAGCAGAGGGGAGCTTGGCTGCCTTAGATGTGGGCGAGAGGGTATTAAGGCAGGGGGTAAGCAGGAGGTACGGTACGGTAGGTACTCGAGTGTGCGCGACGGGCAGGAACGTCACGGGGCACGGCAGGCAATAGTGTGTAACAGAAGCTGCAGTGGGATGCAATGCAATGTAGAGGGGAGGAAAGGAGACGGAAGGGAGTGACAGAGCGAGCGAATGAATGGACGAATGGATTGAAACAGACGGGATGAGAAGGGATGGGGGAAGGTAAGAATCAGGTTGGATGAGTGGATGGGACGACGGCAGCAAATGGTGTGGTGTGGCCGCAGCTGAGACAAGCCCAACAGCGCTGGACACGAGCGCTCCCAACGCGTAGAGGACGCCTCGGCCAGTCAGAGGGCGAGACGGCGGGCTCCAGCGGGCAGCCTGCAGGCGACTAAGCCCGCTGGAGCCTGCGCGGACCACTCACAGCCCGCCGCCGGGTTACCCGCTGGAGCACGCTGCAGCAGTGGACGCCTGCCGTTGATGCGGCCCACTTGTCGCGCCAATCAGACACGCGTTGTGCTTAAGTGGAAAGGAGGGGCAGGAGCAGAGCATCTTCCATTTCTGGCCGTGGCGCGTTAATGGGCTTTTTTTCTTTAATTGAATCGCCATTAAACATCTGCACGAACAGCGCAGCACCCGAAATTGTCTCTGGGCGCGATGATCCCCGCCGCCTGAGGCCGGGTCGCTGGTACCTGCCCTGGCGTCATCGAATCGCCGTCTGTTTCCTCAATCCATCTGGAATCAGACCATCCATCAATTAAGCAGGCAGGGCGAGTCTATTCTATCTCTTCACCAAGGGGCGTGAATATTCAATGTGAATATTCAATACACTACATACCTCACCACCTCCTAGTAGCTCCCCAGTCTGGATCAGGTTCCAAACCTACAACCCGGCTCAGACCATCCCCAGCCGATCGATCCTCGCCACTGTGCTAAAGGGCCGACGGCCTGTCTCACCCACATCTGCCGCCCATTCGGAATTGCTACGCTGATAGGCATCAGCCCTCCGTCCTACCAGCCCTTACATGATGAAAAAGAAACGCCCATTAGCTCCCCTGTGCTCACCCCATTCATGTATGTAGGTACCAAGTGTGTTAGCTGCAAGCACTTTAACAGTTCGCCCATCTCACACAAACATGTGAGGCATTGCGAACCATAGTGTACATCCGGCCGTCAGACCCCCAAAGCCGCCTTGTGCAAGCATAAACCAAGCACAAAAAAGCCAACACTTCCGTGACTTCATGGGTGGAAGCTTCTTCCCCCCCCCCTGTTCGCCGAGGCAGAAAACCTCCAAGCTCCCAAGAACCACAGCCTACAGAATACCATGCAGCGCTACTACTCCGTAGAAGGAACAACAATGAAAAGGGGAGCCTAGATAACTCACGGACGTGTCGAATGCGACCCATCTCGTCTCATTGTTTGTTATGGCCTTGTTGGTCCACGGCCACGGCCCAATCCAACGGACCTGGCATCATCCTTGCCCACAACGCTTGGCCGCCTGAACAGGCCTCGCCATACCAGAAACCGGCAATTCTGCTGCTGAGCGAATCCTTTCGTGCAACCCCTCGCCACGCCCGGTGAGTGAGCCCGCAAGGATACAAATAGACCCGGCCACCCGTGTCTTTTCCGCGTTTGCTGCCAATTCCTCCTCGTACTCCACCTATACCATATAAACTGGTGCCCGGTCCTCCTCACCATCGCGACGCGGACAGTCGCGCCTCTGTATCCCAATGGATCGAGCCCACCTCCGGCGCTAATGCCTCTTGCTCCCAGCTCGCAACTCAGGTGCCCAAGCCTTCGGCTCGATGAGCGTCAACCTGCAGGAGGTAGTGCAGAGAAGCCATCCCGGAGGCCGGACTGAAACGAGACAGCTGCCGTCATCCAGACGCCCGTCTTCCTTGATATCGCTGCTCTCTCCGTAGTCCAATCTGCTCTGCCATGTCCAGGCCAACCACCGTCAAAGTGAAGAGATGTCTGAAACTGAGCTCTGCCCATCGGGAGTTTTATCCCCACATTCCATCCCTTCCCTCCCAACCACGAGCGCCGCCTCTCAATCGCCGGCCACTTCTTCAACCCACTCACGTCATGTCTTGGACTCTCCCAATCCATTCGTCTATTCCGTAGCGGCCAGGAGGCCGAGTGGACTGCCGTCAAGTTCCTGTCTTGTCATGGCTGGGTCGCTGAAGCCCCTCCGCCTCGTCGCATGGTAACACCAACAATAAGTTACATTCAGCCACCCATCTCGTATCTACGTAGCATTAGGCAGTCTTCACCCATCAGTGGGCGGCCATAGGCAGATTAGTTAACCATGTTGAATTCATAATGATTAAGTGATACTGTTGTTTCATCGAGTCATACAGGTACGTGAGGATCAAGGAGAAGAATTCTCCTAAAAACACTTTGCATCCAGCCCTTCCTTTTAAACGCCCACTTCCATGTTCCTACCAGTCTGGGAGGGTCATTATGCCCAGCCAGTCAATGAGGTCTTCTCAAACGCAAATCAAAGGGGACCTCCCTGCCCCGTCATTGGCCCTTTGCCATGTCACTAGCCTTTTCATAACAGTCAATCGTGTAATCATCTCATGCTCGCCATTCGTCGTTGCCCTTGTCCACTAGCCATCATAACACACTTGGACGAGACTACTGCCTCGTCATGGGTCATGGGACCACGCCTACTTGCTGCCTGCGCCGAAGAACTGTGAGGCGGCCTTGGCAATCTTGCTCCCGGTGGCCTTGGCAGACTTGTTGGCTGCGGCCTCGGCAGACTTGATGGCTGTGGCCTCTGTAGACTGGTTGGTCGTGGTCTCGGTAGGCTTGTCGCCTGCCTTGTCCACAGTCTTGGCATCAGTCACTGCAGCTTTCTCATTCTCGACAGCGAAGTCTCTGCTCATGATGTGGTCCACTATCTCAGGCTGAGCCTTTCTTTTCTCGTCAGTGTCAATTGCATGGGGTGAAGCGGCTTCAGGTCGAGTCATGACACGGACGTCATCATCGATATCGTGTGAGGCCGCAGCTGATTGCGAAGAGGAAGCAAATGTCCCGGGCCAGAATCCTTTGGCCCAGATGCCCTCGGTCTCTTCAGCTGGGAGGTTGAGTTCGAGCGAGGGGCTCATGGCAGCTGCCTTCGGTGTGGTGGTTTCAGCAGCATCGATCTCTGGGGTTTTATGCTCATTTCTGCTCATAAATCCCATGAAGCCCTTGCGCGTTTCGGTTCTGCCTCTCATGGGTTCTTCCTTTTGCTTGGCTGGTTCAGCACGTACAACCTCTTTGCCCTTGCTCTTGCTGGACTTTTCCCCATTGGCTGTAGTCAAGTCAACACGCGAAAAAGGCTCCTCGATACTCTCCATCGCAATGTTTTGAGCAAGATGTTCATCCTCAAGGAAATGGGGTGAGCCCATCGCGTGAATACGAGACACCATTGCATCAGCGGATAGGAAGTGGGGAGAACCACTTCGCGTGGGAGAGGCCACGTAGTGGCGATCATCTTCGAGGAGATGCTCGGTGAAACGGCTTTTGCCATGTTCGATCACCGGCCTGATAGGGCCTTCCATCAGATTCGGGCCCTGGGCGCGCTTCGAAGAAGGTTCACCCTCTGAATCTCCGGCCTCTTCTTTGTTGAGGCGATATCTTTCGAACTCCAACATGTGGGGTATGGCAATAGATGAAGGGTAATCCTTATTGTCGTGCTCCAAAGTGTGAATCTTGGCAGCGGGGGCTTCATATTGCTTCTTGTCCTCGCTCAATCGGTGGCCCTGGGTAGGTTGATGTTTTCCCTTATCTAGGTAAGTTTTGGGCTGAGCCACAACAACTTGGTCCTTCTTCTTCTCCAGGGAAGCTCTGGGCTGAGCAGCACCAACTTGGTCTCTCTTCTTCTCCAGGGAAACTCTGGGCTGAACAGCAGCTGCTTGGATTTTCTCCTTTTCGAAGGAAACTCTGGGCTGGTCTTGAGCAGACTGGTGTTTTCCTTTGGCCAAAACGTTGGCGGGGACGGTCAGAAACGCGCCCTTGTCGAAGGAAGATTTAGGCTGTGTCTTGTCAACCTGATCCTGCTTGAGGTCGTCATTGGACTTCAACTTTTCTTTCCCCTGGGATGGGTCATCATTTTCTTTGTTGTCTGCAGGGACAAGATACCACTTTTGGCCCAGGTATTCCATGAGAGGCCGGGGAGAAAGTGGGCTAGTCATGACGTATTTCTCATCGGCTGGGACGATTTCGGGGGAATCAAAAGATGAGCTGTTGAACTTCCTCGTGTCCGGCTTGAGATAAACATTGTTGGGCTTGGGGAAGGGGCCGGGGATCGCAGAGGCCGCTTTCTCTGGGATAGATGTCAAGGGATCCAAGTCAGTCTCCGACTCCTTAGTGTTGAAAATAGCAGACTTGGAGGGTGGTGGGCTGGAAATCTGAGGGGACTGAGTTGCCCGTGGCGAGCCGTAAAACATGGGAACCTGAGTCTTGTACTCATCTGCGGAACTGCGATCCTCGAAATCACAGACACGGAGATTCTTGGCTCTGCGGTTTCGCTCGCGGAAAACCACCTCTTCCTCATTGCGAGCGATTGTCGCACATGGGCAGAAACAGCCATCCGCCCAGTCCTCGCTTTCTTTACCATCAATGTTATAGAAAGCACGAATAGTTCCCTGGAGCCTGGACACCATGACACTGTAGACTAACGTGAAACCATGTTAGCCCGTTTCCTTCGATGGATAACAGCAAAAGAAGTCAAGTCAAAGGGTCAGGTTCGCTTACAAGGCAGGCAAAGGGCAAACTGAACACATTCAGTTGTGCAGGAGTCTCTGTTGGGGTTCTCAACACCATCCATCTGCCCCTTCAAAGCTGCATTCAAGCGGGCATTGGTGCGGGAGTAGTTGACACAGGGGCAGCACATCATATGGGTCAAATCAGGGGTTTGGTCTCTGCCATCGACGAGAGTGTCGGCGTCGGCCGCGTGCCAGGCGCGCCTGTTTGACTCTACCGACATCTTCTCCATTCTTTTGGATGGGCCTGGCCCGAGAAACTTTGAAGAAGTGTGTTCGTTCTTGGACGTTGAGGGTTGGAGAAGTTTCAGCGTGCACTCTTGCAGCCAAAGGGCCTACCGATGGACCATGCTAAGGAGGAGAAGAAATCAATACACGCGTTCAAGTCTTCAAAAACTAAGCTGTAGCAGAAGTTTGTGAGAGGGAAGTTTGTGAGGGGAAGGAGAAGGGGAAGGGAAGAGGTGAGAAGTGAGAAGTGAGAAGAAAGAGGCGAGGTGGAGGGGAGGTAAAAGTGAACACGCCAAGTTGATGCGTAAGTGAGGCACGTGTATCACTTACCGACGCGTTGAAAACTCTTGGGCTCAACGGGAAAATCGAGGAAGTGCTGGAAATACTCTCGAGTGTCTGCTTACGGAGTGTTTGGTGGAGGCTAAGACAAGCTCTCGGAGTAGAGGGGAGACATGCAGAAACCAATGATGGAACTGGGTGTGGATGGAATTGTATAGATGTGCGAGGGCTGGCCAAGAAGAAGCAAAAACGATACAGAGGACTCCAAGAAGCACGACGACAACAACAACAACTTCGTCGGTGGGTGGAAAGGTGGAAGTGAGAGAGGCCTTGGACCTGGAACTGGGTGGGAAAAGTTCCTTGAGGTTCTTTCGAGGCCTTCTGGCAACTGGCAAGGCAAGAGCCAGGCTGGTGCTCGCAGCTGCTGCCCCAAGTTGGCACATATCGGCGAGGGCCAGGCAAGAGCAGCTGCCAACACTGCACACTGCACACTACACACTGCCAACTCCCTCCTCCCGGGCTTGCCCCCCGCAAGTCAGATTGATTGAAAGGAGACGAGATACTGAGAAGGGCCGAGTGCACATCATGCTCTCTTGGCCAAAGCCCGGGGAGCAGCCTCGCCTTTTGAAGTACTAAATTACTCCAAGACATCGGGGAGATTCTATGGGATGATGACCAGGGCATATATTACTTGAACCTGCCTAGTAATGCACAGGTTTCTATCAGATTGGAGGAACATCACACTGAATATCCTAGCAACACACTTTTATTTCTAGGATGAAAGAGCACCTGTGCATTATCGTGATAAATACAGTAGCACTTGTTCGCTGCCCACTGAGAAGAGGGGTGGGGGCAGGGTCAGTACACTCCAGAACGCTATTCCGCCTGCCCAAGGCAAGGAACTCTCGAAGCGAGGAGGCTTCATGAAGAAAAACAAGAGCATCCCTCATTGGTGCATCCTACCGTGTTTCTCTGGAGGGTTAAGTACCCTTCGTGCATGCCTTCCGTACCATATGATACCGAGGAGAGGGGATACCTAACAAGGCTCCTATGGTGGTAAGCACGAGACCTTGTAGCTCTGGCCCTCACTTGGAGGCCAGATCCAGTTGATTGAGCCAAATGATCATTGTGGTCATTGTGAAACATGGCGTTTCTGTGTGGCGGCCTCGAGACACGAACCAGCCACCTGTGGCAGAATGACACAGGCACCTGACAGGGCTGAGGAGACACCCATCGGCGGGGGTAGGCCTGCCATAGAAGAGGACACTACTGTGCGGCCGTGCTTGGGTCTGGAATTCGAAGGCCTTGACACTTGACGTCGGAGCTGGTCCGACCGTGATGATGCGATTCTATCTTGATGTGACGGAAAACGGTGCGGCTATTAATTGATAGTCAACTTCATGCTGGCATCAGAGAAGCCAGTATTAGCGAATCGTGACTACCGCCGGTAGCATTATTAGGACTACTACCTTACGTACATAACACTGATCCTTCATTATCTCATCATGAATTGTGTTATTGTCGCCATTGGTGGGCTTCCGCTGCATAATTATATCATAACTCATCGAGTCATGAACCCTAGAAACACAAGCCCCGGGTGGGCTAATAAATCACTTTTGATACTGGGTTTAATAAAAAATGATTCAGTCAATTGCCCGTCACCTACATAGTACATAGGTTTTTCTCTTTCTCCTCATACTATGTAAGCGCAGCAGGCGGTGGACGGTCTTTGGTCCGCCTGACGCGTTTCAGCCGAGATCGCTCGTCAATGTCGTATTCCCACGAGCTGCCTGCTGGAAGATGCCCGAACAGGCGATAAGACTTGCTTGCCGTTGGGAGACACGACCAGGGAGAGAATCCAGTATCCATTATGGACGTTAGTAGTTTTGGTGGCCGTCAATGGTGCGTGCCCTACCAACCCGGGCACAAATCACGACGAACCATGAACGGGGCCTTCTTCTGGCCTAAGTTTGTGCTAGGCTGAGCACTGCAAGAGGTCATTCTCTTCGGTACCGAACCATTGGCAGGCTTTGATCATGCAGTGATTACGACGTCGCACCCACATCCATCCTGATAGCCCACAGCCGATGTTAGTACGTAGGATGTACAATGGGCCCGAGGCCAAGCCACAAACCCCAAAGGCCCAGGCCCTCTATCGTCTAGCTGCCCAGCATTTCATATTTGCCTCCTTGTTCTCGACGGGAGTTCTATGGGGAGATCCCGCACCGCGTGTGACCACGCCAATCGGGCATCACGCACGCTTTATCAAGAGATAGGCTATCGGCTCCCATGTCAAGGACACACGCTGGGGATAAGAAGGGTGGCAGGGAGGACTGCATTGGGAAGCTGCATTGCCTGCGATATTGGAAAAACGGCTCCTATTAATGGCCAGCTTGGGGTGCATTACTCGCTTGCCCACCCCATGTCCAGATCCCTGGCACGGTATCAAGATTGTACAGAATGTCCCTCGCACCACGCATGCCATGGCAGACACGCAGAAAATGGCCGCGTTTCACGCACCAGTCTCTGCTAGCTGCATCGCGACAAGCAAGATGCTGGATGTGCTCTAGTTGCACGCGCTATCCATCCGCCCATCGTAGCACCCGGGGCGGAGAGTTAGTGCTTCTTCCCAACTCTCCTAATACCCCAACGCAATTCCTGGAAAGCCTGCGTGGCCCCCTGCGGCGCCTCCTCACCTGGGCGTAGTGTCGTACGTACACACGGTTCGGCCGTCGACGCAGACGGCCAGAAACGATCCGCTCAATTCGCTGGTAGCGCCGAGCTGCCAGTGCGGGCCTGCGTCGTAGTCGGGTAAGGTACGTACATACAACTAAGGAGGAGGCTAAGGTGCGGCATGGGCAGATGCAGGCAGGCTGAGAACAGCGAGAGGTGTCAGGTCAGAGCGCCAAGGGCGGCGGCGCATACGAGACGGCACATCTCAGACGGGCTTGGTCAATGGGAAGCAAAAACGTGGGCGTCGCATTGTCGGGCAGGGTGTAAGCTGCGCGCGGCAGGAGAGAAATACATTCCCATGCAAATCTTCCCCCCCGGGCGAGCGAGCATTGGACTGACTAATTTCCCCGTGTCCTGGCGGCTTGCTTGGTTGAGTTGTGGATCGGAGCTCCTGCACAGCACCTGCTCGTTTATTTTCCTCGCTGGCAAGGACCAGATGCTCCCAAAATGCTCCCACTTACCAGGCGTCCAGGGGTCTGCGCTCGCTGCAGGAGGGAGTCCAGGCCCTCGCCCAGTGCTATCGCTGCTCTGGCCGGCGGTGGGGCCATCCGCTTCAGTCCCGCTAGCACCATCCACAGGGCCCCTAGCGAGGCTTGGGACAGCGTGCTCCCCCAGACGCACCAGCAGGGCCTGACACCCACTTGGAGTGCTGCCAGTCAGTCAAGGCTCGAGCCTAGGGGCTTCCGAGAGTCAATTGTGCGCTAGGTTCAGACAGACACGGTGGCCCGAGCGCCTGGGACCAAGGGCCGTCTCCACTGAACTGCTCTGGTGCACCAATACACGCTGCCGGATTCAGCCAGGAACCAAGCTGTGGGCTGTCTTGAGGGCTTCCAGTGAGGAACCATGAGAAGGAACTCCCCGTTTGTAGTTGGCTATCGCTCTGGCCCTCCTTTTTGGTGCCTTTGGTCAGAAGCTTGGCTGCACCTGAGGTCCCAGATTTGCGGAGCACATGCTGTTCTAGGTTCTCGACCTCGCTTCCCCTTTGTGGTACAGTACTATTGGCCTGCCGCGCATGCAGACTGCAGACGCAGACGCAGATGCAGCGACTTTTCGCCTCCTCACCTAGCTATATTACTGCGGCAGTTGGACGTTCAAACGACGCCTGCCCTTGCTTTTTTCTGGTTTCCTCGCTTCTCCTCTGCTGTCGCAAATTTATCGGTGCCCACAATTCATCACTGATCTGATTTGACGGCAGTCTCTGGCTGGGATCAACCAACTGCTGAAATTAGCACGCACGGGTACTGGTACATTACAGTTTGGTGCACCACGCCTCTCTCCCCTGCCTCAGCCTCCGTCCCTACCAGCGAGAGCCGTCAATATTTTATCACTCTTGGTTTATCGTTATTCCCGGCTTCTTCATCGCGAAGAGCCCTCGCCCTGGCTCACTGATCTGCTTGTGCCCCCGGCATCATTTTATCCATCGATTAATTTCAGGCTTAATTGACCTCATTTCTGTGGCTTGTACGAGCGCGCCACTCGTCTCTCCTGAGGAAGCGCCCCAACTGCAAAGGTACTAGTACCGACCACTAGCACGAGTCGTCCAGTCCCAGCACACCACCAGCGCCCGACAGACAGCCCACATCACCTCAACTCTCCTACTGCTCGCGGTGTCTAGGTGCAGACTGCGTGAGGTGAGCTTCAGGGTGCTTGCTCGCTCTCCAGTTATCTGCGTTTCATCTTGCTGCGCTGCAACAGAGCACGGCAAAACCTGTCCACCGCCCCGCCGCCCTGCTTGGACGCTTCATTTCGCCAGCCAGCCGTGACGACCTGACTTGTCGAATCCGCGGCGCCATAGGTATGTGCATTGACGCATCTGCGACGATATTTCCTTCTTCCTTCCAGTCTGCTGCTGTCTCGGGGGCCCCTCCACCTGATGAGACGCCGGTCGGCTTCTTGTTCGCATTCGCTCGCCCCGTCCTGGCTCCGTTGGGGTCAACCGCCTAGGCCCTGTCGCCGTCCCCCGTCCCACCCACACTCCCCTGTCAAGCTGCAGCCCATCCTGTGCTCCCTCTCCCTCCTTTTAATACCAAACACCTGCCTCTCCATCTCCACGAGCGCCGCATCCCAACGGCCCGTCCTCCTTCCTTGCCCACAGGTTGAGTGCTAACCGGGTCAGTTGTGTGTGTTCTTGTTCTACACAGTCGGTTTGCCAACCACGCCAGACACTCCCTGCTCGGCGCTTTTGCATATCTACTCGAGCCGTCCCACCTCGACTCAGACGAGACCATCGCCAAGCTCGACGCTTGTCACTCATTCTCCTCACGCTCCCTCCCTCCTTCTTCAACAAAGACAGACCCAGCCGAGCCAAGTCAGGACTCCGGACCCTCGACGGCACCGACTCAATTCCTTCGCTGGCTCCAGATCATCGTCTTTTCGAGCATCGATTTTAATACTACTTCCACTTACCCACCCACCACCACCTTCACAATGGCCGAGGAGAAGAAGAACCTCGTGCCCCAGAGCTTAGATCGCCTCGACAGCTCCCTCACAGTCACCACCATCCCCGAACGGGCCGCCCTGTCCAATGTCAGCACCGTCTGCGCATCACCGCTCGACAAGACCCCGCGGAGTAGCAAGGAGACGGGCAAGAGCAACCCCTTCGAGACAGACCTAGAGGCCGGCGGCACTCCCACCCGCGAGCTGAGCAATTGCGTCACCCGAACCCAGACCGGCCAGAAGGACTGCCAGGTCTGGCCCGACAAGGCCCATTGGGAGCGCAAGGCCAAGCTCGCCAAGGCCAAGAACCGAACCTGCGGCTGCATGAGCAGGATGAGCAAGCGCAACCGCATCATCACCAAGGTCGTCATCATCCTACTCATCATCGGCATCGGCCTAGCCATCGGCTTCGGCATCAGCAAGCCTCTGGGCGCCAAGATCTGGGGCGACAACCAGCGCACCTAAAGACACGAGAGACATGGCCGCGGGTTTATTTTACTTCATCCCACTCAACCAAGTACATGCCACGACACATCTAATTACACGTTTTGCTTTTCCCATTCGCGGCATCGGCGCAACGGTTTTTGCTATCCATGTCATACACAGTATTGGCGCAACGGATTGATACATCGTCCCTCGTGTTTGTGGGCGATATTCGACGTATAGAACAGCTGGTTGGCGGCTCGATTGTTTGGATTCTATATATACCGGTGACAGGTTGATGGACGAGGCGGCAGTCCATGTTTTCTTCCCTTTCTATATTCCTTTTTCTTCTTCTTTTTTTTCTTCTTGATACACTCGCCTTGAGGAGGCCGGTTTCTTCAGGTGCAACAAATTACGCACCACCAAATACAGAGGACAGCAAAGGAGTTCCAGGCGTTAGCGGCCCCATTAGAGGCACCAGGAGGCATGATGGCTATTCCATGTTTTTATTTCCATAGCAGACATTTGTAGTCTGCCTTTCTAAACATCTACTGTTTCACACTCTATTCTCTCAGACTTCAGGGTATCGTGCGTCCTGCCTCCCATAGACATGGCCAGGACCGCTAAAAACCATACAACAGAGATTTTCGATGCACAGTCAGCAATGACCGCACGTTGTTTACCTTGTTTCAAACATGATGTATCTCCCACGGTGATGGACCAGTCGAGTGAAACCATATGTCTCGCACCCTCATGACGGCCGCTACGTAATGCGGCATACCGCCAGCGAGTCGAGAAAAAGGGGTCGCGGCTCCCACATACCCACCCCTCCAATCGGAGAAGCCAGACCGGCACGCGGCATTGGGATATACATTATTACGAAGCTGCATATCCCGGGCGGGTTGAGCAAATCCTTTCTTTTCTTAGACGCCGGTCGAAACCGCAGAGCCCCGGGCGCAGGGCTCACGCCCCCAAGGTTGGGTGCTGGGATCAAGAGACGGGCTGACAGGTACGGCATAGAGACATAGGGGAGGGAAGGGAGGGGGAAGAAGGCCAAGCTTCAAATCTTGCATTCGCTAGGCCCCCGGTTCCTGCATTAACAACCTCCAGTTAATTACTATGAAAAGAAACAAGTGGAGAAGGGGATTTTCGGAGAGATCGGCCGCGGAGGAGGTGTCATGGGTTTGGTTCCACCGGTTTTATCCCCTCCCCCCCGTTGGCATGATGCTCGCTGTTACTTGACTTCATGTATCTGTTGTGGATCATGTCGGTTTCGCTTTCGATTCGCTATATGACCGTTTCGTGTTGGCCTCGCTGCGGGCGAGGGGGTTGGCTTACTCGGGTGCTTGGATGCTCGGTTTCGCAGAGTTCGTGATGGGCTCGTAATGTTCGTACTCGGATGGCCCGGGTTGTTCGGTGGGGGGGCGGTTCATCGATCAGGATCCTGTGTCTAATCTGGATCTAATTTTGACAGTCTGGGATTACGTGAAGCGGGTTCCATCGACTTGTCTGATTGTTGTGACAGAAGTACGGCTTGACTCTTGAGGTTTATGATATCAACTCCTCCTTGTGGTTGAAGCAAACCCCCGCCAATATGCATAATGTCTCACAAAGATTCAATAGCTGCAATGTCCAATACGTGGCCATCTGCTGCGGTGAAGCAGCGGCTGCTCAGGAAACCATCCGCTTGAAGCCAAAAATAGCCCAACGATCCCGCCAACATGGACGCATGCGATGCTGAATCAACCGCCCCGAGCACCCTGCCCGGTCCCGGCGCAGCAACTCCCACCACACTAGGAGGCCACTCAGCCATACAAGAATGGCTGCATTCGTCGTCACAGCCAAGGGACTGGCCGCACCCAGAGCCGGAGGAAGCCCCCCGACCGTCCAGAGTGACCCGGCTCTCCGACCCCCACGCCGGGACCACGGTCCTCATAATCGACAAGGAGCGCAACCGGGCGCTGGCATGCCACGACGGCGGCCTACGCCTCGAGGACGCGGGCGACCTCGACGCCCTGGGGTCGATCCCCGTCCACTGGCAGTGGTTCTCCGTCGAGACGGGCGGCTTCAAGGGGTTCAGGAGCGTCGCCAACGGCGGCTTCCTGGGCCACGACATCTGGTGGGAGTTCTACGCCCGGGTCCACCACCACCTCGGGTGGGAGCACGCCACGCTGAGCAGGCGCGAGGGCGGCTGCTACTGGATCCAGTTCGAGCACTGGTGGACGCTGCGCCAGCTGTGTGCTCGCGGCGACGGCAACGGCGTGTACTGGCAGCAGGATAATGGTACGCTGTGGGAGTTTGTGGAGGTGCACGGGGCTCGGGATTGAGAGATGGGGACAAGTCCAGAGGGCAGAGAATACAAAACGCTATTTGAACATTGCAAATTCCGAGCCCATCGAAACTTACCTGTGACAATGCCGCTTCTTTTTGGGATGAATAGGCGGTGGCTGGCAAACAAAGCCTTGGAAGGTGGGAGCTCAAGGAACAAGCTCACTAACATGAATGCTCGCTGGTCAATGCCGTAACGGCCGACTATGGCTTTGTAAACTCGACTCTTTGACTATGGATACAGAAACAGAGAACGAGAGCCAGTTGAGCCACGAGTTTCCAGTTCCGTGCAAGTATAAGTAGGCTTGCAGGATATCCATCTCATGCCCAAGATGAAGACCGTATAATCCCTGATGAATCCAAGCCAGAATCGACTTTCCTACGTTTCATACAGCAGCTGCCACAAAAAAGCCGAAGGATACAAAGGCGTCAGGTCAAAGCGTCCCAGCTAAGCACACGGCCAGCTCCCAATCCCAACCCCTCGTTGCAGCGCTATTGGCATGTCGATTGCACAAGCAGAGAGAGTCGCCTGGGTCGCCGGCTTGGTTTTCACGTCAGCTGTCTGCGGCGTGCTCTTGTGCCTTGTCCTCGTGCTTTTGCAAAAATTACAATCAGCTCGCAGCAGCAACAATCCACCTGGGAACGAAGCAGACATGGGCCGGCCGTCCTCAGCATCAGGGCCTCCGTCGATCCCGTTGCACACTCACTTGAATGTGGTTAACCCGTGGAGGGGAGGGCATGAGGAGCATGTGGCACCGGTCGAGCGTGAACCAGCACCGCAGGACGGGAGCTCTCAAAATCCGGCAATCCACCCAAGGCTGGATAATGCGCAAGACCCCGAGAGAGGTCAGGCCCGAGCATGGTGGTGATCGATGAAGCCATCAGTGTGGGCGTCTCGGTCGTATCAGGGACGAGAGAAAACTGTCGATAGATCGGCCAAGTGATTGCGAGCCATGAGCTGGGCTCATGTTCCTTTATTAGTTTCCTTCAACAGGCAGAGGAAGGGTGACGCATTGATGCTCCCACCGCCTTCATTTCACAAGACAAGTCACAGAAGCCGCGACATCGTCTCATCTCGAGGTGGCTATTATTTTATTCATTTCTGCTGCTGTATTTTTTTAGTAGTCACCTCTGAATCTCAACGCTCCCCATCTCAAAAGATCAAATTGAATCAACAGTTCTGTGTTCCAGTGCCATCGCCCAGCTCCCCTCACCAGAGAGCACCAGCAAAACAAGTTACCCATGCCAGCAATCCCGCTCCAAACGAGGTTGTCTGCCAGGGAACTGTCGAAAACCAAAGTGCAGAGAAGCCCGAGTCCTGTGTGTGTGTGTGCAGCTATGTTTGGGGGGGGGAGATTGTACGATCTCGTTTCCGAACACGTGCGTGTGTGGGTTGTTCCACCCATTACAATATTCTTCTTCATTCATTCTCTCCTCCTCCAGTATCCCCATCTTCTTTCTCTCTTAATTTCTGAACGACTTAATATCTCGTGGGCGAATATCAGTAAAGAGCAAAACAAAAAAAGTCCAAGTGCGTGAGAACATCCAGTGTATCTTCAGCTGGGGATCAGGCCCGCTTGGCAAATATCGCGGCGATCCCCATCCCTTCCCTGGATCTTCCCTGACAGTGAAACAATAGTGTAATAGGAGTTAGTAGTTAGATAGAAAAAACAAGGCAAGAAAGCAGGAGATCAGTCCAGCTGTGAAGACAAAGGAAAATGCAAAATGTCTGCTAAAAGGACGGTACAAGAAGGTTAAACTCATTCTTCTCTTTTCCTCCTCGTGCGTTTGTGGTCATGCTAACATCGTTGTGTTGTGTAATTATTCCCGTTCCATCCACCATCGTCGAACGGGGCCAGTCTATATCGTGCTGGTTGCATCAAAAGGGGGGGTGTGTAGGTCATCCACGTTGATATCCGTGAAGGGGGCATCTTCAGAGCGATGCCCAATATGTGGCCAGTACCTCGCAAAGCAATCCTCAGCTATATCGGAAACGAAAATGATCAATAAAGTAAGATACGGCAGGGACATGTCGCCAGGGACTCCGCCTAGGCCGCGAGCGTCGCTCATACGGACTGGTAGAGCAGTAAGGGTTCGCCAACGTTCTCGATTTCGGGAATTGTGCACTTCAGGTCAAACGCCTTGGCCAACACAATCTTGAAAATCTGGGAGCGGCGATGTCAGTGGTGCATCCAACGCGTGGAGTCAGGGCGGTCGGTGTTCACCTTTTGCACGTTGATGCTATGGCTGGTGCTCGAAAAGATCAGAGCCGCCCTCATTGCCTTGGCAAACCGCCTTGCCTGCGTCAAGTTAGTACGTCATACTGGGATTGGCATCAGACAGGGGGGATCCTGCGAACCTGGTTCGAAATCTCCTCCTGGTCTTGGGGAGGGAAGTTGACAAAGTGATCGTATTTCGTGCCAACGAGGATGGGGATGGCCGTCTTATTGAACCCGCGGCCCTGTCGATACCACTCCTTGATGCTATTAAGCGTGCTCTTGCGAGTCAGGTCGAACATGAAGAGTATGGCGACGGCATCGTTGCAGACGAGGGGCAGCATGTTGACGAACTCGCGCTGGCCACCCAGATCCCAGATGGAGAAGGTGATCTCGGTATTTCTGATGGAGATGGTCTTCTCCATGAAGTTGACTCCGAGAGTCTGGATATAGTCCTCGTCCCAGCTGCCCTCGACGTACTTGACCATCAGGGAGGTCTTGCCAATCTGGGCGTCGCCGACCATGCCGACCTTGATGACGACATGATTGCGGCCCTGGGGCTGCTGCTCGCCCTGCTGCCTGTGCTCGTTGTTATATGATTGCGTCTGGGGGTTGGACATGCTGCTGGGAGGCCGTGATAACGACGGGCCGTTTGATACCGGAGGTGTGTATCGTGAGTTGTGGGATGCGCCGGCGTGGTCATCTTCCGGGTGAGGGCTGTCCTCGTGTGTGCTGTTCGCGAGACCGCGGTCTAGTGATTGGCTCTGTCCGTGGCGGTAACCGTTACTCTCGGCCACATGCACAGATCCATCAATTCCGCCCAGGGTATCTTCCCCGACCTCTTGGGGCGGCGGAAGTTGGTGCAGGTGGCTATCCATCTCCATGGTTCCGATCGTTGTTGGTGGGTCAGATTAGAGGCAGAGACAGGCAAGGCTCTGCCGAACGGAAGCTTGGGGAAGCGTGTGACGGGCTGGTGAAAGAGCGTGTTGGGTCGGTGGGCGGAGGCGCTGGAGTCGGCTAAGTAAGGGATCTATCTGTTCTTGCGGCAGAGGTGGAAATCGGATGAGAGGCAGGACGGCCTGGTCAGCTCGCCGAAGGCATCAAGCCAGAGAGCAGGGCAGCAGATCGAGGCTGCAGCAGCGTAAGGAGTGTGGTGGCAGGCGGGCGGCTACGAAAGCGGTCCCTTTTTTCGATAAGGGTTTCCGTGGCGGGTGATAAGGAGAGTGCGGGCTCGAGCAGGGTGCGGCAAGAGGCAGGAGAAGAAAGAAGGCCCGGCCGGAGACAACGATAGTGGTTGAAGGCTCTCGAGACGTCCAGGAGCGACGGGGACGGCAGGCGGAAAGAGGAGGGGCGGCGGTGATGAAATGGATGGTGGCAGAACGAAGCGATACCTCCAGCGAGGGAGCAGTATGTCGACTCACGAGGTGGGAGTGGAGTCGGGGCAGTCAATCGCAGTAAATTGGGCCAGCAGAGAGCCACCACCGGTCAGCACAGCACGCACAGCACCTCAGCAGCGCAAACAAAGTGCAGTGTGGGTGATGTGTGGATCGCTGAAGCCTGGCAGCGCGTGTCCGGTGAAGCCTGGCAGCGCGTGTCCGGTGCGGGGGCCCAGGATTTTCCGCGGGCACCACACACATCACTAATATTAGGCCCTTGGCTGCTTGCTACAGCGGCCACACCACTGGAGGACTCGAAGGGGGCCCCCTGGCTCGCATTGCCACCCGCCGCATCTGGGCGATGGAACCTCAGCTCTTCCAATGCCAGTGATCAGCCCTGCGGGTTAATCTATCACATGCAGCACCGCGACCCAAAGCCCCCCCTCTGAAGCTATCCTAATTCCCATCGCTGCCCAGGCACTGCTTGTCCATTGGCAAGAAAATTTGCTCGCGGGGCCGATCTGGCCGCTGACTGGCAGCGCCCCGTGTGGGTTTGGCAGCCTAAGCGATCAATGACCCGCGTAGAGAGGCAGACGATGGCGTCACGCGTTGGGCCAATGGGAGCCCGGTGTTTGGGGTTGCACGAGCGGCACCATGAGACGAACATGACGAAATGGGCAAGCCGCCGTCGCTCTGCTGGGCTGAACCAGCTGATGGTGTGTGTGTCTGAGACTCTGAGGTGGCCTGTGGAGGGCTTGACCCGGCCTGGGCTTGTGTGTGTCTCACCCCTCATTGGCATGGTCGGTCATGTTTGTGTCGTCTCGCTGCTGCACTTTTGTTTTTGTGTGTCTGCGTGTTTATATATTTCCTGTGTTTACTCTGCCTGGTTTGGGATATTTGTTTCCCTCCTGCTGCGTCGTCCGGGGCGGCTTAAATGGGCCTCGACGGACAACTCATCAACCTGCAAGTGACTGGCTGGGGTCTGGTCTGGGTGAGATTTGCGGATCCCATCACATATCACATCTTGCCGCGCCCAAACTCAGTCTGCCGTATTTCCACCGTAACTCCTCTCTCCTCTCTCCTTGCGCTCACAATCACTCACCGCATCACCGTGTTGACAATTACTAATGCTCACTCCGCACAAGCACACGTACAATGGCCTCGAGTTCGGTCTAAGTGTAATTATTGTTAGAGGTTCCGGAACCGTCTCAGGTGGCCAGCCGCAAATGATAGAATACCCCGATGAAAGTCATGCCAATACCACACTCTTGTCTTCACCGTACTCCGCCATTGCCAGCATGGAAAGGCAATCTCAACTCCTTGTTGGCAAAAATGCACAACTTTCGGGGGACCCTGCACCCACGCGGCCGGTCAAGGCTGTCAGCTGTTAGCTTCCTTTTTTTGTTCCGCAGCTGCTACGTGTTGCTCGGTGCTCGTAGCAAGTATTTAGTAGCTATTGAGCAGTGACTCAATGCAAGGCCCGGGCGGCTTTATGCATTCTATTTTTACTATATTCTATCTCGAAGGATCGGTTATATTTCGTAGCTTCACAGGTATCCCGCAATTCGTTCAAAATCCCAGCTGGTTAAGCATGCAAGCATGGCACCCAGAAGCTAAAGTTGATGGAGGTTGCAGTCCGACTCCGCACCACATGTAAGCACAGCTCTCTCAGTGCACCGTTGAGCATTAGCCCAACTCACGAGATGAAATCATTCCCTTTATTGCACTCGATATTTTAACAATCTTATTATACGATCATCACATCTAGCCTCCAAATGAAGCAGAGAAACAGAAAACGGCAACAACACAGAGCTTTTCATCACTGCAATCCAGAGCTGGCCATGGGGTTAATAATCAATTGAAGCATACAGGGTAGGCCACGGGCTACTGTCGGCTCTCAGCGAAGACAGGGTCGGCTCTGAACCGAGAAAACCAATGACTAAGCGGCCGGTGATACGATATCTGAACCTGGTGATGCGCTTCACCCAGACCGACTGGAAGTGTGCGTCATTCACCGTCCAGCCATTGCGTCCCGAGTCCGCATCCGCCACCAAAATGGCCTCAATTGCTCGCACCCTCATGGCCGTCAGGCCAGCAATCTCGCGCCTGGCCCCCCGCGCCGCTCCCGCCGCCCGCACACCCTTCCGCACCTTCTCGAGCTCCCGGATGAGTATGTCCAGTCCCCCTCCCTCTACGAGAACCCAGAACGGGCCAACTCCCATGAACAATACTCTGACAGATGAATTACCGCAGGCCTGCTTCGAAAGTACACCAAGGACCACGAGTGGGTCGACCTCTCCGCCGACCACAAGTCCGCCGTCGTCGGCATCTCAGAGTACGCGGCCGAGCAGCTCGGCGACGTCGTCTACGTCGAGCTCCCCGAGGCCCCCGGCGACTGGATCGAGCAGGGCGACGCCATCGGCGCCGTCGAGTCGGTCAAGTCGGCCAGCGACATCAACGCCCCCATCCGGTGCAAGGTCCACGCCATCAACAAGGCCCTCGAGGAGAAGCCCTCGACCATCAACCAGGTCCCCGAGGACGACAGCCACGGCGGCGGCTGGATCGCAAGGGTCGACGTCGACGAGGCCGGCGTCAAGGAGTTTGAGGGGCTGCTGGACGCCGAGGCATACCAGGCGTACGTCTCGGCCGTTGACGAGGAATAGACCAAGGGATGGGCATGGCGGGGGAAGAGGGGTTGGGGCTACGGCAAACAGGGGGGAATGTTTATTTGTATATGAAGGAAGGATAGGGAACCCTGGGAAAGCGGGTGAGCATTTAGACGCTACGCAGATGCGTATTCAACACTGTTAATTCTACGTTCAACCATCTTGAGGAGGTTTTGTTCTATTAGGCTTCTGTCGATATGGCAAACTTTTTTTTTCCCTTGTTTAAAAAGACAAACCGAGAAAAAAAAACATACATCATCCATCGTTATCATCCATCACGGCCGCACCACCGCATCACTGACGGAGGTTGCAGCCGTTTTTTTTTTGTTCCGCGGCTGCTACGTGCTGTTCGGTGGCTGCCGTACCGCGTTGATGGTGTCGAGAATCTTGCCGGCGCCACGCTCCACGAGCTCGAGGGCCACCCGCTTGCCGTACTCCTCCGCCTCCTCGGGGGTTGATATGACCTCGGACTTCTCCGTCTCGACGCTCTCGGTGCCCTCCACGGACACGACGGTCGCCCGCAGCCGCAGCTTCCCGTCTACCCAGTGCGTCTCGACACCGATTGGCACGCTACACCCGCCCTCGAGCGTCCTCATGACGTTGCGCTCGGCGAGGCAGGCGAGGGTCGTCTGCTTGTCCTCCAGGGTGCGGAGTATCCCGAGGGTGCGCTCGTCGTCGGCCCTGCACTCGACCGCGAGGGCGCCCTGCCCCACGGCCCAGAGGATGCCGCCGTTGTCGGACTCGAGGAACTGGGAGATGTGGGAGTCGAGGTTCATGCGCTGCAGCCCCGCCGCGGCGAGGATGATGGCGGTCAGGTTCGGGTCCTCGTCGAGCTTGCGCAGGCGGGTCTGGATGTTGCCCCTGTGGTCCTGGAACCTGAGCGCGGGGTACCGCTTGCGCAGCTGCGCCATCCTGCGCACGCTGCTGGTGCCGATGACGCTGCCGTCGGGGAGGTCGGCGAGGGTCTTCCACCCGTGCTGCTCGACGAGCGACGGCTTGATGACGAGTGTGTCGCGCGGGTCCTCTCGCTGGGTGATTGCGCCCAGGACGCAGCCGTCGGGTAGCGCGGTGGGCATGTCCTTGAGACAGTGCACGACGAAGTCGAGCTCCTTGGCCCTGAGCCTGTCCTCCAGCTGGGAGGTCCAGAGGTTCTTGCCGCCAAAGTTGTAGAGCGCCGTGTTCTGGTCTCGGTCGCCGGTCGTGGTCATGCCCTGGATCTCGAAGTTGATGGACGGGTAGTTCTTCTGCAGTGCCTTGACGACAAGCTCGGCCTGGGCCATGGCCAGGGGAGACTTGCGGGTTCCGACGTTGACGGTGGTTGTTTCAGACATTGTGCCGTGCCGTGATTCGAGAGACGTGTGATTGCGTGTGTACGAAGTCGGGAATGGCTGCCGCTCTCTTTCTTGTAGAGCTTCAAAGTGCCGCTATTCTGTCCCGTTGGAGTTTGGAGGGGCACCAACTTTTAGTCTCAATGGAGGGGTCCAACGTGTTTTTTGGTGGGGCAGCCGAAGAATACGCTCTACGACGCAATTCGCACTGTCTGTGCACCGCTCGGCCTCGGCTTCGGCATCAATTCAAGTTTGGTTGACCTGGAATCTCTTCTTGCCTTGGGCAAACAAGTATCTGAAGCCCTCAGACCGTGTCGGATGTCTAGAAAGTGACTGAATCTGATTTGTTGCTGTAACCTCGTGATGTGTCGGACATGATCTCGCACTGGGCAAACAAGCTGCTTCTGACGCAAGAGACGGTTGATAGAGGTCGCTCTATGATGGCAAATGTCTTTCAAACTGCAATCATTCATGCCGTGAGGTGGATTGGCATCAAGAGAGAGCCTGGGGTATCTTGATTCACTAAGACACGCCAAACTATAAATTCAATGGCTCTCGTATCATCGAGGCTCAGAATGATGCCACTTCCATAAGCACACGCATCATTCTCTGATGTGACCGTTCGTTGAGTTACAGAATTCTTTTCTAGACCCTGTTACTTGACTAAGCCATGATGGCGAGAATGCTTGCAATAATCCTACAATGCTTGGCTCTGGCGACAGCCCAAGTGTTGCCCCAGTCCAGCTCAACTTCAACTTCGATCAGTCTCTCAACCCTCCAGATTTCCGTTCCGCCTACAACTTCCCCCGGCGAGCCTCCCCCAACCATAATAGTGACGAATATCAAGCCCACCGCTACTGGAGACCCAGGTCAAGGCGCTATCTGCGAGTGCGGATACACGTATTGTTCCTCGGTTCTCATGGCAATGAGTCTGTCCCTCTACTACGCCGTGCTTCGCTCGTGAAAAGAAATCCATACTAATGACCTTTAATCTTCGTTAACAGAGGTTCCATGGAATGAGGAGCAGCTCAGGAAAGCTTACTGTGCCACGCAAGACGCTGTATGTGACAACGGAACCCCGTCCAGCGACATCAAGTCGGCTCTATTCCTCTGCCTCTGCGACACAATCGACCAGAAGGTGGGCGACAACCTGCACCTTGTCTGCGGATGTGATACCTGCCTCAACATCGCGCCGGACTTTAGAGGTCGATGCAAGACTCCATGCGTCTCAGGACAATGTAAAGGGGGCGGTGATGCTACTGAAGACGAGTATGACTGGTAATGACAGGTTGTTGAGCGTTTCACGCGGACATTAATGATTGACGGAATTTCGACAATGTTTCGACAATAGCGGGACTATTCTCCCAGGTGAATTAGTTCAGTCGAGTGGAAGAGGTGGCCGAGCCGGTTAGCCTTCGAAATTGATTTTCTATTCTCTTACATTGACACCGTGTACGTGCGGCTCCAGGACGTGATTCCGGTAATGATCTCGTCAGTTTCGTCGTAGATACGTGTCCACGCCGTGATAATGCAGCCGGGGTTGGCACAGAGCCCACCACCCCAACAGACCAGGGTTACTCTCGACCGCGTCCTGGCACGCCCGAAGCCATCGCCAGGTCTCTAGACACTTGTCGAAATCATTGAGCCAAAACATGAAGCCGCTCCTGATTCCCATCTCGCCGTATGCGATGTGACTGTCAGTCTCCATCATCTTCTCCCAAATCTCCTTGAACTCCCGGTGACGGAACTGGACCAGAGCCACCTGCAGATACCCTAGCTCGCTGTTGGCGCGATAGCGCTTGTGGTACATGTGTTCCGTGTCTTGGAGCAGCCTCCGGATGTCTTTCTTGTACTGGCGGCTGAACCGGCGCTGGTTTCTCCTGATCGTCGACCAACCACTGAGGAGCTGCTGGTCAATGTGGAATCTTGTAGATTTCATCAATAGCCCGTACCAGTCCAGGAGATCGACACACAGCTCCGAGAAGCCAAACCTCTTGAAGAGACACATGTGGCAGCACAGCTCATCAATGTGGAAGTCCTCTTGATTCAGCCCCCCGCGGTACCGCACCAGGCCGTGGCCGTCATGCGTTGGGCTCCAGCTCGGAAACGAGCCCCCGACGCGGAACGAGCTCAGCTCCTGCCACAGGCTGCAGTCTGGGCATCGAATCATGTAGAGCACCCATCTACTTGCTATTTCCTCGCGTAGATGGTCCGCGAAGAGGTCGTCCTCGGGCTCCGGGTGGCCCAGCGAGCGGCCTACCTTGGGGAAGTACCGATCCAACGCGCACACGAAGCGGACGCACCGGCTGACCTGGATGGGTGTGCTGGCCGTGCCGCCGTGGAAGCCGTGGATGGAGGCGTGTTGGTACTTCAGCTTCCCTTGACGGAAGAGGCACTCGTTGCAGAGCCGAAGGTGGCGCTTTGCACCGTGGCGAGCATGTTCGTTAGATGCCGAGTACTTGGGTCCTTCCTGCCCCCGTTTCTTGCCGCGGAGCGTCGGTCTCCATGTTGTGAGGCAGTGTTGGCGGGAGGTTTCCGGATCTAGCTTTCTGTATCCGAGCTTGAGGAGGGAGTGGTTGTTGAAGTGTTGGTGGCGGAGGAAAGTCATGCACCCGGAGCAAACCCAAAGATTTCTTTCCCACAGGCTGAGATCTGAACTGGGGTTGAAGCTGTTCCCGATGAACAGATTCGTTCCTCCACCGAGAAGGCGGGAACCCTCCCACTGGAGGAGCAATGCCAACTTCTCGTTCCGCCCAGGCCTTATGACGTGACGCAGGTACCTGCAGGTCTGGCTGAGCGACCAAACGCCTAGAGGATCCAGGAGAGTAATGATGTGAATAAGTATTTCCGGCGGGATCGGAAGAGGAGACATCACGAAGGGCACACTAGAATTGTCTGCTATGGGGGGGCGATGGATGGCTTGGAGAGGTGTGCGTGGAAGGGGAGACTTGTTGACAACAGAGGAGGTGAGGAAATATAAACAAAAGCCACAATAGTCTGGGCTTCGTTTTTCACTTGAGCCAGGTGGCAGGTGGCAGCTTCGTGAAAGCCTACTGAGGATCTTTGGCAGCTGCCAGCAAGTGTCAGGTATCACGTCTCTGCCATCGGCCGAGCGGCAAGTGGAAACATGCCTCACTACCGCTCTTTTCACGCAAGGCAGGGCAAATTTATTCTTCAAACCTTTGACGGAACCTCTGTGATCAAAAAGTCGTTAAACGACGTGGATATAAACCAGCGTGTAGGGCAAAACAAGGTTAAGACGAAGCTCTGTGAGGTCCAACCTGAGCAGAGACACAGCTTGTCCCTACCTAGTGGAAGCTTCTTTTCCCAGTTCAAGCTGTTGACACGCTGGATATTCTATTAAGTTATGTAATTACGTAGTATGGACGTAGCTAAACCGTTAAGCAATAGAAGATTCCATTTACCAACCTCCAGCGTTAAAACTCAACATAATATCAGAACAATGAACCCAGTAATAAACACAACATTAAGCTATATATCGTAGAATAATTTGTTCTTTTTTTTGTTATTGTGTGTGGTCTTGTGAATAATAAAATAAGGACTTCCAGGAGTTGGAACTGGTGAGTAGATGGTCGCTGGAGGTACCAGCGATATGAAGCCGTTGCTGCTGGGGGGTCACGTGGCTGCAGCTCTGTGACTCGAGCCTGCAGTCACTTCCCCCCTTAAGCCTGGGTGCGATTGTAGGCCTCTGCAGTTGAGTGCTGCAGCGCAGTGAACCTTCCCCATAACCCATCCTACTAACCTACGTCTTTCTTCCAGGGCAGAGAAGCCCCGATCGGTGTGCTACGCGCTTTCCTGATAGACGAAGACCACCGTTTTCGTCAGTAACACGCGACATGTTCTCTCTTTTTTGCTAACAACCTCACCGACAGTCAAGCCCTCAATTCTTTTTCGATTACTAAACTTTTGACACTTGCGTGTTCACTCAAACGGTACTACATTGAGTCCAAAGACATGGGTCAGATTCGGGACCAGGAACTTACATACCACGAGCTAACCTTGAAATCTGGCCAGACACCCTCATATCCGTTCAATTCGAGAAGAAGACATTGATCGAACATACTATCCAACTACTTCGAACCCGTTCACATATCAATAAGAATCTGGCTAAGATGCCTTTTGAGCTTAGAGACATTTCCTCCTACCCACGCTATTAGTTCCAGGACCGGCGCAGACGAGCTCATCTACGACGACAAAAGCCTTCAACTCCTCCTTCAATTTATGCGATAGACTCGACTGGCTTCAGTTGCTCACTCCCTGGGTCAAAGCAACTTCTTCATGCGAAAGAGATGTACCTCCCGAACCGCTTGACTCTTGCGTTGCCACAGTGGCCGTCTTCCCTCCGGAAATGCACGACTCCAAGTCTTGTGTGGATATGTCAAGGGACACGGGATTCATCCTATTGGCAACCTATTCATCGGTGAGCCGCTCCTAGGTTCCGTCATATTCTTGGCTTGGCTAACAGCACTGTAGGTAAATGAGACGTGGGCGCTCACTGAAAGCCGGTAAACGACTTGCTCCTGCTTCGACTTTCCCACGCCCAAAAACCATCATTAGAAACCCTGACAACCCATAATAGGGGCCTCGACGAGATTCTACCTTAGAGCGATCTCTGCCGCCGGAAATTGAAGATACTTGGATTCACCGATTCTTTCATCGATGCCGTTTGTTTTGTCAAAGAAAGCTCAGATCCTAGAAAACATCAAAGGTGGTTAATGGTATACAACATGAGCCTCGATGAGCGGACGAAAGCTCTCCAGAGCAGGGAAAGATGGCCCATGAGTGTTTGGTGCGGATGAAGTATTCGTGGCAGATTTGGCGAACGGGACATGATAGACACTGTTCTACCCACTTGTACCGGGCCTGGCACAACTGGTCCAAGTCACAGGCCTTTTGTGTTTCATCTCTCTGGAAGTTGCCAACCAAGTTGGTTACTTGACTTGTAGGACTTACATGCCACGACACTCACTTGGCCATTACGGTAGGCCAGGCCAGACCATAAAGGACAACTCATCCGCACGGCAGCTCCCTTCCGCGAGGTTGTTCTGGGATTCTTGGCCTCTGGGGCGTGTTACGGCGTTTAACCCAAACACCATTCTCGGCTCAACCACACGCTGCGCCCCGGGCCGTGCAATATACCCTGCAAAGGTGATGGGCCACCTACCCTCTGACAGCATTGCTCTCATTAGACAACCCGTTTGGGATAACGATGAGTCCCTTGTTCTGTGGTATCCACTTGCTCGCTTCGTCCTTCCAAACTTCTACTTCTTTTGCCCCCCTGGTCACTCAGAGTCAAGGAAGGCCAGTTGACGGTACCAATTTGAGGCCCGAGGAACAATGACATTCTTGCGTATGCATAAATATACGCACGCGGACGGGCAACACGCGCTACGTTTGATTTAGACGGTTGGAACCAAGCCCAAAACACCGAGCAAAAGATTTAGCTCGTCGGAGCAGAGCGGAAAGGGTTAATCATCAGAGAACCAGCCCGTTTTTCTGAGACGGTACGATCACGACTTGAGATGACAGGCCAACTTTACATGATTCGATTTTGCCCAACGAGCATATATTTGCGGCAAATATGATGGCTGATCAGTATACCTCTAGGGAATAGTTCTTCCCATCCAACTGAGTTATTTCTTCGTGGCAAAAATACTGGCTCACCGGTGAGGATCTGGCCCACTTGCCAAGTGACATGATGATACTCTCGGCGTCAGTACTGGCGTCCATGTACAAATGAGGCGGGCATCTGTCTCCTGCCCCTGCTGCGGGTGGTTCCGGCAAGTTGATCAATCCTTGCAGCATAGCCTAAGCAGCACAAGCCACAGACAAGCCTTGAAACGAGGCAGCCGCGTAGGAGGAAAATCACGCTCGGAGCTATTTAATTCTTTAATTACGTTGATGCTAATATTGACTACCGACGACCAGGACGAGCAGCCGGCGGACGCCACGTCAAGCAGATTCGATGAATTCTTGGGAAGGGTCAGTGAGATGAAAATTACACTAGAAAGCATGCTACTTCAACTTGCTACACCTCAAGAAAACCGGCCAGTCAATTATGGGCTGCTTGTTCAACCTTTGCCGAATTTCAAACGTCAGGAAGAGGCAGAACAGGCATCGGAGGGCATCCGGTCGACACTCGGGTTCTCTTCCGAGAGCTGCTGCCCCCGATTTTATACAACATCTGAACTCCACCGCCAAGAGCCATATTATTAGGACGTGCTCGTCCGGCTCGCCTCCCCGGCCAATGATATGATATCATGACATACGAATCAAGCGGAACATAAATGGAAATTATGGACTTCGTCTTTCATGACTCGTCTTTGTTCAAGGGCAATCTCTGGGCCTTGGACCGTCGTAATGCTGATACTAACATGCGAATGCCTGCTATTTCCCATGGCCAGTGAATACAAAGCTAGGATCAAAGGCCTTCAAAGTCTTGGCAGAAGTGACGAAGCCAATGTGGTGGAATCCCATCTTTTCAGTCTATCATGTCACCTGACTTTCTCGCCCGTGTGTGGTACATGATCTGAGAGCTGCCACTCTCTGCGTATTTGCTGGGATGAGGCAAGCCCAAGACATGGACCGGACCCATAGAACTGTTCTAGCACGATTCCATGAGGCAACTCACACCGAATTAGCCTCCGGAAACGTGCCTGACGGTGCATAATGGGCGCATTAGGGATGAGCTTATATTGAGCCGTCGATCAGGGGTACAAGTGACGTCAGCCCCAAGACTTTCGGGCTTTACTCCAGCCTGCAAGGATTTAAAGAGTCCTTACATGCATTGCCCATGGGGTCAGGATGCAATGCCAGGTAGTACTCCTCTTCCGCGTGGGTAATGGTGGGTGATTCGACGGCACCAAACAGCCGGCGAGGCAGGATTCTGTGGTGATGGGGATGAAAATCGCTCAGTTATGGAGTCGAAAAAGCCCAAATACGTCCTCCTTGGCCTTGGTCTGTGAGCTCGATTGCCAATCTTTAAAAGAGGACCATATCCTCTTGCCTTCTCCCTCGAGCTACTCTAGCCTAAGACGCACTCGATACTACTTCGCCTCTACTCACCCACTTGAGTTTTGGTCTCTTCCAAAAAGATATGCAATATCGGAGTGAGATCAAATGAGAACCGACCTTCTTTCCTTTCAATATCGACACTGTTCACCTCGCGTGACTCGATCTTTCTAAAATGGCATCTATTAGCAACGAGAAGAGCGGCGTGAGCGCTCAAGCACCCGATAAGGTTGACCACAACCCCAACAGCAAGAAGACCCAGGCTGGTACTGGTAATGGTACTGTTGATGTTGAGACTGGCCAACTCCACACTCTTGAAAAAGAGCCTCTTCCGCCATTCACGGAGTCAGATGACCCATTCGGCGGCGAAGGAGGCAACAACTACCGCACAATGGGCCGCTGGGACACCGTCTTTGCCCTTGTCACGAATCAGATGGGGCTAGGAATCCTTTCCCTGCCTGGCACGTTGAAGATCCTGGGTCTCGTTCCAGGTCTTGTTGCCATTTTCGCCATCGGCTCTTTGACTTGGTATGCGGGTTATGTCTTGTATGAGTTCTACGCAAGATACCCCTTTGTCATCAACCTTGTCGAGATGGTCAAGGTCATTGGTGGGAAGAGATGGGAGGCTGTGGCCTTTGCTATGTTCATCTTCCAGCTTGTTCTCACTGGTGCCTCTACCGCGGTCACGCTCTCCATAGTCTTCAACTCCATCAGTGAGCATGCCATGTGCACAGTCGGCTTTATTGGTATCGCCTGCTTGGTCATCTTCATCTTCTGCATCCCCCGTACCATGAAGTTTGTCTCTCAGAGTGGCATCCCCTGCTTTCTCAGCATCACCATCGGAGCTTTGGTAACCATGATCGGTCTTGGACTTCAGCATCCTGCCAAGGCTCCTGCGGACTGGAAGCTGGGCTCCGGTCTTACTATTGTTGGGCACCCGTCTTTTCAACAGGGATTAACTGCTTGTATTCGCATCTTCTTTGCGTTCGCGGGTAACTTTGCCTTTTGCTCTTACATGGCAGAGATGAAGGACCCAGTTAGAGACTTTCCTTTTGCTCTCCGGGGGCTCTTCATCGCCTCCATGAGCGTGTACGCGGCCTTTGCTGCGATCCTCTATGTGTTGGCTGGAGAGTATACCACCTCGCCTGCCCTGGGTTCCGCGCCTCTCGTCTATGCAAAGGCGGCCTATGGGATCGTCATTCCTGCGGTGCTCACTTCTGGGCTTTCCAACGGACACATTGCCATCAAGCTCGTCCATGTCCAGGTGATGCGTGCGATGAACCTCACCAAGGAGATCACCGCTAACACTGTTCGATCGTGGGCCATCTGGATTGGTATTGGAATTGCCTTCTGGGTTATTTCCTTCATCATATCCAACGCAATTCCCATCTTCGACTCGATTGTTTCCATAAGTTCCTGCGCCACGTATAGTTGGACAACTTGGGGAATCGCTGGGTTTCTGTGGCTGCACCTAAACAAAGGATCGTGGTTCAGTACCTGGAAGAAGAGGGGACTGTTTTGTCTCAATGCTTTGCTTATTGTTCTTTCGCTTTTCATGAACAGTGCAGGTCTGTGGGCATCGATTTCGGAACTTCTCGATGCCTTCAAGACGGGATCTGGTGTGCGAGGATGCTTTGACTGTGGTGATAACAGTTCCCTCTAGAGTGATTTTTTGTTGCTCGTACTTGCGCCCAGAAGGTCATATGGGACTGGGGGAATGATTGAAAGAGATGGGATGGACCCCGGGGACGGCTGAACATTTTTCTTTCCAGGCTTTTCTTCTAATCTTTCTCTCGCGCCTCTCTCCTTTTCCCCTTTTCTCTTTTCCACTGGATCCATTTTTCCCTTTTGGTCCTCGTACGCCTTTGACTATGTGACTTGATCAATGGATTACTCAATGATGCAGAAATCAATATCGAATTATCTGGATTGCCAGAGATTTTTGTGAATGAACGTTCCAACCACTGAGAACTAACACATCAGTCAGCCATTATATATTTCTGTAAGGAAATGCAACCTATGTCCAAGGATCTACCGATACCTAGGTCTAGTTGACTGAGACATTTGTGGTTGGCGGATTATATTGCGTTTTCTTTGTGGTGAATGAACCATGGTAAGATACGCCCGGGTGAAGGAACAACAGGAGCCCAAACAAGCGATACTTGATCACGGGATTGTCTTTTTCGTCTTAGACAAGTAGTAAAACGGGCATTGAATCTGTTTCAACCCTACTCTCGCTTGCTTTTCTTCTTCATCGACACAGTGACCATTTCTATGCCTGTTTCGTTTGACTGAAATCTCCAATGGGAGCACCGCGGTTGAGCAAGAACTCCAAAGCTTCCTTCGTGTTGCCCGCTCGGATGAACGATTCAGATAGGAGCGATGTCATGCATCTTGGGACTCGCCACTCGATGTGGGCAAAGCCTACGCTGTAGTCGAAGAATGTTCGCATTGGTTCCTTCAAGATTTTGGAGTTAGCAGAGCGAAAGATGAAACATGACGGTGTATAACACTAAGCCCCCTTTCGAGCCAGAGGTAGTCCATGTTGACTTACCACTTCGCCTCTGTGAAAGTAATTTCAGAATTCACACCCGGCATATTCAGGATACTCTATTGGGTCTGCCCCGGCTTCCAGCGAGAGCTTCCTGCAACCTTTAGCCACTGAAACTGCTTCATCTCCTTCTTCATTGTCATCCACGAGGCAAAAAGTAATCGGAGGGCTTTCTCTTTCTGAATATTCATCGCGGCAGTATACGACATGTCCGGATCCGTGTTTTTATCAAGTAGATATCGGAGGATTTGATCGGGGATTGGTAGCAGCAATCTATCCAGGTTGTTAGCACTCCCGAGCCAAACATGGACCAGCTTCTGCTTACCAAGAGTAGGGGAGTTCTCAAGGCATCCTAATCTCCAAGTGACGCCTGACCGTTTCGCAGCAAGCCTAGGAGCTCTGACCGGGGTCCTTCTCGGACGGACTGGAAGACTGACGAGTCTCGTGGGCGGATCAGCTTCTCTCGAAAGAAGGGGACGGGCGAAGCCGATGCTACGGAAGACATGGATAGGGCTTTGGAATGATGTACTCCGACAACTCCCTATATCATCCCTTCGTAGTGCCATTGCCAAATGTCGAAGCCTGCCGAGAGTGCATGTTGGCACAACACTTTTTTTGCTTGTAGAAGGGTGCAGGTTAAATTTACTGAACATAGGAAGATAAGGTAGGTATATACGAAGGCGAAGGTACTTTAGGTACCTTATCAAATATGGATGGAAGAATGTTGGTGCCTCAGGTAGCCACATGACACATCGCTATATTCAACACCACTGCATACCTAATATGCATCAATTATTACCTCTACATTTAATTTCTCTACCACTATATCTTCATGGCGCGGGAAAAGGAGGGGTTTGGTTCCAGAGTCACTTGGTGCGTCAAGTACATAGGAAGAGCAGTGCACAAAATGCCATGTTGACCGGTTCGAAGAATCCTTTTAGTTGAAAAGAGCAACAACCGCCTTGTACAAATTACTGCAACAAAAGAATAGCTCGCTGTCACAAAACGAATAGTAATTTGGTAGACTTAGTCGCCTACCGTACTGCTTTGTTTTTATTTATGTTGTTCATATTTCAGTAATGATAGTTCCGCTGAGCAAAAGCTCATGAATGCCATCACCAAAATGGCCCTGTTTCCCACTCCGATTGATTCACCTCGTGAGACCACATCAAAGCTCCAGTTGATGCGTCAACGAGTCTTCGATAGCCGGCTGGGTGAGACCTCTGGTTTATACCCTGGACCCTCCAAATAGGCTGTCCGCTGAAAAACTCCCGAGAGTATGGCGACAGTCTTCCTATGGTGAAAGGTGTTGCTAATTCGCCCTGGCATCGTCTCCAACCTTGAGTCAAGAGTCGGTAGAGTGCATATCGTAGACTACAGGAGCTGCCCTGCACTGGGATCGTCCAGCAGTCAATCGAGCACGCTTTATCCTTGATATCCTCGATTCTTTGTGCCCGAAATTGTAAGAGAATCAACGCTTCACCATCAAAGCAGAAAACTTGGGGACACTGGTATTTGTGTGCGTATCTGTTATCCTTGGTCAGCTTAATGTCGTCCTCATATCTGAGCGCTGTATGACACTGATGAAGAAAAAGGCTTTGTAAGAAAGCAGTCCAAAAGAGAGACAGTATGCTAAATGATATACATACCCCCTCAGCTCTTGTGACAGCTTCCTCTGACTGGCAGCAGTAATGGACCCTCTTTGCCAATCTGCCGTATCGATGAGATTGCGTTTGATCTCCCCTATAGCCACAGTGCGCCTTTGTTGGCCGAATTTGACAGAAAATGTAGAGTCGACATTTTCAGGCGTGTTCTGTTCTAAAAGGGGTTTTGTGTGAGATGTCTGCGTCATCGGTGGGTAGCTATGCCACGCAGAGAGGACTACGTTGGTTATCTCAGTGTTGAACCAATTTTCACAGTCAGCCTCTGATTCAAGTCTCCAATGGCGATTATTTGGAGGGACCGCCGGTTGACGGAACCGCAAAGCATCATCATCATGTAGTCCAAGGAACGCGTCCTCGAAGTTAGCGTAAGTGATGCCGTCTGAACCAACAAACGTATGGGTTATGACCCTTTTGATGGGCTCATAATCACGAGCCCACGCCTTATCAGATCCGGTCACATACAGAGGGTTGTTGACTGAATTAGTCGGGTGCTGCAATATAAGCGCTTCAGCTGTACTGGCAGACATGATTCGAAAAGGGAGTCGTACGAATGGCAAGCAACAAGTGAAATCAACTGAGATCAATAGAATGCAGGATTGCGAGTTTGAGAGCATTCACCCGGGCCAATTTGGGACGCATTTATATACCCGGAGAACACAAAGCCTAGGCACCTGCTATGACGGTATGGTCGGCTGCCTTTACAGTTCACGGCGGTTAGAGCCACGCAGTCCAGGTTGAGACCAAAGAAGAGAGCCAATAGTCGTGTTTCTCCTAACGCTTAAATCCCTGCCCCCCCACTGAGGTAGAATGCGACCAAACAAGAGGCCGACCAACATGAAGAAGGCTGTCGCAGCGAGAAATCCGATTTGCCAATACACCACGAAAACCCCGCTTGGCTGTTGGTTGAGTGTCTTGGTTGAGTGTCTGCCTAACCAGCCCCGGCTGTTCCTGTTATGGCGTGATCAGTAATAGTATCAGTACCTGAGTAGTTGTTACAATTTACGTCCTGGAGACCGGATCCCATAGGCCCGGTGGCTATGCCACCTATCTGCGCTTCCCTTCTTGCTAGTTCGTCGCTTTTTCAGTCTCGTTACTCAAAGGGCCCCATCGCGAAATTGGCGATTACTAAGCTGCCCTTACTTTCCGAGGTCAACTTGGCACGTGCACTCACTGGTTTTTTGCCGTTGTTTTACGAAGGTACCTTACAGTAGTTGCTCCGCTGTTGACAATCCCCTATTCCACGTACTGTCTTCTTCGTTCACGTTCACAGCAGGAACTTTGGCCCCAGGCTCGGCAGCGCAATGGAAGAATTGAACGAGGAGCCGGGCTTCACAGAGTCAAATCCACATTCACCAAACTGCCCACCATCGGCAATCATCGTAAGCTATTGATACTCATCCTTCTCGTTTCGTCCTGTGCCAGGTGCTAAAGTTGGTGCAAAGCGCTTTCGCTTCGGCAGCCGAACTATTCAAGCTACCGGTGCTGCCTCGGATCATGCTCATCCCAATGTTCTACGCCTACAGATTCATCGAACGCTACTTGAACGATTTATTCAGTCGTTGTTCTGGATCATTTCGAGAGCAGATGGTGTCTGGCTACGGAATAGATTCCCGGAGTGGTTCTTGCCAGAAAGGATCGTCTTGAAGTCCCAAAAGAACAATTGGGAAGAGGAGTTTGACCAGGAAGTGGCGGCATATAACAAATTACATCGCCTTCAAGGCATTACCATCCCTCAACTCTACGGCTTGATCGACTATAATCACACTCGCGCTCTCATTCTTTCAGACGTTGGGGGGTTCCCTCTCGCAACCCCACAAGGCGCAGTGCTGGACAAGCAGGATCTTGAGCCCCTGTTATACCATGCTCTGACGTCCCTTACAGAACTGGGCGTTTGCCACGATGACACCAAACTCGACAATTTTCTTCTCGTGACTGATGAGGGAAAGGATAAAATCATGATAGTGGATTTGGAATCGGCAGATTTCGAATTATCTGAGGAAGATCTTGCCTTTACAGCAAAGAGCAAAACAAACTGGCTAATCCGGCAGTATCGCAACCATCTAGATTGCATGGAGTATGACGGCGTCCGTTTACCCAAGCGGCCCCTCAGAACCTAATGCCACCCATCCAGCGCTGCAGTGTTCATGTTCTTTATCAGCCCCCATGCTACCAATTTCTAGGTAGATGTGCGGTTAAATTTTAATAGCTCTATAGCTGCAGTCGAGTCTTAACCAGGGAGCTTTTGATACATTCCTGCCCTCTTATTCTGGAACAATGAGTGTTTGGGAGGGGTCAGGGCGCGTAGGGAGAGAGTTGTGAACTTTTATTTGGCTAACCGATGCCCAATATCAAGGTCGCTTGGTACGATTCAACAAACTTGTAAGAGTCTTAAATGAAGCCAGCATAGGTAAACTCATGTATTTTTGAGAAAATGCCTTTGATTAATTCAAGTTACAAATTAAACTCTTTTGACTACCTTAAAAGATCTACCCAAACACTCGATCAAGTACAAAGGGCTTTTGGAGGAGTTTCCAGCTGATGACCTGCGATCCGGCCAATGTGCGAAAGTGATGGCAGTGCCAGTAGTGTATGTCCGACGGTCTAGCAAAGGAATTTTCGTTGTCTCGAGAGGTTAAAAGCTGTTGGACCCGGTTGCCAGGCTGCAGGTTTTCCTGGTGGAGTTTAGCATAGGATACGACGGAGGAGCCTCGGATGGGATTATTACATACTTGATCTCCCCAGCACCAAGCTCGGGGGCATGAGGTTGGAATGACGCTCAGATGCATGAGGGTTGAAATGACGCTCAGACAGGCATGTGTCCCGGAGGACCTGCTTTAACGGTTGCCGGGTCTCCTCCACTGGAGAGATTGAGTGCGTGATCTTTTTAAAGCTTGACTTGAGGACAAGTTTGGGCCGAGAAGATTTTGGTTGTCTCTTATCCTTTTTCTGTTTGTTGATATTCTCAACTGTACTGTTAGCCAGTGATCAAGAAGGAGGGATAAGTTGGTGTAGAAGTCTACATACCAAAGGTCAGCTTCGCAGCGATCGCTCGTCTTGACCAGCCAGGGGGCTGGCTTTTGCTGTTGTCCCGAGAATTAGTTGAATCCTATTGAAGGATTCCCTGTGTATGGTCTCCGTGCTGATGCTTGGGGGCTGCATAATCACATACCAAGCCCTCACGTTCGAGGGAATGCTCCCACGTATGGGTGTTAAAGGAGAGAAGTTGAGTGCCGGGGGGGGGAGAAGTGGGAGCGAAGAAGGGGAGAATTCTCAGGGCCCGTTTCTGGAACCTTCCTTCCCTGTTTGCACGTCACGGGAATGTCAGGTGGGAGGAAGGCAGGTGCCACCAGGGGCGGGCTGCTCACGCTGCAGGGACCTATCAGATTGCTGCCATGGTACTGCCACCTGGGAGGTACCTAACGCACAGGGGGCCGTGAAGACCCCCAGGGACTGAGACACTCTACCATTGGGCAGGTAATAGATGCAAACAGCTCGGAAGTATCTACAGAGATACTCCCCAAGGGAAAATATGCTCGTAATCACCAGGCCATCACCTAAGATATGCGTTCGTTAAGGTAAGTGACCACATAATGGCCAGGTACTCCCATACTTGGATTACAGATCTCTGGTAAGATAAGCGAGTGGTGAGAATGGGGGACAGAAATGTATCTGAGGGAATGGACTACCTACCTAGGTACCTAGGTAGAAACATGCCACTCTGACTACTAGAGTCAGTGGATTTATTGCCACCCGTTGTCAAGGGCAAGACTTTATGCTACCGCTGACATGCGTTAGGTACTGCTCTTCTTATCAAATTTCGAGTGAACCATGCTGTGCATTCCATCACGATCGTAGTATCTCTGCTAACTTAGTTACATGAGCTCTAACGTACTCGCCTGTGAACACCCCTGCAGTGATCCAATCTAGGGTAAGGAAAATCGGTCCACAACAACGGCTGGGCTACGAAGCCTGTGCTATTGACACACAGCGAAGGCATTGGAGTAATCTTAGGAAGAGGCAACAGCACCAAGCATTTTTAGGCTGGCCCGATATTATCATGGCCAGAGATAAATTCTACACCCAAGGCATCGTAATACGAAGACTTGGAGTTGTGGAGACAGACTCAGCAGGGATTGACGGTCTAGTTACATTATATTAAAGGTTATTTCGACGACCCCGGTCGCAAGAATCCTGTCCTGCTACTCCTTCCTATGATCTCTTGTACGATAGTCAGATGCTATCGATGGACTGTTAGACGGTACGAGAACGAAGAATGAATGGACTGCAGTCATCTGCGGCAGCCTTGACAGTGGTGGACGAGGTGGGTAGATTTCGGAGTTCAGGGGCGGTTGGACTTAGCCAGGTAAACGGCAATGGGGCTTCATATCCCATCAACGTCTTGTTACAGCTAGCTTGGTTCTCTTTGCCCGCTAGAACCTGTACCCTGAAAAAGGCCGAATCGATCATCTCATCGTCGGCAAGCGTAGAGCACTACACCTTAACATGAACACTCTATTGCACTTGCGCCGCACATCTTTCGCCCAACTTCAGGACACACTTGATCGAGCAGGATGTGCCAGTCGTATAGCCAACCTGGTCTTGGGAGCGAAACGCGAGGGATAGCTTGGGGTTCGTCTTCGCGGGACTGGGGTTCGGATCGACTGGACTCGGGAGCTTGGACAGAACCACACTGAAGAGGGTTGTTCGTAGCAAGGCGGAGCAGAACGAGGGCGAGAATTTCAACACACGGCGGTACGTCTAATTGGTAAGGATGCGATGGTGCATGCAGCGGGGCATCTCTTGGTCGACCTGGCTGCGCAAGTGCTACATAGACCTGTGGTAAGCAGATAGTTCGGAGCAGCTCGTGCGTATTAACTTACAACTGCAGCTATAGTTATAACTTCGAGCATTTGAGAAAAGAATGATGTGTTAGGGAGAAGAATGTAGGTAACTGGTGTAAGGAGGTCGGACCGGAAATACTGGGCTCCGCTTTCCTCCATGGAGCTGGTGATCTCCTTAGTGACCTGGGAAGCGAACTACTCTTGTGAAAGCCCGGCGAATCAACAAGAAGACAGCCAACAAGCCAACAGCCCACCTCCAGCATGAAATGCAGTGCTGCATTCAGATCGCCGTTTCGTTACCTGCTACGCTAACACATGTCCTCATTTTTTGCCACACAAGAACCCACTTTGTCGGACACTGGAGAGGGTAGCCCTGGGCTGTCTGAACCCTAAGGGGAAATTTTGATCTTAACAGGTAGTACTGTCAAGCCACTAATATCTTCTCGAAGCATGTACCAAGCTAATACTGTCCTGTAGTGCGTTTCCCTCATTGATGCCCATGCTTCGACGTCTTGGCTAAGGTACCCCGGCTTCGACGATCCAACGGTCGACTATCGATGTCCTCAAACTCTAGCTAAGAACACGCGAGTTCACACGTGGGAATCTGAGAGGCGCCTTCATCCCCTACGAAACATCGCTTGCGTCAGTCCGGCTTTTGGCAAACATTACACTCGCCAAGTCATCGCGTGGAGATTTGCTCTGCAACAGGGTTTCCGTCGCCAAAATAACCTGACCAGGCTTCAAGAGAAGCCATCAATTCCAGTTTCCGTCGAGGCCATCGGTCGGTCTTTCACCTTGGGCTGTCGATTTTGTAGAGGCTTCGCGGTACGCGGACACAACGAAAATGGTAAAAGATGAGATAATGCTGGGCTCTGCTACGAAGAGCGTTGCTGCAAATTCTCAAAAGTAGAGAACCGTAATAGAATAAACCTGCTTGAATTGGAGAAGAAAGTCTTGGAGTGAAAATCTGACGCGCTCAATACGAATGCTGAATATTTTCCGCCCTTCCTCCCCAGTCCACCAAGAGCACGGATGCTAGTATTGCGCGTACTGGCAAAGGATATAAAGCGACCGGTCAGAGGAAGAATATGTGAAGGGGAGTAGAAATCGGAAGAGTAAGTTGTTTGCTACCAAGGGGAGAAGAAGATTGGGAAGCGGAGGACGTTTTTGGTGAATGTGCGGAGAAACGGGAGACGAGCCTCGACGGAAACTATTTACATAACTCCTCGTGGCCCAGGGGAACGTTGGAATGGACGGTTGGCAAAAATAACTACAGTATCTAGTTTGAAAACCTCTAATTTCTACATCGGATGCGTGAGACTCGAGTGTGTCTGGGGCATAGACAGGAGTAATAAGATCGGCGGTGCATAAAGATAGACATCACTTTGCTTGGTCTAAGATGGGTGGCTCCGGGAAGCAAAAGAAAACCCAAAAGGAAAAAAATAATGCTCCTGCCCGGGTTTGAACCGAGGACCTCTCCCAGTGGGCTGTGATGCACCGTTCCGGGGGGAAAGGGAAGGGGAAGGGGAAGGGGAACAGTGCATCGGGGGGAAACCGTTTGGGAGTGCGCTGACCACTGCGCCACAGGGGCTTTTGTTGAATGCAATTCCTAGGGAAGTAATATATAAGGCATCCATGGATCCCTCTACGCGTTAGGCGAGAAAACTCACGTGCCATTGTGCTTCGAGACGGAGGCATGAGGACTCACCCACCGCTTGCTAACAGCATCCTTGAACAATGTAGCGGAATGCACACTGCCAATGACCAGAAAGGGATTCACAAGGATTTAAGCCATAACCTTTATGAAGCTTCTATCTGGTCATGTTGATATTGCGAAAGTACCTAGGTATTTCCCATGCACTACTAGTGCCGAGGGTACGTACACGTATGGGAGCACTGACGGTGAAAGGTACCGAGGATTACTGATTTCAAGACTCTCGCTTTACCTCTCTGCTAAATAGAGAGTCCTTTTCCTTTCCGAAGAAGAGAAATTCAGTTTGTTTACTCACTCAATGAAGAAGTTGTGGGCAATATACGAGTGACCAAGCTACAGAAGCGACCTGGGGTTGACTGGCTGCCCACCCTCCCTACCTCACCCTCGCTGTGTGCAAATGGCATGGCAGCAAAAAAACTGAGAAGTAAAATCTGAAAATGTGTTGAGTATTATAGTAATGCCTGTATTGATTTCTTGAGCAAATGTAGTATTGAAATTATCAAGTGACAACAAGATATCCACACCGACCTATGGCGAGGAGGTATACATCTGGGTACATGCATGTCTCATTCTACAGGCGTAGGATGAATTATCTGCCAGTGCACCATTCACGTGATAGGATTTGCCTACTAGTTCTGATTGCCCACAGCTGGTGGTTTTCTTGCCTTCTTCCACCAGCACTTATCGCCCAGTGTCCAACACTCAACCATTCACCATCTCATGTTCCTCGTCCTTATTCTACCCCATCTCTATCTTTTCGGGATATCCCCTGATTTCACCTCCTATTTTCCCCTCTTCTGAATCTATTTCGTTTCTGACACAGCCCAACCATTCTGTCGGCGAAATGAGCACCCAGAAATCTCAATACTTGGTTCACTCCAACGGTATCTACCACGGGCTTCCTGTGTTCCCCGACACACTTCAAGGCCTGACAGCTATTGTAACTGGGGCAAATGGGATATCTGGAACCTATATGGTGACCCCCCCCTCCTCTACCAGCAATCATCGTTTTGTGCCATCAGCGAGCTTACTCTTTCACTTGACAGATACGGGCCCTGTGCGCGAACCCAAAGCGTTGGACGAAAATCTATGCTCTCTCCCGCCGAGAGCCATGGCACCAATACCCGCCCCAGGTCGAGCATGTATCAATGGATCTTCTTCAGAGCCCGAGTACCATCGCGCAACAACTCTCAGAGAAGAAAATAAAGGCAGACCATGTCTTTTTCTTCACCTACATCCAGCCGAGTCCTGCGGCGGGTGGTACCATATGGAGTGCCGCTGATGAAATGGTCAGGGTGAATAGTGAGCCGCGTCCAGACGAACTGACTGTATTCGACACAATCACTAATTGCTTCGTGGTACAGAGAGTCTACTCGACAATTTCCTCCAAGGGCTTGCCGGCGCCGCCGCGATCCCTCAAAGAATCACGCTGCAGCTTGGATCCAAGTATTACGGTCTTCATCTTGGCCCCGCCGCTGTGCCCCAAGAGGAGTCGGCGCCTCGGGTCAACATCGAGGCCAATTTCTACTACGAGCAGGAGGAACTTCTCGGTGATTTCTGCGACAAGTATAACTGCCAGTTCATCACCACCCGCCCTTCCTATCTCCTTGGTGCCGTACCGGATGCTGCTATGAACCTCGTCTACCCCCTGATGGTGTACGCGGTGGTCCAGAAGCACCTTGGCAAGCCTCTCATCTTTCCAGGAGATCTCGCCTGCTGGGAAAACGTCTTCTCTTTCTCTTCGTCCATGATGAACGCCTACTTTACCGAATGGCTCGCACTCATAGACGTCAAGAATGGAGAAACCTTCAACTCAATTGATGACTCCCCCTTTACCTGGTCGATGTTCTGGCCCAAGTACGCCGCATACTTCAAGATGCCCTGGGAAGGCCCGGAGCATTGCACGGATGATGACTACATGGAAATGTCCCTCCCTTACGCTCCTCCACCAAGAGGCTGGGGCCCGCCCGGCAAGCGTCGATTCCGCTATACGATGGTTGCGTGGGCTCAGAGATCCGTTGTCCAAACCGCATGGCGTGAGATTGCCGCGGAGCACGGGCTCCGGAACTCCAATATTGGCGAAAAAAACCGCATCTTTGGCTTTGCAGATGCAGCTGTACTGACTGCTTGGCCTTGCGTATCGACCAACACCAAGATCCGCGAGACTGGGTTCTTTGGATCGGTGGACTCTACTCAGTCTATCTTGAAGATATTTGACGAGTATGTTGAAATTAACATGGCACCGAAGGTCTAGAATGATTAACTCCCTTTGGATGGATATATGTTAACGTTGGAAGTAAAGATGCTTTCTCTTTCCTGTGCTCTTAGTTCAATCGCATAGGTCTCTCCTTCAAACTGCGCCACAGGCGTATCTTTCAGATCATGCCACTTGATATATTTTGATTGGAGGCACTCTTGACGACTGCGCCTCGCCGCCTCGCTTATTCACGCCCTGGTGACGTGTAATTGAGATTCACCAATCACATCCTTGCACGATATGCACATTTGTCAGATTCTGGTCACGCTCTGAACCACGGAAGCCGAGAACCTCGCCTATAATACATGCCCAGGTGAAAGAAAATTCAAGATCCAAGCAAAATCTTATTGTGTATAAACCAAACCCGTATTGCGTGACTTCTCCTAGAACCATGTCTTCTACCACCACAGTAGAGCTGTTTTCGATGAGTAGGTCTGCGACGCCGGTCCCAGAGACCCAACAGCAACCGTGTGCACCAGCAAGGCCAACCGAGAGTTATTTCATCCAAGCGCAGGTCCCGGAGCCCCGTGAATCCTTGGATCGAACGTCAGAGCCAGTTCCAAGCCAGCATCTCATCAGTGTGTTATGGTGTAAAGAGAAGAGCATGGCGATCATGACCTTGGTGGCACTCGTCCTTGGCTTTGCCTCTCTTGGATTCGGCATCGGAAGCTGGGTAGGCCAAAAACAAGGCAACGTTATAGCGACAAAGTCTCTGTGGATTGATAGATATGGAATATGTTCAGATCATGAGGTGAGCGGAGATCCTCTGCACGGAACCGGAACGAACCAATTTCCTGATATATGGTACCTTCTTACTAGGAACTGCGCGAGACACCCCAATGCCAGCAGATTATCACAGAGACGTTACAGGACCTGAATATTGGCGGAAAGCCGGCAAAAAACCAGACTCTCCAGGCACGCGCCGTCGACCCCTCTGAGGTATGCGTCCAACCACACAAGATGTGGCATCAACATGTCCAACACATGATCGACTGGGTGCCACGCCAGCTGGACGTTTATATCCGGGCGTCGATGTTTGAGTCCGAGATAACGGCATGTCTACCTCTTTCAGCCTGCCTGATACCGGAAATAAGAAGTACTTCAGTTGATCTCGCGCAGAGATATCAGTTTGCTCTGAGGCCGATATTAGCTGGAGTTCTGGAGCCAGAAGACACCGCCCTGGACAGCATCGTACGCGAAGTTGAAGACATGTACAGTATGGTGGCTGGCATCAGCAAAGTGGATGAACTCTGCTTGTTGGAGAATGGCATGAATGTCAATCATTTTAATGCATGGAGAGCAGATCTCGTACATAATCACAAAACGCGACCAAAGCGCATCGCCAATCGAGTTGAATATCGGTTGTCTATGCTCGACAAGAAACTTGACAAGTACATCAAAGCCAGCCACTCGGTAGCTATGGAATCGAAGCTTCGATATGCAAAGATGGCATGGGTTGCCGGTATTCTCACCTTCATCCTTTTACGACTGATTGTTGCAAGACCTATCCCATCGGCCCTATTCAGTCCTGGAATGTTGGCGCTCGATATCTGCTTGATGAGCCATAGAATGGAGCAGACATATACCTCTAGTCCGTTGAGAAGCAGCGTCGTATTCTTTATTATCAGCTTGTACTTGGACCGACTGTTTCTTATGATTTCCTCCAGGAACCAGATTTTGCAGACTAAACTGGAACGCGTCACAGCTAACACCCTGATCATCTGCTGTGGGGCCAATATTTCACGGTTATTCTTCCCGACCACATACTTCTTAACTTTCGCCTACTGGTACTTGAGGATGTCAACGGCCGAGTTGGACGTGGAGCTCTGGGACTCCTTGACAAGTTTGGTTGCTTCCCGGGCGAGTCTATACCAGAAAGACGTGTCGTGGCTCATAGTCGCGATTCCCTTTCTGCTGATCATGCTCTCAAATGGTTTGGTTTTTTGGGTTCTCGATGAAAGATTTGGAGGCTTGTCGTTTGTGATTGTCTTCATGTTGAGTAAGATTTCCTGGCACCGGTAACGTCGACTTTTTTCCGTGCCCCCTTTGGTATAGACTCATAGAATAGTCAAGTTGATTCCACTCTACCCCTGTACTGCTCTGAGGATGGCTGTGTTCCAATTGTGGAACTATGGACCGAGAGATTCTTTAGTCGATTGCGTCGAGATATAGTTTATTCAGGTTTCATACTGTGGAAGGCATATCCACAAACTGAGCCTCCTCAGGCTGTGCGGCGACCATCTTCAAAGCCTAACTTGGAACGGAGCGTGTTCGATCGTTGAGCACTACGTGTTGCCTCGCATTCATGGACATGGACACGAGAACAATTTGCATACGTCTGCGCGAGAAAGCCCCCTCTGTGACGAATTGACGAGAGGTTTCTCATAGCTCTTGTGTCTTTCCTTTGAGGCTCGGGTTCCGCCAGCCAATCGGAAAAGGGGTTGTAGAGTAGGGAAGCATGCTGTCCAGAGCCCGAGATGTCCCTCAATACCACCCCATAGTGATACGACACCAACATTGTAAGTGCTACAGTAAACCAAGCAGATCAGTTCTTATTCATTGCATCATTTAATTTCTCAACAAGACTACATTATAGTTTCTATATTGAGGTCGTTGGAGAGTTGGAGGGTGTAAACGTACATATCAGCATCGAAATTGAGGACGGAATAGATGAGCCTCAGAGCCCCTGCAATGACAGATAAAGCGCCAACGCAAAAAATAAGAACAACCCGGACCATCTTGGGCGAGAATTTCATCTTGCGGAAAACGATCCAGATGGGCAGCGCCAAGATGCTCGCGTCAATGAGGATCCCCATCCCGGCGTGGAAGATCATGACCGAAAATTCCGCATTGAACGACTTGCAGTCTCTGTTTGGATTGTCGATATTCCACAGATCTCTAATTGAACATGGGAAATGAGAGCGGTTAGTAATTGCGGAGAAAGATATGACAAGACGGCCTTTCTTACACACCTCACATCTTTGCACTTGGACAGGACAAAGGCAACCGCAATTAGGGTGATCGCAAACACCAGGAACCCGACAGCATAGATACCCCTGACAAACCACTCTCGAGGTCAGGTCAGCAAGTTGTATTCGGAAGGATAGGTAAAAACCCACTGTCTCTGCTCAATCGGAAGAAAAATGCAAGGTTGCAGAATCGCACCATGCAGAGCGAGAAAATGAACAGTAGCTCAGTCGTAGTCACTAACTGTGGAAGATTGTCAGATTTACGAGATGGCTGCTCCGAGACTGGGCGACATACGGTGAGAAAATCTGGAAGCTTGACCGGAGGGACTTCGTATATATGTGTTCCTTCCCCATCTTGGATGCCTGAATTCATGTTAGCTAACTGAGTAACAGATGGCCGATGAATAACACCTACTTATCATTTCCAATGCCGTCCAAGCCCCTATAATGGCCTACGCAGGTCTCAGTCAACACTTGTTGTTACCTCGACTGTTGGATAAATAAACTTGCCAGCGACGCAACTGATAGCAGGTCATCAATTCCTAGCGCTTTGATCAAGAATATTCTCGTGATCAACCGTAAAACAACAAGCAAACTGGAAATCGTCATCACTGTAATTAAAATAGGAGTGAGGATGTAAGCACGAGAATTTGGGGGTGGGACCCAGGTATCACTACCAGGCATGGACTGGGATGAATTCATGCTGTGCAACTTGTGAAGGAGGGCGCTGTGGACTCCTTCATTCAGAACACATATTGAAAAGTTATGACACGTTCTGTCGAAGTAGGGTCATTGAGATTTGTTATACGTGAGCAAAGTCAACGAGAGCGCTTATTCGTCAAAGAAGCCGGGGCCTAAAATAAACCAATCTCGATCCGGGCGTTAAGAACAGGATTACAGTTTAGGCCGGTGGTTTCCTGGAATGCGTGGCATGTAGACTCTAAGCAGCGCATCGCCCGTTGACAAATCCGATACCATCTATCGGAATTGTTTACGAGAAGTTCTCATAGAGCCCGTTGTATAGTAAAATGAAGAATGGATAGTCGATGGGTGGCTTTGATCGCATCTCAAAAGCCAAACACCAGCGAGGACGATCGAATTATGTCCAAACAACTAGCTTGAATTGGTCAGCCGATGAGCTGAGCAAAGTTTCTGCGCTCGATTTTTATAATAGTATGAGGCGAACGAAAATGAAAACGAACAAAACGGTGACGTGCTTGTGTGGAAACTGACGAAGGGATTAGACAAGACCTCGCCTGGAGAACCATCTGAAACTTAATCGTGTTGGTAGGACTGTCCCCCCCGCTCTGTTGGAATGTTGAGCCGTGGGCAGTTCTCCATAGTCTACTTAATGCGTGGCTCCGGTAGTCTGAATGAGAGGTCGAGACTCGGCCTTCTGACAGCGAGTTATTGTTGCATTGTTTAAGTGTGGAGGCCGCCCGGCAGAGAACTCAGCAATGGCGCCCCTTGTTGAGGAGCTTAAGCTTGACGGTGATGTTTCCTATTAAGACTTTGCTTGATTTTCACCGGGCTTTGATTAGATGAAAACTTCTAGCCCTTCCGAGTATTGGCACATCAACTAATTGTTGGCATAGCAACTTTACTCCAGGGATCATTCTAATCATCAGAGTTGACGTCGTCATTTGTTGTATGTCTGCTCTCAAGATATAAGCGCCGAGGTCAACTGATAACACAATTCTCCTCGAACAAATTTGAAGAGCCATCAGAGTCCGCGGTGATAGTGCTTCTGTATGGTCCCCATCACTAAACTGATGGTGTGTGTTGTCTGGCAGCCTCTCGGCAGACTCGCTTGGTACAAAAGCCTGATAAGCGCTGTTAACCACCCATGGCTATCGTGTGAGGAGTAACTCCAATTTTTGACCTGAGTCAGATTTTCATCCAAAAATCAGACCAAAGAAGACCTTAGATTGCTTTTTGACCCTGTTTGCATTGACCTGATCGACCCTCCGCCAAGTGGCCCGCCAACCCAAACCGAACAACCCTGCAAGATTATTAAGCGGGATAAGCCGTTGAGACGTGCAACTCTTCGCCCGATTGGGATATATTCTGCGCCTTTCCCGTGATCAAGACAGTCCTTGAGGCTATCAAACAACATGTGGGAACAACCCAAATCTGGTTCACATATTCGTTCCGTCGCTTCCCCTGACCCAAAGTCCCATTGCAATGGTCAGTCTGTCGGTCTGACATGAGGGGATGAGGTTGGGTCAGGGGTCGCGACGGAGGGTATATATACCTGCTCATGTCCGACCATTGCAATTCATAATTCTTCTCTTGCATTCAAACTTCTCGTGCACCGGTAGAACCAGCAGAAGTCGCCTCCCCAATCATATCAACTCTCTTAAGCTCTGTACTTTAAGCAGCAGAGACAATGGCATCTCCTAGCAGCACTCCCAGAATCGTCGAGCTGGCTGCTCAGATCAGCTCTTCGGTTACCGACCTGCAAGAGCGCCTATCCGCTCAAGGAATACCCTCCCCATCGTTCGCTGAAGACAACCCAAAAGACTTTCCTGAAGACCTGAACTCTCTTCGTGATGCCCTCTTAGACGCAACAGCCGAGCTGCATGAGCTGCTCTTGGACCCTCTGCAATTGCTTTATAAATTCGCTTCGGTATGGATCTTCCTTGTACTCCAGCGGAGATCCTCCCATCAGCTAATACCTCCAGATCCCCAACATGGTCGGTATTGACGCGACCACCCGATACAATATCGCGGGCATGGTGCCTCATGGTGGCCAGATCTCTTTCGCGGAGATTTCCGAGCGGTCTGGCCTTGACAAGGGACTTGTTCGACGCCTGCTTAGGCACGCTATGTCCATGCGAATCTTCCAAGAGCCTGAGCCTGAGATGGTGGCTCACACCAAGATATCCAGCTTCCTGTCAATTCCGTACATCAACGCCTGGGCCAGCTTCGAAGCGAGAGATACGTGGCCAGCTGCAACCAGGGTGAGTGTGAAATGTTCTTCTCTGCTTTCCGATGTAGCAGCATTCTGACCCGTATCGTTTGCCATAGGTTGTGGACTCGATCGAGAAATGGCCTGGTTCCGAAGAACCCAACCAAACTGTAAGTGTCTCAGTGTTCCAAGGCTCGATGGCCAAGAGCCTGTGTTGACCTTCGTAAGGGCTTCTCTCTAGCAAATAACACCGATAAGCCCGTCTTCGAATTCGTTGGCGCACATCCTGAGCGGATGATGCGTTTTGGGTCTGCAATGAAAGCCGTAGACCATGTTCCAGGTCACGCTCCCGAACTCATCTCCAAGGACTATGACTGGGCCTCAATTGGGAATGCCTCAATCGTTCATGTTGGCGGAGGCCGAGGTCAAATTGCCTTGGAACTGGCCAAAAACTTTGAAAATGTCAAGCTCACCGTCCAAGACATGGCAATGATGGTCGAAGGTGCGGAGTCAGATGTTCCGGACCAGCTGAAAGGCCGTGTGGAGTTCATGAAGCATGAGATTTTCGATACACAGACCTTGGAGGCGGACGTCTACTTCTTCCGCATGGTCTTCCGCAACTGGTGTGATAAATACGCTCTCCAGATCCTGAAAGCGCAGATTCCGGCCCTCCGACCTGGGGCCAAGATCCTTATTCAAGATGCTTGCATGCCTGAGCCCGACAGTGTCCCCCTGTGGAGAGAGCGAGTTCAAAGGTATGCTGCTAGGTTTGATATGGACTATGCCGAAGATTTCTGCTAACAAACATCATTAGGTCAGTGGATGTGGCCCTGAAGTGCTACAGCAACGGCCGGAATAGATACCTGGATGAATGGAAAGCCCTACTCGCAGCGGCGGATGAGCGATTTAGGTTGAATCAAGTCTTTCTACCTAAGAATTCTTTGTTGTCGATCTTAGAGATTCACTGGGTGGAACTTTGAATATCCCATCAAAGTTTCAATCAAGAGAGATATGAGGAGGAGGTGCCAGGCGGAGGAGCCATGCCACTATAACCGGTAGATAGGGCCCTCGGTAGAGATTAGGTTCTGAAATCCCTCAAAAGCGGACTGTGGTTCTTTCAATTCTGGTCGATCTGTAGTAACAGTGCCCTCCGTCAAAATGCTGAACGAGATTTCTGAGCTGAGGAGGTGTCGTAGACGCGTGCCATGGTAGGAATACAAATTCAGGCCGGAATTTTGAACGAATCCGGGATCCTGAAGTATGTTCGATCACAGAGATACCACAGCAGATGAGCAATTAAGAAGATGGAGAGCATTTAATTTACCTTAAATGCACTTGGGGCTGTAAGTCTATACCAGAAACGCATCTAGACCCCTTCAGGGTGACTGGCTGTTGCGTGGAGGAGGCCCCGGTGCAGCCTCGAGGAAGGTAGGTAGACCAACCCTATCACGGTAGCAAGGAGAGGTGACGAGGCAAGAATAGGGCTCAGCCAATGGGAGATTTGATCCACTGGCTGCCATAGTCTTGTTTCAAATCAAGACATGCTGTTGAAGTGGAAACTTGCTCGTGGGGTCAAACCCTAGACTATATCCACATTCCGCCAGCTTCGTAGATCATCTCTTCGTCTTCTAAGATGACCTCTGCGTTTAAGTAGTGCAAGCAAATTGTTCTATCGTAGTCGACTTTGCAGCTTGTTTGTGCGTCGTGGTTGACCGAGGCCGTGCCTGTAATGTGTTGGCCACATCTTGTTCTATACTTCGGTCAAGGTTTAAGCGGCATGCAATCAATAACTTGTCGAGTCAATTTAAATCCATGCTAGCCGAAGTAGTCTTGTAGGTATGCGCCGCGATGTTCCTTGCCTGTTGACTCTATGCTGAGTTGTTGAAAAGGGCCTTCTCCAAGAATTGGGTTATATAGTCTCAGGGTAGCCTAGATCGAGGCAAAGGTCGGGAATCACAACTTTAGAGTTTCAAAGCCCGCCGGTAACATGATCGTGTCATGATCAGCCGTCCTGGTTTAAGTCGGTCAAAGCGAGGAAACTATCACAAACTTGGGCCCCCGAGCAACGTCCGTTAGAGACAGCCCTTTTCAGTTGAACGGCAGGCAAGATGGAGTTTCGGGAATACTGGATGGCTGAGATCTTTGATTATTAGCTTGGAATTTATCAATTGAATCAAGAGTAGGCTCTGGGGGGGAGTGTGAACTCTGATAAGTTTAATGAAGTGACTAACCGTGAAGTTCACTCAGGATACGCTGCCCAGAGTATATTGTCTTCCAATCAGATGCGACATCCAGAAGATGCTGATAAGCCCAATATGAAGGATTGAAGATGTCACGAATTTGCTCTAAGAATGCGTCCGATGACAATGTGAGGGAACCGAATGTCAAATCCCAAATCTGCATGGGCCGTATGGTATGTTTCCATGTTTTTGTTTCGTGCTCTGGCTCGAAATCTCGACCGATTGTTACGTCTCGCGAAGCTACCTGCCTTCGTGTCATGTATGGAGCTGTACGATGGGTCGGATGTGCGTTGAAAGCATGTGGAGTCGTTTTGTTATGATCGTGCGAACCAGCGGGGTGAAGCCGAAGTCGTCAAGTGAGATGGAAAGTTTGATAAATAATTCAAGGGGAAAGTCTCAGTTGCAGGAATTGGGAGAAGCGGTGTGTGAATGGAATCGATTCGGTATTTAGGTGTGTGGTAGGTCGAAAGGGAAGTCGAAGGGAGCATTCGTGAGCCTCGACGGCCATCTGATTGGGAATGAACCGGGGCGCGTCTCGGTGACTCGTGATATCGTTGCGATCGATCCTCGTGGATAGCTGAGACAGCAGGTCGGGGCTGTCGTTCTCGTCTCGCCTTTCTGACTTATCCGTCAAGGGTCCTGATCTGGCATTGAGGTTAAATTTCTGCTGGTGGAAAACGAAATCAAAGCTATAGATCACTAAGCTTCTATAGAAAAGCTCGTGTCCAGCTTACCTAAAAACCATTTTCTTGCTGGAACCTCTTCTGATTCGGGAAGCAGAGATCGATGGTTTCTAACAGGTGGGATGAAACTGGTTCATTGTAGTCTTAGTTGATGTGGCGAAAGGGAAGCCAGTCAGTATTCCGGCACCTGGATGTGGGTTTTGTGCGGCAACGCAACTGAAGGCGGAGACGAAAGCGGGGGCTCGGGGTAGAGTTCTCTTTTCTTCCTAACGGTCTTTCACCCTGAAATCGGTTTGTTCGGAGTTAGGGTTTAATGGTTGGAAGAGCCCAGCACCTCTACTAGAGCAAGCCATTCGAGTTGATGTGGGATCCTAAAAGTGGTTGGTTCGGTGCGCTCCTGTGTCTGACGAAGATGGTAATCGATTCTTCTGGGCACTCGCGGGCATATTGGGAATTGGAAAAACATGATTAGAAAATGGAGAGTAGTATTGGATCATGGGAAGCTCGTTCTCAAGTTGATTAAAGTTGAAGTGTCATGTTTATGTTCGCGTGTCCGAGTGATTCTTGGAGCAGATACTTGTCCAGGGTAGGTAATTAGGCAGACCGTTTCTGATGGAACGCGACGATGGCCCACTTGCCTAGATAGGAAGGTACCCACAGTCATGACTTCCGTTTCTGAAGGTGGGTCTGAGGGCCGAGCAATCTTTCGGGCGGCTGCTTAGAAATCGACCGCCCAACATCCATGGATGTTTCGATGAATAATCGAGTGCGTTTGTTGAGCTGGCTCTCTCGGCGAATGGGCAGGTGAGAGCACTTGCAAATCTATCAAACAAGATGTGTTCCGCGGACTGGCAGCAAGATCTGAGAACCAATGGCGGGTAAAGTGGATAGATGGGTGGAGAGTGCGGCCTGCATTAGTTTGCCGCCGGCCAATTGTCCCAACCGGCGTATTTCCTAATCATGCTTAGATCTGACCCGCCGGAACATTGCCAGGTTTGATCAAGATGGATACTGGGATAGATTGGTGTAGAATGGCTATCAAGTGTAGAAGATCATGGCAGTTCTGTAAATCAAGTCTGCAAAGATGGGCTGTGCATGGGAAGTATAAGTATAAGGCCATTATGCCCTCTAGGAAAAAGTAGAGCAAACCTCACTCCTCCATCATCAACAAAAAACCACCAGCACAATCACAAAACGGGACACCATGGCTTCGCAACCACCAACTTCGCCAGCAATCAACAGCTGGCAGACCAAGGCAGCTGAAAAACGTGCCGCGTGTCAAGAAGCCATTCCAAAAGATTGGATTCTTCCGCAGTCCATTCTTGAAACTCTCCCAGCGAAATCTGACCTTCCCAAGACCAAGGTTAACCTGATCGATTTGGACATTCCCCGCCGCTCCGGCATCCTGACGGAGAGAGAGATTGAAATTACAGAATCTTTTAGCACCTCGCAGCTTTTGGAAGGCCTTGCGTCTGGAAAGTTCACTTCTTATGAAGTGACCTTGGCCTTTTCGAAACGCGCAGCCATCGCCCAGCAGCTGGTGAGTCGAGCATCACGCGATGCCCCTTTCACTGATAGATGCCTTGACTCTAACAAATTCGAAGTCGAACTGTTTGACGGAGACATTCTTTAAAGAAGCATTGGAGAGGGCGGAATATCTGGACGACCTCCGCAGCAAGGGCAAGCTTCTTGGGCCTCTGCACGGCCTGCCCATCAGCCTCAAGGACACCTACCAGGTCGAAGGCACACAAGCTACAATCGGCGCCGTTTCGTTTCTCAATCGCACCTCGCAAGAGAACTCATCCATGGTGGAAGTTCTCTTTGAACTGGGAGCGGTCCTCTACGTAAAGACCAACGTCGCCCAAATCCTTATGGTATGTACCGCCTGCGTTCACGGCCCATTTTGGAGATGTCACATGTACTAATTATGAATTGCAAGGCCGTTGAGTCTGACAACAATGTTTTTGGTCGCACGCTAAATCCATGGAACACAATGCTCACAGCTGGCGGATCAAGTGGTGGCGAAGGTGCTCTCATTGCATTCCGAGGAACTCCTCTGGGGGTTGGGACTGATCTTGCTGGTAAAAAAAACCAAATCATCCGCCAAAATTCCAACTACGATGGCAAACTAAGTCTACCTAGGTTCTATACGGATTCCCTCCCTGTGCTGTGGGGTGTACGGATTAAGGGCAACGGCAGACAGGCTCCCCTTTGGAAAGCAGATTATGCCTTCCAGCGCTGGAATTTGGCCGGTTAAACCGACAGCTGGCCCGCTCGCAAACGACATCGAGTCTCTAAAACTGTTCATGACGACCGTTATTGATGCCAAGCCCGCCCTTTATGATGGGGCGGTTATCGACGCGCCATGGCGATCGCTCACCAACAAACCCAAGTTGCGTTTGGGTCTTCTCCCAGCTGATCCGTTCTTCCCCCTCCACCCTACAGTGCAGGAGACGATCAACAAAGCAGTCAAGGCTCTTAAATCGCAGGGGCACGAGATCGTGACTTTGGATGCATCAGAATGCCGTGTTGGAGAAGCAAACCAAATCGTGACACAGCTTGTCACCCTGGACACAACAGCAGGCACCATTCTGACAGCTAGCGGTGAGCCACCCGTGCAGTGCTTGACCAACTTCAGTGAAAAGGTCAGTAAGATTGGCTGGGACTTTTTGCCCGACTTGAGCGGCAAGGATCGACTCGACAGGTATGGCATGTTGGAGTACATCCGCGCCGAGATTGCCGAAGCGTGGCGCAAGCTGTGGGTGAAGCATAATCTGGACGCAGTGATCTCGCCTTCTGCTCAGCATACAGCCGTGGAGCATGACAACTTTGGCTGGCCGGCCTACTCTGCATTCTTGAATCTTCTGGATGTAAGTTTTGGCGAACACATGCTGTTTCCATATACATCTAACATCATGACAGTATCCCGCGTGTATCATCCCCTTTGGCAAAGCTTCTAAGATTGATGTCGAATTTGCTGCGAAACCAGGGCAAGGCGCACCTCCATGTAGGCACTCGCATATGTTGACCCCAATACCAACAGAATCTAACGTTGAGAGGGCAGATAATCCCGAAGCTGTTGCAGGAGCACCTTCCTCGATTCAGGTCTTTACTAGCCGCATGCGAGACGAAGAGTGTTTGGCCGCAGCAGAGGTCATTGACAACTGCTTCAAGCAATCCGTTGCTTAGATACGAGTTTCATGGCGTAGGATTCGGTAGTGAGGGTATTGGGCGTGGAGGATCGTTAAGGCGTGGAGGATCGTTAAGGCGTGGAGGACCGTTTGAAAATCTTTGAACGGGTACGATGGCCCTTGTGCTTAAGTATAAGGAACAGGCACTTGTCGGCGAGTTCGGGGTAGGAGGAGACGAAGGGCGACGAGTTTGATGGGTGGGATCCTAAGAATGGTAAACTTGCAAACGTAGTCGTTATTGAACTAAGAAAGGACAGCCTAGATGTATTTTGGTGTTGAATTGAGAGTAGAAAACTTTGTTAAATAACATGGACTTTTAACGACATGGTGCTTAGGGGCATTGTGCTATTAGTTATGCTTAGGCGGAGCTTTGTTTTCTGTTGATAACATGAGTTGGTAGTGCTTCCTAAGGTGGAATCATAATGAAAAAGGATTGCGGAGAAGCTGCGTGAAACGACACTGTAGAAAGTTTTATCGATTGATTTCCAGACAACCTGTGTGTAAGGGTTTGAGCTCAGCGCACTGACCTTTCAGTACGCTCTCCGATCTCCCTTGGTACTTATTGATTGACCTTTCGAGTAGAGAAGAGAGAAAGTTGGCATAGTAAGTGAAGAAATCTAAAAATTGGGGTATCATGTATTTGGCTAATGGAAATGTCGTTAGTTGATCAGGCATTTCCGTTCGACGAAGTCCGGCGTTAGTTCCGGGCTTGTAGGCATGACGTTGACCCGGAATAACTATTTCCCGATCTCACCTCAGCTCCACATCAGAGCTTCTCTAGCGACAGTCGGCATCTCTGTTCGTTACCAGACACCATGGTGTCCGGCCTTTGCCATGACGTCCTTTATTATTCACGGTGAGTTAGGGCCACCGAGGGCTTGCGATAGATGCCACGCCGTAAAGGCAAGGTGTCAATGGCTTTCCGAAAAGTCAGAGTGCGAGCGCTGTATCCGCCTTCAATATCCTTGCGAATCGACAAGGCCAAAGGGGAAACCAGGGCGGAGACGAGGGGATGGATGGGGCGGCAGGCAATCTCGAGACATCCCAACGCATCAAGACCGTTTGCACTGCGCGAGGCTCCAAGCCCAGACACGGAGAGGCGCACTCATTCCCAGATGCATCCAGGAGTTCGATAGCGTGCCGAACGTTGACCGACAGATTCTGCAGCTTGTGCAGCGGATCCTTTTCCAGAGCGAAATGCTCGACCTCTTCTCAGTCAGCGACAAGTTCACAGAGCCGGTGCGCCGGCAGGTCATTCCACAGCTCCTGTTATCTAAATCCACCCTCCTGGATGGGCTGCTGGCGTGTGCTATTTCCTGGGCAGGAGACGTTGATGATTCCGGCAATTTCCGTCGCTTGACTGCGTGCTATAGGCATGCTTCCTCTGCGATTGCTACCCTCATGACTCTTGAAGCGACGAGCCCCGAGACGATGATGGAGGCCCTCATGCTCGGCGCACTGGTGTCGTCCTTTGCTGTTAAATTACGCGTTAACGACGTGCTAGCTATATGTTCTAGGACGCTCGCCCTGATCAAGCCTATCTATAACACGAGCGACCCGAAAGAGCCAGAGCCCTTGGTCTTTATGAGCTGTATGGTCATGTGGGAGATAAGGGGCTGTCTCTTCAGCTGTGGGATGCCTACCTTACGTTTCAGAACACCTGAAAAGAGCTACGTCGATCGTCACGCTGGCTTGTGTGCTTCTGTAATACCGTGCTTCTACGATGTTTGCAAGTTGAGCCATGCGCTGTCTAAAGGACCTGTAGATACGACTGATATATATATGGAGCTCGAGTCTATCGAGGAATATGTGCGCACGTGGCAGCCTGAACCGCCGGAAGACTTTACAGACCGGTTCGACACAGTCGAGGTCACCCATATGCTATGCCAGGTTCAGGTCATGCGCCAAGCGCTCCTATTGATCGCCCACCGCCTTCGCTTCCCATTTGGCGTGAACGATGGGCCAGCACAGATACTTTCGTTGACCATATTGTCGCAGCTGGAAACGACATTGACGGCTACGAGAAGCATCGTGCGGTGTGTTGATCTTGCCTTGTTGGTTGCTTGCTTGGAACTCAAGGGAGCTGAGAGGCAGAAGTGGCTTAATGACATTACCAAGTTCACAGGGTTTTCGCCGCAGTTTGGTGAACATGTCAAGCAGACGCTGGAGTCTTTTTGGGCGGGAATGGACTCATTTGAAATACTGTCTTGGAGCGAGCTGGTCAAATTAGGATCTCCTTTTCTACGGAACCAGCATTTAATATAAACACTGAACCCCTAACCACTTGAGTAGGGCATGCAAAAATCGCCCTTGTGATATTATCTCCACCAAGATCACCACTTAGATAGCGCTGTATATTGGTATGGTGCATTCAGTAAGATGTGCGCGCTGAGTGCCCAAGAATGGGAACCAACTTCGGGAAGGATCGCATGGGCCCCTCCGTTCTGGACCATCTGAAGGAATCGGGCCGGAGGGGATCAGTAAATCTCAATTTCACCTTGGAAGGTACATGGTGGCGAGTAGGGAAATAGCAACAAAATGCAAGTGGCAGCGGTTGATCTCGATGCTGAAAACTGTCTCCTCCGACCTCTGGTTTCATGTACCTGTGTCACTGAGGCACGGCCAGCTTGAGTTCTTCCTATCGTTACATGCGTGTGGCGTACCATATACCTCCGTCACTCGCTTTGGGAAGCATTAGGTCAGCATTCCTTCGCTTACATACCTACCTCAACTGCTGGATTCGTAATGTTACTTCCCTCTATTCAGTCTCTTGCTTCACGGCCCTTCCCCTCTTTCGCTCTACGCTTGCACACTCTGCTCTTTTCTCTCGCTTCTTCCCTTTGGCACCTGTCTCCTCTGCCTCTTGTCTCCACTCTCTGCCATCCCTCCCCTCTCTATATTACTCCCTCTTCTTCCTCTCCCCCTTTCCGTTCTTCTTCTTCATCTTCCATCACACAACATCCTTACTACATCTCTATCCTACCAATATTAATATCCATATTCTTATTCTATCCTTAGAATATTTCTTCCGGACAAACCGATTTCAGGGTGATAAACCCTTGAGCGGCCCCGCCGCGGGCCAAAGTACGTCTACAATGCACATGGTCCTACGAAGACTCGACCCAGCGCTGACAAGATCAGAATGGTCTAACCAAAACAATACTTTTCTCCGTGGGGTGGTTGGATCCGCAAAGTAAGTCTCTTCGATTCCTAACCCAGGATGCATCGCTAACCTTCTGTCTGCTCAGTCCTCGGACCAACCACCCCACGGCAACAACTTCAAGACCCTCCAGACCTTGGGGGCCGACTGCCAAAGCCCCGCAGACAAGGTCGGCCCTGGGGTCTGGAGACGAGGAACCAAAATACAAGGTTCAGCCTCCTTTTTCGAATTGAAAACCCCAACAAATGGGCCCCCACCAAGAAAAGACAAAGTGAGCTTATCAGCGTTCATGTTTCAAAAGGTCCGGCCTTGGTACTAATGCATAAACCTGCAGTACCTCCGTTCGAGCGTTGAAGGAGGAGGGAGGAAATGAGGAGGAGGAGGCGAGATGGAGGAGAGATGGAGGAGAGGTGAAGGAGAGGAGGAGGAGAGATAGAGGAGAGGAGGAGGAGAGATGGAGGAGAGGAGGATGAGAGATGGAGGAGAGGATGAGGAGAGGAGGAGAGGAGGAGGATGGGGAAGAAGAATTCATGTATACCTTAAACACATTTCAAAAACAACAACAAACTATATTCAACAAAATCGTTCATCGTAGACTTGATAGAGGGCAGCGATGCGGATTTAACTCCGAATTTCAAATTGGCGCAGCAGGTGGGTGGACAGCGAGAGGTAGAATGGCTACATATGTACGTAACTAACACTAGCAAGGTGGGAAGCGGAAGAAGAGTACAGTTCAGTCAACGCAACGGGGCGATCGAGATGTTCCGATGGAATTTTCGCGGAATTGACCTATGCTGAAAGACTGGTAATGATAACTAATCGTCAATTGTTATTCTATCGCTATACGCCGTCTTGGTGTTTCGTATGTACTTTGCTGCCTGCCCGCCGCCTTAGTCCCCCATTTGCATGGGAGACGATGCTGCACCGGAGGAAGGGACGGGCCGGCCAAGTACCGAGCGAGGTTCAAGGTTGCCTCAAACCCCTCCCTCTTTGTCTCTTCAACAACCAATCCCTTGTTACGAATTCGACCTAAGCTACAGATGAAGACCCTTGCTTTAGCAGCATCAGTGACTGGGCTAGTCAATCTAACGCTCCAGATGCGCAATTCACGGATGTTCTGCTCAGCGCCTACGCTGCCGGCGACGGGGCATCGGGAGTTAACAATACGAGTAACGCGCTCGCGATGACACTAAACAGTCTTGAGATGCCCCTTAACCCAAAATATCGATTTCTCAAACGAATCTGGTTTTTCGATATCAATCAACGCACCGGAATTGGTCGCCATATTTAGCGAGAAAACTTCGCCCACCCAACCCGAGATGACACCAAGTCCGAGATGACGTCTATTCCCAAGGAGGCAGCTAGCAGAAAATTGAGGCCAAATAAAACTAGATTCAAGTGGCTCTTCGAGAGGAGGAATCTTTTCCTAGGCGTTTGTGTGATGCAGAGCAACATTGAACCTTGTTCTTTCCTAGCCTACCGGTATGTCAACGTTGGCTAGTTTTTCGTCTACTAACACAAGCACAATAGTCAAAACATGGCATAATCACACAACGAAGTAGAATTTACCTTGCGGCCCAACAAAAAAACCTTGCTCAGATGCAGATGCGAGAGCGATTCCCTTAGAAGGCGGATCGATGACCCTGCGAACCGAGTATAGAAGAGCAAGTACAATTCAGGCACCACAACGAAATGCCCTACAACGATTAATATCCGACTACAGATGAATACAGAAACACAGTACAGAGCCTTGCCGGGAATTCACATTGTGAGACCGGTTCCAATATTAGAGATACCACAACTGTTGGCATTCGAGTGGAATCAAGGGCGATCTGAAGCAGAAACCACGCCATTGCCTATTCTTCTCGATTGCCTCGGTTGTACTACAATCAACCCATGAATACGACTAAAACAGGAGATTAAACTTAGGGTACGCAATGGCCAACCTAGCGAAAGCTTTCATGGCACACCCCTTCTTTTCTCTGGTAAATGCGCCCTCGAAATTGCCCATCTTGTACGACTCGCGGTACATCACTACGACGCACGAATGCCAATCTCATCTTTCGACCAGTGCTATCTCAAGAATACGACAATCCGATGAGAATATCTCTAGGGCATCCACAAGGCCAAAGGTATTACCTGAGCTCAGAGTAGGCTTTTTCTTTTCGCCCAGACCAGACATCAGCCCAACCATCCCTACTTGCACCTCAGCTACTTCTGGTCTCCAATGTGCTGAGTGAAGGTGCTTCCCTTGGCAGCCATGACACCCACATTGCCGCCGTACACAGTGTTGTCAACGGTTTCCTTCTACAGACTCGTCAGATTCACTCGTAAAATGAGCATTCTAGGAAGCAGGACAAACTCACGAGGGGCTTCAGAATGGCGTCAAGCGCTGACGCAAGAGCCTGATCCTGCTCACTTATAGCATATTTAAGAACTCGAAGGCTCTCACTCAGCTCAAGAGCCTCCTGGTCAATAATCGTCTTCTCCTGGGTTCGCGCAGCAGGGAAGAGATCCTCAAGCTCCTTTGTTTTGTCGACGATGCGATCGATCATCACTTTAAATCTCTCCCGGTCCCGCAGCACCCACGTAACCTTCCTGATGGCAGACAGGTTATTCTGCCTTTTGCCGATTATTCGTTGATGTACGTCATGAAGCGACAAACCCGTGTAACTTAGCGATTCTTCGGCCTTTATGATACTTGGATCATCTGGGTTGTATTTTTGATCCATATCCTTGGCGGCTTCCAGCGCTGCAAGTATCGCACCCAGAAGGTTGCTTGCTTGGGGTATATGCTCTGGAACTACTTTCGTGCCCCGAAGGGTTCTGGTATTCCGACTCACGTTGCTAAGGCCAACGGCCTCACCCCAGCGCGACAGTCGGAGGTTCACATTGTCGAGCTTGAGTAGAGAGTCCTCATAGTCTGCACCAAAGGTCTCTGCAAAGTGGATATACTCAAAGATCCTAATGACAGAGTCAAAAGTAGATGCAAGATTTATGAGACTTGTCCCTGCCATCGTGGTGGATTATCTGCCGTTTGAAGGATCAAAGAGCCTGGTTGATTCTCAGCGGAAACAATTCATTTAGCGGTGGAAACCAACCAGCTATTGACCAACACATGGGAAGAAAGCGGGGTTTGTTCGCCTCACTTTCTGCCTTGGAGCGGTGCGAACAAGCATTGGCGGGACTGCGGTGGCGTGGCGGTGGCTGTGGTTGTATGCATAGCGAAATCACGCCCGACGCAGTTGAACCCGATGTTACGGGTACATTGACTCTGGGACATGGCAATTTTGGGGGAGCGGAACAGACACATAACAATCCATCCACACTTGACATTGCAACAAGGAGCTTTCTATTGTTTCATATTTAAAACGATTCCAAACTGATCGCAAGTATGGTTAGAGACTGCTTGTATCTCAAGTGCACGGGCGGTAATTGACGATCCCGTTGCAGTGGTGGAAGCGATTTCTTTTCCCCCTATCGCTTTGAAGAGTATTTCGATTGAGATTCGAGATCCCCAATCTTATAAGTTAATTAATTCGACTCCAGTGCATGCTTATCATGTAACTTCATCGATTATTCTCCTAGGCGACCTGACCTTGTCGAGTTCTTCCAGGTGTTGTTTGGCAGTTGGGCAGCGGCGGTGTTGGTGATGCGGAAGGTGCAAGCCAGCCACAGTCACAGCAAGGCAACAGCAAGGCAACGGCAAGGCAGCCCGTGGCCCGCTCTTGTTCCCTGCCAGGCTCCTCTTTTCACCACCTTTACTGATCAACCGATGACAAGACACGGCGTGCGTTTTGTTACTCTGTCATGTGCCCAAAATGGAGCAAAGAATCATTACACACAGGGGAGGCACCCGCAACTGCTTATTTATTATTTCCCACCCGTCTTCCCCGCAGATCTCATGATACGCCGAACAAGACACACACGCCATTCAGAGAAACGGAACCACCGATCCTATGACTTGGCACAAGGACTGCAGGAAGGCTGACGTTACTGTCATTGACTTGGGCCCCGGTGGACTGGTACCGTGCTGCAACAGCTGCGGAGAAATATGCCCTTCAAACGACAACGATGCCACCGATGCCGAGCAATCCTCCACCGCCCATTCGACACTTGCGCTTGAGCCTCCATCACGTCATGAGAGCCTCCACTGGCCCTCATCTATTCCCTACTTTGATGACGATGACTTTCTAATCAGTCGCAGAACCGATGCATCACCCGACAGCCTCTCCCAGGAACAGCGAAATGACGGCACAGGAGCATCAGCCCTCGTTTGCTCTGAACCCCCACAACGGAAATCACGCTTCCAACAATTAGGCGAAAGGCAAATCCGCCTAATGCATCTATCCAACGGAAATTTCAACGATCTGATTCACATTGATCTCACAGTCGAGGACTTCGCGTTCGGGGTGGAATATGAGGCACTTTCATACACCTGGGCCAACGATGCAGGCAATTCCCAAAAATCATGCTCCGTTTACTACGGCCAAGGTTGGGAGGTGATCAGGGTTACAGAAAATTGCGCCAACGCCCTCCGAAGGCTTCGCTACCGTAACAAGACAAGGATACTTTGGGTTGATGCCATCTGCATCAATCAAGAGGATATCTTCGAGAGAAGTCATCAAGTAGACATGATGGCGGATATCTTCGCATGCGCAGCAAGGGTCATTGTCTACCTGGGCGAGAATGAACCTGAATCATTTGATGATGAACCGCTTTACCATTCGCGTCTTCGTCAGCAGGTCGAAGAACTCTGCGGCAGACCATATTTCTCCCGAATCTGGGTAGTGCAGGAATTGGCATTTGCCACGGACAAAACCATCATCTGTGGTTCGACAACGTGGGATTGGGAGATGTTTTATACTATCGCGTGCAGCCTTTCACACGCCACTGGTTTATCCTGGATCCAATACTGCAACAACCGCAAGTCCCGTGAGAGTTTAGATTTGTTTCAGTTACTTTGTGACACCCTGAACTGCAAATCGTCTGATCCACGAGATCGAGTGTTTGCTCTTCTCGGTCTGGTTGTTGGATCAAGAGCTCTGGGACTCACGCCGGACTATGGATTACAGCTTGCAGATCTCATGGTTGGAGTAACGGGCCACTTTCTCATCCATTGTTCTGCCAAGGACTGCAGAACGATTTTCTATTTGGCCCGCACGCACAGTGTTTCTACGTGGCCATCGTGGGTCCCGAACTGGGCGGATATCGGACAGCGGCGATGGCTCGAGGCTACTTATTACATGGACAGTCGTGACTACGTGGCCAGCGAGGAAAAGGGCTGGAGTCCACATCTAGTTTTGAGTTGTGTCAAGACTGAAGGACCAGCCATTGGGAAGGCAACCGGTTGTCTTAAACTGAAAGGATTTCTGGTCGCCTCCGGCCCCAACATGAACCAAATCACATTTTGCGGCGTCTCACCTTTTTGGAAAGCAAGCACCATACATCCAATCATCTATCAGCCCGAGGGAGTTGACGTCGTTGTTGTCTACATTCCGTATTGTGGTTCATATCTTCTTCTTCGCTCTGCAACAACTTCCACGGACCATGTTGCAACTAAGTTGAGTGAAATTTGCGCTCTGGGCCCTCACCAGCCGGAATATGACGATCTAAACGCAATCCATCCTCCTCATTCAGTCCATGACCACAACAATTCAATTTTAGCCAACGTCAACTCATGGGTCAAAGCTCTTTTTCGATCAGGCATGTACACGGGTGCCAATTTAAGCGGCCTCGTGGAGCCTTGGACACGGCTTTTGGAAAGCAGAGTCGACTATCCCAAGGAAGTACGGAAACGAGACAGACTCTGGGTGCGAATGCTCTTACGAAAGGCCGTAATTTACCACCAGACTCTGTCCCTACTTCTGAAGAGCAGTAACGGCACAGGAAAGGGGCAGATCCTTCCGAGGACCCTTTCTTTGATTAGAAGCATTGGCCTTTTCGCCCAAGATTTAACACAGTTTGTGGCTACAGGTGCACTTCTCGATTCCGCTCTTGTTCTCAGCACCTTTTTATGGAAGATCGCTCCGATCCGTAATTCTCTGGCAGGTTCCATCCTGCAGCACGAGCCTTCAGTATCCTATCATACCGAAAATCAGATGTTGTTTAGTTCGTTCAGCAACTTTCTCATAAATCATCTGATTGAAGATGAAGCAGATGATGATTGGGGCTTCAAAAGACACAAAGCAGCATTGGTGAAGCATTTCATTGAGTTTCTATCGACCTACATTTCGCTACCGCAAAACGCGAGTCTTTGTCCGTTGAATCATGATAGCGAGCAATCGAATTCCCTCACAGAAAATTCGACATTGGAAATGCCAATCACCGATGACGAGTTTAGTCTCCTGCCCAGGCACACAATTTGGTGTCTCACGGGCCGACACTCAATCACCTCCGTATATCGCAAACAGAACAAGCGGTGGCTAAGTTGGAGGGACTATCCCGATCCAGGTGTTATACAATGTATGTGGGTGATTGATGAAGCTCTTTCCACAAAGGGGTGGCAGGTCTTCGTGCCAGACTTGATTGACGTGTATATCGCATGAGACGAGGGATATTGGCAGGTGGCCAGAGTCGTTGGACTACGCCTATAGGCATCTAAAAGCCTACAAATGCCATTACTAAAACATCCGGTAAAATTTCCGGGCGCCTATCTTCTATTTTTCAAAACATCTTGTGCAGCCCAGCATGCTAAAGACTAAGAGGACAGCAAAGCTAAATTGGTCGAGGGTGTGTCATCAATCTTTCCCTCTAGCTTTGACCAACAAGCTGGTCACAAGGCGGTTGGTCGCCTAGATCGTGTTCCTACAAAGGAGGAATTTAGAGAAACTTCCATGGCCAGATTTATCTTTTCAAGATAGCCAACTGGTCGACTCCTTTCGTGGAGCACCCAGATTTCCTGTATTACACCGATTTTTGTATTACACCGACCTCCAGTATTACAAGTCAGAAAATACGAGCGCGAAGTCACACGAGGAGTCAACTTTAGCCACATGGAGGATACGGCGGGCAGCACCAGCCGTCTCATTGCGCTTCGCCAGTATCTATTACTTCCATTGCTGGCTGTTTGTTATCGGTCCTTTTCTTAAGTTTGGGGTGACAAAGATATATTGACGGCTAAGGTCTCATTTTCTTGACAGCGGTACAGTATTGCGAGGGTCTTTGACTTCTCAATCAAGAGAACGTTGTACCGTCCACATACTCCGCCCCCGATAGGCTTCATAGTACGTATGATATGACTGTAAGCCAAAAGTCGTGGAAGCGGGGCTAACAAGGAGCAACTTTGCCGAAGCACTTTACTTTTCGTGCCAAGGTAATACAAGGGCCACCGCCTCCTTTCATCATCTTCGGCCAGCCCCTAAATGTGGCAAAGAACCGAGATGACTCCCTGTTGTGTTATCCAGGGGTATGAGGGCGCGCGTCACCTAGAACGTTAGGAAGGTTTGGGGATTTTAAAAGAAACAACCCTCATGTTTGAGGGAACCCTGGGATCACCACTTTCCAACATGACGTTTGTCGGCAATCAGAGACCAAGCAAAGGCCCGGTAACGATTCTGGGACTTCATCGGGTCAAGACTATGTCACGACCTGAACCGTCTGGGCTGCGTAACAGCCACGGGATGTTTAATATGTCGAATCTTTCGCTCGACAACCTCAATCAGGATGGGTCACGAGCAGTTGAGGGAAGCGCCAATGATGATTCTTGCAATCTACTCTCACCGCTGGTCCCAATTGGGCTTATTCCGTTTTCAAGCCGCCCCAAGGAGAACAACTCAAATTCATTTGGCCAGGCGCTCAATCGATGCCTCGGTTTCATGAGTGCTTCACAGGGAATGCCGCACAAACCAACAGGAAGACCTTGCTTCCAAGGCTCTGCGGGATGGCAACGAGGCGCGAGTTGGGCAGCTGTTCTAATATCCGTGATTCTACTTGGCAACATCATACTCACGGTAGTTTGCAAGTCCAATTTTCATCCTACAGGAGCTTACACGAATATCGTTACCATCCGTGCAGGAGACTGCAAGGAGATGAAGAATCTGGGTGTGATCATCCACCTTGTGATAAACATTATCAGTACTCTTCTTGTCGGGGCAAGCAACTACTGCATGCAAACAGTTAGTGCTCCAACCCGTGAGGATATTGATAAAGTCCATGCACGAGGCTCTTGGCTCGATATCGGAATACCGAGTGTCCGCAATATGTGGTTTATTCGCAAAAGAAGACTTGTAGTCTGGTTGGTCCTTGGAATAACGTCGATTCCACTACATCTTGTGTAAGTCCCAGCAATGACCTTCTAAAGTGCGTAATGATCTAACAGTCGGTAGATATAATTCTATCTTCTTCGTTTCTACCAACACTTACTTGTATGACGTCTGGTTTGCGGAGGAATCATTCTTACATGGCGCGGCATTCGGCGACATATACTTCCCAGGAAGAAGGACCCCTATGAACAAAACAGCCATCGAGGGCTTACAGGATCGGGTCATGAACGGCGATCGATACGAAAGGCTAAGCAACAACGATTGCATAAAAGAATATGCAAAGGATACTGTTGAATCCAGAGGCGATGTGATACTCGTTGTTGATCCTCCGGAGAATTGCCTTACCCTCCAGTATAATGACGCGATATCAGACGCCGCGTCTGTGCACTACTACAACCCAGAGTGTGGAAACATAACAAGCACCTCCTTATACGCTATAGAGACTTCTACGCAAAATTTTCAATCCTCGGCTGGAGATTACCGAACCAATCGGCACTACTGGATATGCTCACAGTATGCATACTATCCAATGAATGACACCGACATATTATCCGAGTTATGTAGCCATGGGGCCTGGAAGAAACAATTGGATGCAGATCCTTGGATGGTCAAAGGTGCAAAGGTCAACTATTGCCTCAGCGATAAATTACCGGACAAATGCCGCTTCAAGGTAGCCATCAATCTTCTTTACGTTGTTATTGCGTTCAACGTCGCGAAAATAGCCATTGTTGACATTTTGATTGCGACCAAATTGATCAATGACGATCCCATTGTTACAATCGGAGATGCCGTTGCATCTTTCATCGAGTCCCCAGATCCGTCGACCACCGGAATGTGCCTATGGCCAGCAAAGAATATAAAATTTCACAAAAGCAGCGGAGAGTTGCCGGCGATCATTCACCAATCGACCAGCAATAGATGGTTCCATGCTGTCAGCGTACGTCGATGGGTCATATCATCTCTCATGTAAGTGGATGGTCACTCTTAGTTTATCTATGACTACACGCAGCTAACGAGCTTACCTTACATAGTGTGTTTATCACTATGGCAGCACTCTTTGGACTATTTGGGTGGTCGGTCGCTAATCTCAAGAAACTATATTTCATGGGAGAACTTTCGTATCTATGGTCCATTGGAGTAGGCAAAATAACCCCCTACAACTTCATTACTGGCTGGCGCATTCCTAAAGAAGGAGACTCCGCCATCGCCGCTGTCGTCTTAATCTCCAACCTTCCACAAGTCCTGTTTTCTTTCATCTACGTCGTTCTAAATGGACTTATAACATCCATGACGGCGGCTGCTGAGTGGTCGAGCTATGCTGTGAACACCCACCGACCTCTCCGAGTCTCCTTTCCCAAGGCCAGCCAGCGAACCACGTTTTTCCTCCAGATGCCTTACAGATACAGCATTCCGATTATCATTCTCTCGATTCTTATGCACTGGCTTATCTCTCAAAGTTTCTTCATGGTTCAAATCGCTGAGATTAGTACAACTTACGAGGAAGTGGAGCCTCTAAATTTTGACAAAATCGACGCGGGGACAGCTATCTACGGAAACCTCATAACGACTGTTGCTTTCTCGCCGATGGGCATCCTCTTCACAGCATTGTTACTTGCAGTAGTATTTCTGGGAGCCTTGGGTTTGGGAATGATCCGATTGAAGGGTGAGATCCCGGTGGCTGGGAGCTGTAGCCTAGCGATTGCCGCTGCATGCCACGCACCGGAGGGCACATCGAGTTTAAAACCTCTGAAATGGGGCGAGGTCCTTTCTACTGAGGCTGGAGACGATGGCGTGGGCCATTGTGCATTTTCCAATGATTTCACGCAGATACCCGAGCTCGGAAATCGGTATGCTTGATAGAACTGAGGCATTTGGGAGTTTTGACGCCCTATGAGGACCGTCATCCCAGAATGGTCCCTCTACGAGCTGGAGAGGGCCGTTCGCCAATACGGCGTGCTAGGGGTTTATCTATCTATCAAGTAGGGAGTGATGATCAAGACAGTCCAGAGTTGATTGACATCGCGTCCTCTTGGCGAATATGTGTCGTTCTCCGGTTATTCACCTTCATATCTCATTTCTATTAGTTCGACTTATTCATTTCTGCAAATGTTAACGGATATGTTCTTGCCTTAGTCAACTTGGCACATAATAACAAAGCAGTAAGCATGGAATATACGTCGTCATGTTACGTTGCAGGCTGCTGGCTCGACAGATATGCTTTCACCCACGCGTTATCCCTCTACATCTCTCCCCCCAATAGCCTATGTAACCCGTTCAGGGTCATTGTAGATGTGTGACCTAAAAGAGCCACGGTTTGCGGATTTCCAACAAGCTATTCTGCTGCATGCAGACTCTCTCAAGTTTCAGAACACCCCCCCCGACATGGCAGAAGAACGGCTCCCGCACGATTTCCGGGCCAGTAAACAGGATATCTTGATGAGATGGGAGTTGAGGCGAAGCTAACACAGAGGCGAGGGATAAATACGGACGAACAGCTCTGATGTGGGCTGCCTAGCGCGGGTATGAGCGTGTCGCTTCTATGCTTAAGCGTCGATGTTGTCTACCCCCCTTTTTAATACATCGAAAGCCAACACTAGGGCTAGATATTTGAAAGATTGAACGGCTCTCGGCCAGTCCATTGGAATGTGACAGGTTTATAAAAGAGGCACATCAGTTGTACACTAGCTTGAATTCAAATGTAGTCGTTCAATAATGCTATGCGCGCAAATTACCGCATTAAGATCTCCTAGACATGGATATTCTCGTTTCAAGACTTCAAGAAGTTGAGAACATAGTTTTACGCTTGAGGGGGGTCTCCTGTCAATTTGCGGAGCAGAATTTACAACGTGGACGAACTAGTAGCTGGGCTCGCTACTCGCTTTCTTGTTGAGTCTGTTCCAACAAGTAGGGAAATATCAAGTCTCAATGTCAGCTCAAGAAACAAATAGAACATAACATCATCTCATTCGTGAAACGCAAAATCCTTTCATACGATCCAGACCTCTTGGAGTGATAGGGACAGACCAAGACGAGTAGGCTCGTACTTCAGACTTGCTGATTTCTAACATATTTCCGAAAAGTATCCCACCCAGTTTCAATCAGTACTCATTAACTCATTTCCACATCTTTTAATCACCAAGTCCGTACTCAACAGCAGCCAGGAGCAACTCCATGAACCCAGCACCGACAGCCTTCATGTTCGAGTTGTACTGGGAAACGGTGGGGTAGAAGGGGCAGGAGGCGGCGCTGTTCCCGAATCCAAACTCGATGGTGTAGCCGTGGACGAGGTTCTTGCTCGTGTCGGCAAAGTGGCGCGAGTAGGCGTAGTCGTCGCTGGCACCCGACGTGGGGTAGAGGTCCGAGGCCTGGATGGCGGAGTAGGTGCTGCCGCCTCCCCCGGTCAGGCCGGCGGCGATGCGCTTGGCGGCGTTCTGGTTGATCGTGTTCTCGGCGGCGGGGGTGTACTCGCCATATCCCCTGCCGGAGCCCGGGGTGTCGCTGAGGAGGCCACGGACGCTGTTGTAGGAGCTGTTCTGGAAGTTCATGTAGGGCCAGTTGACCTGGTTGTCGTCGCTGCCCCAGCTGTAGAGGATATCGCCGGTGTATGAGTGGAGATCGACGAACCAGCGGATCTTGGAGTAGGTGTCGAACACCCACTTGATGGCCTTGGTCTCGGGCTCGCTGAAGGCGGCTGTGCCGTGGAAGGTCTCGGAGCTGGGGGTTGTGGACCCAACGCTGGACTGAACGCTGCTGGCAAAGAGGGTCTTGAAGTCCCAGAGGAAGTCGAAGTTGCGGTTCAGATCCACGCCGACAGAGCCAGAGGCAGGGTTGCGGTTCTTGCGCCAGCAGCTGTTGGAAGACTGGTCGTAGGCAGTGCCGTCAGGGTTGCTGTTGGGCACGATGACGATACCCGCAGACAAAGCAGTCTTAACCTGGGCGGCGGTGTACGTCTTGGAGCCGTATGTAAGTCCAACATTGTTCTTGTTGGCATAGAGCAGGTCGGACACGAAGTAGAGGATGTTGTCCATGGATCCACGCTCGCGAGCATGGATGTTGCCGTTGAGGTAGACACGGTAGGCATCGTCGCCAGTTCCTGAGCCTCCAATCTTGGCTCCAACAATGGAGTTACCGTTGTAGGTGGTGTAAGGGGCGGTGAATGTGGTGATGCCGTAGGTGTTGACCAAACCCTTCAGACCGCTCTGAACCTCATTGACGTTGAGCAGGGTGCTGAACGAGGTGGACTGGGATCCGAGCCCTCGGGGGGCAACGGAGCCGCCACTGAACCGATCGCCTGTGCCGACAGGAGTGCCGGTCGATGACTGGCGGCGGACGATGGGCACGAAGCCGTCGTTGTCACGCTCTTCGGGGAGCAGACACCCGGAGGCGAGCCCGTTGAGCGCAAGGAACGCCCAAGCGATGGAGTGCTTCATTGTAGACTAGGTTGATCTGGTTGCCAGCTACCTAGAGAAAGGAGGGTAAAGGTCAATGGCAATCGGCGAGAATGCGCGCCGTAGATGGCCCTTTTATGTTCTGTATTCGATAGGAACTTACGGCATTTGCGCGTCCTCACCCAGGCAGCTGGTGATGTTCTGGATTGCGAGGCCTTTCTGCAGGTCTGTTTGCCACAGGAAGCCATCTCGATCGGGAAGCTGCGAGCAGATAAGAGTTGAGCTGTTTGTCAACTGCCGAAAGGAGCCAACATCTGCCCCACGCCGAATGGCGACCTGGCACTTGCGACGCTGAGTGCTAACAAAGTACCGCTTCGAATTGGAAGGTGAGGTGGGCGTAAGATGAAGGGATATCGAGCATCGGTGGCGGAGGGCCCCGGACTGCTAGATGGAGGAAGAGCATCGTCGGTTGTGCAATACAGGTGCGGATGTCTTCATCGAACCACCACGGCGCTGCGGGATGAATTGGGAAGACGGGTTCGATTTCCTGTTTCATGTAGCAACTGAGTGACTTTCGTCCAACTGTGAGTGTTACTCAAGCCAGGGGAGGCGGGGAGATCGACCTACGTGTCTTTGCTGATCTCAAGGCCAAGGAAATACATTAAAAGAGCCAAGTTGGTAATGGAGCAGGAGTGGAGGCCATGTATGTCATGGTCGATGGGGCTTCCGTAACAGGTGGTGAAACACCTTGGGGGGAGAAGCGGGGAGAGGCTCACAGCCCATAGCAGGGGGCCGAGGTAGTTGGTAGTAGTTGGCCCAGCGCACGCATCCTGCCCAGGGCTCCCTTATTTTTAGATAATGCTAAGAATCTAAGGTAGCTTTAGGGTTTGGCTAGGTAGCTTACACCCGGTATTGCAATATGTAAGCGGCAAAATGGTAGAGCTACAGCTAGAGGATCGAGACTGGCCTATGCCTGTTATTGAAGCCGGATGCTTAGAGTTAATTGAAGCCTCAAGGCGAGAGGCTAGGTCGTAGTTCAGTGAAACCATCAGGACAAAATAGTTCTCCTTGTCAAGATGTATCCCGCACATATAGCAGCAAGGCAAAGATTCAACCTGGCCCCAAACCAGTTGCCTGAATGCTTGGCCCAGATGGTCGCTACAGGCACGCAGCCTCTCTCCCAGCAACTTCCTTCGCGAGTCGAAAAGTGTGGAAGGTGCTCTGCATGGGTAAGGTACTTACTTCCCTAGCCGAGAGCCACTTCGGTGAGGTAGACATCAAGTCCCTTCGGCCGCCAATCTGATAACGGCACAGAGGGTGAAGTACCTGCCGCCCAAACACAGGCCACAGCCACCAGCATAACACGCGGCAGGTGCAAGAGGCGTAACACGTGAGAGCGGCAACATTATGCCGGGTTCCATCAGGTTTCCTTTGTGAGCCCTGAATAATAAGGCATCCAAGTTAAACACACGCACACAATGCCAAACCAGAGTGCCGTCCTTCTGCGTCAACATCATTTATCTACAAGATTCAACGTACTATTAATCCCAATTGCCTTTGTCCTCAGGTCCGATATCAACACCGAAACGACTGAAGAACGGCCTTTTCTACAGATCCAAGACTCTTCACCAGGAGGAGGTTTGCGTCTTGTGGAGCAAGAAACGGAACAGCGCGGCGTGGTCACCGGGATGGCCACTCTCTCGCGTGGCACAGGCGTCGAAAGCACTCTATATCCCTTGAGTCTAGTTCTCTGGTAAACGAGGCTGGATTCAGGAATTCAAGAAGGTTACGTCAGGTATGTCACCTCCTCCCTCTCCCTTCCCCAGCTACTAACTCGGCCAATAACCAAGATGGATTTAACCACGAGACAAGCTACTGCGATTAAACATCACTCCTCCTCTGCTTCACTTCAAACGTTTCTCGTGCCTTCCGGTCCGTTACATGGCCTCGATTCTGAACGGCTTTAGCTCCACCTGCTCACCCTAAAAACCACACCCCTGTTGTCTCTCTCCTAGGCGAAAGGCTTGAAGGAGAGGTCAATTTAGTCGGAAATATCAGCAACAAGCAGAGAAAAAATCAAAGACAACCAAAATCCTCTCGATCTAAATTTGATCTCAAGTCAAGCTTCAACTATAGTCAGATCATGCATCCGACTCCGAATCCTGGTGAGAGTTTGAGTATAAGGTTAAAAACAGCAATAGAAGATGCCAGACCCGACATCTTAACACAATGAAAGAAGGATCACCAATAACCGTTCAAGGATCGACTTGAATACGGATGAGCCTTCATTGTGTTTTTAAAGGCTAAGAAGCATACTATTGAAGCCATCTTCTATTATGCCATGATCCCTTCCACCTCCTTTCCTCTCTTCGTGTCATCCCGCTGCCCTACTTGTTCTTCTGGATGGGGGAAGATTTCTCGCAATGATCTGGCCTTGGGCACGAGGAACAACCACCACACCAACCCCTT